ATGTCCGCAGGATGGCAGATGATGCGGAGAGAGCAAAAAAAAAAAAAAAAAAAAAAGAGGCGATGATGGGAGGTGATGTCAAATCAGGCGCTGTTCGGAACAGACGCGAGCCGCATCAAAGGGAAATAAAATAAGGGAATAAAAAAAAGACCAGACTAAACGAGTCGAGGTCGATTTAATAAGTTATTATCCTAAATGGAGGATATGGTCGAGAAATATAGGAAAGAGAATCCCGGAGAGAGAGAAGAAAAGAAGACGGAGAGGAAGAGGGGAGAAAAATTAATTTTGGTGGTCTGCCAGGCGGAAGAGAGGCAGAATTTGTGCGTAGAAATTCACTACAGTCAGTTACAGTGTAAGTTGGTCGGTTTGAAGCAGTTTCTTTGCTCTTTTCTTTTTTTTTTTTTATCGAATTTATAATTAATATTTGATTCTATTTCCCTTTCTTTACTCTGTATTATTGTTCTCGTATAGACATGACTGGAGATGAGATGACTCGACGTCAATCCCCAGACGAACCACCATAGAAAACCACTAGAAAAAACTTACTGCAAGAGACTCTTTCTGACTGGTCTACCCCTGGTCTTCTTCTCTGACGCTTTTCCTAGTCATACGTGAGTCACCGATAAGCTACACAGCAAACATTACCAAAGATGCAACCCCCGTATATAATCACCACCCCAAGTATGACTGCACCAATATCACCCCCAACATACCAACATGATCACCCTCAACGGCCAAACCCTCGAAGGCGGCGGCCAGATCCTCCGCAACGCCATCGCCCTTGCAGCCCTAACCAATCAACCCTTGTCGATACATTCCATCCGCGGATCCCGGCCGGGGAAGAAGGGTCTTAAAGCATCGCATCTCGCGGCTGTGCAGTCGCTCGCTGAAATAAGCAATACTGTCGTTGAGGGTGCGAAATTAAGGTCTGAAACGTTATCGTTTTACCCACCTGCACCCACGGACATCCCACACGTGAAACAGGAGTATAGTATCAAGCTCGATACCCCGGGGAGTGTGTTTCTGGTATTCCAGGCATTATATCCGTATCTTCTACGTGCAGGTGCACTCGCAGGCGTTGAGGGACCGATTCGTGTTGATATCACGGGAGGTACGAATGTGACGTTTTCGCCGTCGTTTGATTATGTGCAGCAAGTGTTAGTGCCGAATCTCAAGACTCTGGGGTTTCCGGAGTTGTCCGTTGAAGTACAGAAAAGAGGGTGGATGACGGGGCCGGTCGAGTTGGGGACTGTGAGGTGCTTGATTGATCCATTGCCGTCGACTACGAAGCCGGATGGAAGTGTCGATTGTCGGTTTCCACCAGTCGACCTGAACAAATACAGACGGGGCATAATCACCAAAATCGATATCACAGTACTCGCACCAGACGACGAAGTACCCTGGCCAACGACCGAACCCAGCAAGCACGACAAACTGACAATCCGTGAATACATCGAACAAGAAACCATCACAGCCCTACACAACAACCTGAACGACCTACCACCACAGATAATCAACCTAGAAGACCCCCAATCCCCCACTCTCATCAACATCCACACTTCCGAACGCACGCATCACCAAACACTCATCTACGTCCTCCTCGTCGGCCACACGACAACAGGCTTCCGCATCGGCCGCGACTTTCTCCTCTCAGATGCCAAAGATCCCCGGCCTAAGAGCAAAAAGTGTGACAAAGATAGTCACCAACACGCTCTCGTGAAGAATCTAATCGAGAGCTGCGTTGCGGATTTTGAGAACGAGCTTTGGAACCAGTATGACTGGTTTGACGGGAGGCACCAGCCATGCGTAGATGAGTATATGCGGGATCAGCTGGTGATTTTTGAGGCGTTAGGGAGGTTATATCCTTCAAAGGAGGGCGAGAAGGACGAGGATGAGGATAGCCTCGAGGATGAACGGTATTGGAGTCTGCATACGAAGACTGCTCGGTGGGTTTGTAAGGAGTTTGGACTCAAGTTGAACCGCTAGTACTGTACTCTGTACTATCAGATGCCTTTGCTGAGTCCAGAGTAGATATATGTACAAGGCCTGTCCTGAGAACGAAAGGAAGCAACCTGATTGGCTAGTTTTGGCGAGCCTTGATATGGATACCTCAGGCACATATAGTCGGTCTGATGCAAGGACAGACCGAAACCCCGTGCATGGACCTTACATATTACAGCAGCTACGATGAATTGTCCGTACGCGTTCTAGAACAGGCGATCCCTGTTTGCATTCCTCACATCCCTTCAGTTTGTCTACTCCGAAGTAGTTCCGAGTTCCTTAAATAGAACAATAAGTAGCAATAGTAACCCTTTAAGCAATTCCACGACACCGGCTACAGCACCGGCTACAACAACGCCAAAAGAACATCGTTTACCGGGGTCGTGCCTGTCCGCCCTGTCCGCCCTGTCCGCCCAACCATCCAGACGCCCATCCGGCCGCAGCGCCAGCAACACCAGCAGGAGAGCGGTCGCGGATATCCTCGGGGTTGATATGGTCGAATGAGTTGTCACTGCGGTTCTTGCGCAGCGAAGAACCAGACTCGTCGTCACTGCTACCCAGGTTGCTTTCCTCATGCGCCAATGCCGCCCGCATCACTTCCAAGATATCGCGCTGGTTGGACAGGTACTTCGCCTTGTCCTCCCGCGACATCGATGCCATCTCGCGCGGCAGCAGGTTACCACTGGCATGAAGCTCCCTCGCTCGTGCTTCCTGGCTCTGGCCCTGGCCTGTCGCCGCCATCGTGGACACGGCAGAACTAATGGTAGAAAACCAGTCGTTGCCAGCTGCTGGGGCTCCACCAGCACCGGCACCGGCAGCGGGCATGTTGAATCGGGACAGGAGCGACTGAGCGTAAGCGCCCGCGCCGCTGGGCGGAGGAGGGGAAGCACCACCAGTCTGCGGGGGCAGGCCCAGAACCTTTTCGCGGATCAAATCGATGAGCTGGTAGAAGTACTGAAGACCCAGAGTCTTGGCCCTTTCGTGGCTGTTGGCAATGAATGCCTCAATCTCCTTTTCATGCTGCTCCAGGAACGGATCGACGTATTGCACGTATAGCAAGCGCGCGCCCTGGGTCTGGGGGAGGACGAGGTAGCAGAGGAAGAAGAGGCGGATCCAGCTGTAGAAGGGGAACCTATAAGACGTCATTTAGCTTCAGCCTCAGCCTCGAGATAACACAGCCTTGCCATACCATCCCAAAATGAACACGGTCCACGACTCAGCCAGCAAAATGACCGACAGAACCACCCAGTAGATCAACCATGGCGCCAGTTCTGAGGGGTTCGACGAACGGAGGGCCTTCCAGGAAGCGAAAATGGGGAAGAGGATCGTAACGACGGAGCTGCATTGAAACGACCGTTAGCGGCAGCACAGCAACTTGACGCCTTCCACTCTGTACTCACGACAACAAGTCCGCAAAGATTCCGAACATGATGAAACAATCCAGTAGACTGTCTCACTAATGTTTAAATGGTTACGAAGAGATCGAAGCAAGGTATAAGTGGTATCTTATCGCAGGGAAGCTGCAGGGCGGGGCGGAAATGACAGCTTCACGCGACCATCCGGGACAGCCGCGCCGACGATCGAAAAATATGGTGATGGAAGATAGTTGAGTGTGACAGGAAGGATAGCAACAGATGCGAATTGGAGAGGAGAGTGAAAGAAAAGGAGTACTCCGTAATAGTAAAGGAGAGGAAAAGGAGAAGAAAGAGAAGGAAAAAATTAGCCGATCGGGAGGGAAGACGATGGATGACTGATACACGGTTGCCTTATTGAGCATTTGTGATGGTGACATTCGCTTCGCTTCTTGATGTCATGTTGATTCTTTATGCTGCTTTCAACAATGCCATTCATTCTACTCTGTACTATTCTGTGCTCCTTATTTTACTCTGTAACTACAATCAAGCAATTGCACCCCCTGGCAACTATCCTCACCGTCAAGCCGACTGTACAAAAGCACCAACCCAGACACATGCTTATGGAGACCGCAACATCAGCTCGAGCTGAACCTCCAATTCCACAGCCTGGTTCCAAACACCCATGGCTTAATATACCACACCGCTATTTCATGTCCACCGTATGTATGTATCCGGGACCTCGTAGAGAAATCACGGTCACTGATACACTCCGTATTCGAGAACAAACGAAGCTGCTTCGTGGAGATCTGTATCGGAGCCCTAGCGAACAGATGTGGAACAACCAATCGTACATCTAAATATAACCAGCATCTCATTGGTTCAGCCGATCGCCTCGATGTTTCGGATCGGAGATTCGCGTGCCGGAATTTGGTTCTGCCATTCTGGAAACGTCGGTGCTTCGTCCATAGGGTTCGGGTGTTTAGCCCTGTATACCGGTATCTACGATAGGATTGAATCAGGAACCTCCAGTGTGTCAGGTAGTTCATGGCATCTTCAGTCCTGGTTTGAAGTACACCAGGACCGGGGAATCCACTGGATGTTGGCGACTTCCGTACGGTGTCAGGAACGGCATTGCATAGAGGGCCATGGCACAATGGCAACAAGCAGGCCACAGCAATCAAACGCAGGATATCATAAAACGACAGCCATGACTAGTATCTGAATTCGTTTTTTGTCCTGGCAGATCAGAACAGGAGGGGCACGACAGGCTGGGTTCGAAATAGGAAGGCGGTGGAATCAAACCTCGGCAATATACTGGTTCACGATGACCTCAACGTCCATGGTTCATAGCAGAGTACATACATGATTTGCAGAATTGACTGGTGCTTCTCTTTTGACTGATATCATATACTCATCCACCAGTGTCACATATTCATTTGGTTTATATCAGGTGCTACAACGCTCACTTGAACGCTTACTCGGATCAAATTCATCTACTATTTCGCGGCATCACTGGGCTATCGAAGACCCTAACTGCAGACAAAGTCAAGATGTGTATCGCACTAATCTCCACAGCCCACCCCTCCTACTCCCTCATCATAATCGACAACCGAGATGTACGCACCCCCTCAACCTCTACCTAACCATCCAACCCACCTCCAGGACACTAACAAAACCAGGAATACCTCAACCGCCCAACCTCCCCCCCATCCTGGTGGCACCCACCAAACACCAACGTCCTCTCCTCGAGAGACCTCGCGCGCGCGCCCCACGGAACCTGGATGGGCGTCACCAAAACCGGCAAACTAGCCGTCTTAACAAACTACCGCGAAACAAGCACAGCAAAAGCCTCCGCCGCAGCGCAAAGCCGCGGTGTTATCGTGAATAGCTGGCTAGCCGCACCGCCAGAGGATAACCGCGATACGAAGGATTTCGTACAAGATGTGATCACGGGGATAGCAGCGAAGAACGTGGGTGGGTTTAGTCTTGTCTGCGGGTACGTGAATGAGCCGTTGGCGATAGTATCGAATCGGTCTGCGAATTTGGAGGAGGTTGCTTGGGTTGCGAGGGAGAGGGGGGTAACGTTGGGGCTGAGTAATACGAGTTTTGGGGATCGGTCGTGGCCGAAGATTCTTGATGGGGAGGGGTTGATGAAGGAGGCTATTGAGGCGCATGTGGCTGCTGGGGAGGGTGAGGATGAGGATACGCTTATTGAGAGGTTTCTGGGTGTTTTGAGCACGGATACGCTTCCGCGATTACCGGGGGGGTCGTCGACGGAGACGTATATTCCGAACTTGAGGAAGAGTATCTTTATCCCGGCGATTGGGGCTGAGAGCAAGAATGAGAGAGCGGCTGATGAGTTTGCTGCTGCTTGTGTGGAGGATAAGGTACAGGTTGATGGTGCGAGTAAGGATGCGGCGAACCCGGCTTATATGCAGGGGGCTTATGGGACGCAGAAGCAGACGGTGCTTCTTGTGAGGGAGAATGGGAGGGTGAGGTATTTTGAGCGCACGCTTTATGATAATGATGTGAATGCTATTCCGGTTGGGGAGGGAGATCGGTCGTTTGAGTTTATGGTTGAGAGAGAGAGAGAGAGCTAACTCGTCCTCTGCTTTTGAATTGATGTGTTATGATTGATGACTTTACGCAGCTGGTGCTTGGATAATATACTTTCGATGTAAATAGCTTGCGGACTATATGTGTATTTTTGCAGAGAATAGATCCCTTCACATCGAAGTAGCATGCTCTCCCTCTTATTCAAGCTCCACCACTATACCCCTACGCCTACCCAATCACTGACACTGCGAGTAAAAAGCATTCTGCTTAACACAAGAGCTCCCACTCTCACAAGCCTTGGATCCAGTCCAGGTAACTCCACCACATTGTTCGTACTTCTTCGCAACGCCTCCAGAGCTGCTAGCCGAGGGGACAATGCTCGAAGTGCTGCTCGCAGCGAGAGACGACGAAGGCGTCGCGGAAGCAGCAGTGGCGAAGGTGGTAGGCACAGAGACCGGGATGGTAGGGGGCAGGGCGCCGCCGCTTGGTTTGCCGGAGGGAGAGGCAGACGCGGAGGCGGATCCAGAGACGGAGCCCGAAGAAGAAGGATGGACCAAGGGCACGCGGACAGCCTTGGTCGGGGTCGAGGTCGAAGATGACGAAGCCGCATCAGAAGAAGGGAAGTACTTCTTCAAAATCGGCAGATAAGTACTATACGCCTGCCCATCCGTCGGCTCCAGGTTATACATATAATCCCCCCACCAAGGCCCAGCAGCCCACCATTCCGCCCCCATCCACACATCACTATTCTCCTGCATATACTCCAACATCCCCTCAACAGCCTTCTCGCACTGCTCATTCACACCGCCCGCAAACTCACCCACAAAGCCCTTCTTGTCATTCTTCTGCAGCCACTGCGTCGCGCTCTGCAGTCGTTCTTTACCGATTGTCTCGCTGACGCATGTCTCAGATGTACCAGAACCGTCGGAGTCGAGGTACTGGTGCATTTGGTAGACGAGTTTGTCTTGCGGATCTGTTAGGGACGCAAGGTTGTCGTTGTTGTCGGTCCATTTCCAGGCGCCGGTGTAGGCGTTGCCTTCGATGAAGATGTATTGGTTTTTGGCGCCGGCGGAGCGGATGCCGTTGATGGCGGCTTGGTTGAGGTTGAGGACGAGGGATTGGTCCATGTCGTGGTATTCGTTGTCTGTATTGTTAGTACGGGCTTTCTGAAAGGGAGGTGCAGGTGGATGTACTCGTGTCGAAGATAACCTTCTCGTTCGACGAAAACTCTCCAGCAACAGTCTTCCAAAACGCCTTGAAGTTATCTGTATTGGTGATGATATCCCCAGAGCTACACCATTAGCCCTACACTCACCCCCACCCAGAAACACCAAACAAGGAAAACTCACTATCTCCCATAATTATGCGGATCCAGCACCGCATACGCCCCACTCTCCGTGATAAACTGAATCGTCTTCCTCAAATCCTTCATGTACGCCGCATTCACATCACCCGTCATATCATCCGGCACCAATCGCTCCATCAGGAATGGCACACGGAAGATGTTCATGCCGGAGTCGCGGAGGGTCTGAATGGCGGTTGTGTTGGGGAAGGTATAGTCTTTTTCGAGTTTGCCGGGGATGTTATCCTCGCCGAATTCGGCACCGGATTCGTTGGCTCCGACCCCTGTTCACACCAGTTAGTATTGTGTTCGTGCCAGGGTGATCTGGGGAAGGGAGGGGTACAGGTAAAACCAGACTTCTTAGCAGAAGCATCGCGCTTGGCGGCTGCGTGCACCAGGCCCGCGGCGCTAGCGGCCATCATCAAGCTGGTGAATCTCATGATGCAGATAGAAATAAAAAGAATGTGTTTAGACAAGTTTAACGAAAGGAAGAAGAGAATGTAAACAAGAGCCAGTCTCGTAGTTGGGATGGAGAGTAGAACCAGGCCACAGAGCGACAGAGAGCATGGTTATATACCCCTAGACCCTGATATAGATCAAACCAGCCCGGACCCTCTTCATCTCCAGTGCCGATCTCTGGGTAAGTATCGGGAGACGGTTCAGGGACTCATTGTTCGTCTCGAAGAAAACTGTCGGAGCTGGGCTGGCACGGTTCAACATCTCAGGCTGTCACTTGCTGTGTCCATACAGCTCCTGGCAGCGCTATAATCAGGCCATCGTAGTTCCAAAAGTGTTACGGACATAGGGCGGAACGCATGTATATTAGACAAGCACCGAAGGTCTACTGGGCACTAGGCCGAAGTAGTAATAGTGCGGTCGTAACCCGTTTAGGTACAGGGCCGCCCAGAGCGGGCACGTGACCCCGACATTCCTTAGGGAGACCGCTGGGCGAACGTTAGAGAGACCAGCGTTCAGTCTAATCACCAATGGGACTGGCTATTACTACCGAAGTTGTTACATACATATATTACCTCCATATACACTCTATCACGCTTCTACCATAGTTTACCCCCGCCGGGTGGGAGACCAGTTTAACAAAAAGTACTCCGTACGAAACGGTCAGGGTATAATAGAGACACGGCAGCCTGATGAGCCGAAAGCAATCAATCGTGAACCGTCAACGACCCTGTCATCATCGCAGTCTCATCCAAATAGCTGGAAAGCAGAGAGCAAACACAGGTATAAAGTGATCGATTAAGATGAAACAACATCGAGTTTCAGCGTCCCGCTCCGGGTGGAGAATAGCTAAATCTGGTTAGGAAAGCTGTTTATTTGAGCACGGAGTAGAAGGTGAGATTTTATTCTCGAATGCTATTATGGGATAGAAGATGGTGGTGGTGATGGTGGTGGTGGTTGATACATAGTGATGGTGTTGTCGAATTGAGGGGGTGGTTCATATCGAGTCGGGTGGATGATTGGTACATGCTCTCCGTCTTAACCGTAAATGGTATGTCGTGGTTATGATAGTGGATCCCTAAATTGAACGGTTGTTTAATTGATGTGAACCCCGGGCTGGCTTATAAACTGTCCCGTGTCAATGTCTATTCGCGACGAGATCACCATGCTCAAGTGCCCTGATTGATTCTGATTTCGTTGCTATACAATTTTGATATATCATAACTCATACTCGTGTATATGTAACTGACAAACAAATCATGCAGCCTCATGCAACCGCACCGTAACTGGGTCAGCCGGACAACTCGTCAACGTCAACCCATACCTCACTCCCCTCTGAGGATAAACATCCTCAATCTCATCAAATCTCTGCAACAACCTCACAATCACATACCCAGCCTCCGTCAACGCAAACTGCTGTCCAATGCAGATTCTTGGCCCGCCGTTGAACGGAATATAATCCCAACCAGGCTTCTTCTCCAACCACCGCTCGGGACGGAACTCCTCCGCATCAGGGCCCCAGACGTCCTTTCGTCGGTGCAGGAGGTGCACGTTGTAACCGACAGACTCGCCCTTGCGCACGTATACGGGTTGCATGCCGTCAAGACCGCCGCCGCGGGGGATGGTAGTGTCGCGGACGGCGGTGCGGCGGTTCATGGGGACGACGGGGTAGAGACGGAGGGTTTCGTTGAGGAAGTGTTGGAGGTACTGGCAGGATTTGAGGCCGGAGAAGGTGATTGGTTGCGGGCAGTTGTAGGTACCGAAGGTGTCGACGATGGTTTGGCGGAGTTTCTTGAAGACGGATGGGTGGCGGGCGAGAAGGAGGGTGCACCAGCTCAGGAGAGAGGCGGTGGTGTCACGACCGGCGAGGAGGATGTTGAGGAGTTGGGAGCGGAGTTCGATGGGGTCCTGGGTGGTCGAGGCTAGAGCGTGTAGGAAGACGTAGGAACTGTCATTCTTTTCTTCGTCGAGACCACCGTTCTTTTCGCGCTGCACGATGTCCAGAGCGGATTGGACGAAACGGTCGACAAAGGCGTGGACTTGCTGGGTTGCGCGCTTGGATTCGTTGTTGTCGGCCAGGAAGTGCAATTTCTCAAACCGGCCCCGCTGCGCACAGAACCACTGCGACTTGTCGAAGTAGTACGAAAACTGGTCATCCACATTGTTCATGACGGCAGCCATCTGGCTGTCCACACTCTCACCAAAAAGGAATTCCGTAGCCGAGTCGATAGTAAGACGGAAGAAGATAGCCTGAATATCGGTATCGCGAGTCCAACCACTCTCCTCGTCAACCGTAAGAGCCTTCATCGCATTCTGAACATGCCTTTCCTCCAAATCCAATTGACTAATCTGGTCCCGCGTAAACTGAGGTCGCAGCAAACCTCTCGATCTCGTCCAATCTTCCCCATCAGCGGTAAACTGTTTCATCGGTCAGCGTCTAAATATAAGCACCTTGCAGCGCATAAACTCACAATCCCGGTTCCCAGCAGCGGATGCAGACTCCTCTGGCGTATCACACCCAATTCAAAATCCTTGAACTGTGTCGCCAGCACTGCCTTGATGTTCTCGGGGTCGATGGTGGTGATGGTCTCGCGGGCCATTTGGCGGAACCGGAAGGTTTTCACATAGCGGTTTTCGCGATCGCAGACAGTTTCAAGTCGACGCTCTGTCAGGACGGGCACGAGTTTTTGCTTGTCGGCTTCCATGGTGTCGAAGAGATTGTAGATGCCTAGCGGGTCTTTGTTAGGGTAGTGAGGGACGGGACCGCAGCCCAGTTGACGCGCTTTGTAGGCATGGTGGATGGATTGGATGAGGGAGTAGAGCAGCCGTAGGACAAGCGCAGCGGCTGCAAGAGGTAGAATAACAGTCGACATGATTGTGTCCAACCTAGTGGGATGGTATCATGAGAACAAAAGAGGCGGGAAGCAAGTATTTATGTTGATATGCATGGACCGAAGAGACCGAGGTAATTAGAGTGGGGAGCGACATCATTGTGCCTGGAGAAGAAAAAATACATAAAAATCTACCAATGATAATGACTGACCCTGAATCGCCCGAGGCGTGAATGGTCTGTTTGATTTTCTCGGAGTGACCGACGACTGAATTATGCAATTGTGCAGATTATGCCTGTGCAGGGTACGATGATATCAGATGTCACTGTACAGATACCCATACATTATTCTCTACTATCAACTAATGCATCATTCTGCATCTGTCAGCGCACTGTAGCTGTATTGCGAACAAGTACAAATACAACTGCAATCTGCATAACTTTATGCCTAGATCACTAATCTCGGCAGAGTTCACGCTTCGGCTCTTTGCATTTTCATTGCCTGGAGGAGTTCTCGCATGCCGTGGGGCCAATATGGGGTTCATCTGTTTCAAGAGATCTCTACGAAGTATTACTTGTACTCCATACTATCCTTTTCATACCTTGTGAGAGTGAAGGCATCAAAAAGAATGACTACCATCGGCATGTCGCCAACCGTCTGGGTGAAAAGGGCCAGAAAAAGAAAAGAACAAGGTTGAATCCGCTACAACTCTTAACTATTGACAGACAAACCTGTCAGGATCACCATTTTCCATTACGGAGTCCATAACCACACGGAGCACCCATTTCTGCACGCAAATCGCACGCCAAGAGCAGAACACCGCGGAAAAAAAAAAAAAAAAAGCAACCAAATGGGACCCGTCGACGCAGATACACACCGGTGACCATGACCATCTAGAACCCCCGTCCGGAGATATCCGTTACCTGCCTTTTGATGTGTCGATCAAACACTGCACTTACGGCATTCTCCGTGCCGACTAATCTGCTTTATTCGATGCACATCGACGATGACGGATCAGTGGTGCATATCCTTTGTTATCCCGATCGTTACTTGCAGGATGCGCGGGTGGATTGGTGTTTGGACCGCGCGGTGGATGCGATACCTGCGATCGATGAGGGTGGTACTGGGGTACAAACAAGCAGGGTGTTGCAGATGTTGTTGGATCTGGGGTGTGACAGATATAGTCACGGCGACTGTATAACTAGAGCTTGGACCGGCAGACCGGCATGCCTTGGCAATGCTTCTGCAGTACTCCGTACTCTGTCCGCTCCATCCGCTCCATCCAGATGCCGTACTGTCGACCGGCTTTAACTAAAAAAGTATGCCCAAGGCTTATTCATACTGGCTCGACAGAATAACCTATTCTAGGTCTGCTTAGTATTACTTCGTAGTACTGCCACTGCAGGAATACACAGAAATACAATCTTATCGCATACGAGGCAATCAATGACATCCTTAAGGAGTCCAATATTATCATAATAGATCTATCACAATAGACCGGGGTATAATACAACGTGTGTCCTCCGTAGTAAGAGTATGTAGAAGGTATGCGACGCGAACCGACTCAGCCATTCCCGTTTACCACCATCCCGTTCTCATTTCCATTATCCATTATTCCGTTATCGGGACGAATCGACGTATTTAGCAGCAGATTTCGCAGCATTCGAAGCAAGCAAGACCGGCGCAGCTACATATTATTAGCATATTAGAATCGATAAAGAAAAGGAAGAAAGGGAACGTACATTCCGCAGCAGATACCACCACCGCCGTTACCACCGCGAAGGCCCATCTGCATCGGTTCCTGAGTAGACTGATTGTTTATTAATACTTGTCGCGCATAAACACTAAACACTGAATAAAGGAGCGTACCGGCTGCTCAGTAACAACCTGCTGCTGGGCATGAGGAGCCTCGGGACTCGACGGCTGTTCCATAGTAAGAGTGTTGGGGTTCCATGTGGCGGCGGGGGTTTCCTCCTTGGAGGACTTGAAGAGAGAGAAGTTGAACATTTTGCTTAGAGTAATTGAGAGAAAGAAGAGTGAGGATGAATGAAAAGGAAGGAAATAAAGAGGAAAACGAAGCTTTAATAGATTCCAGGAGACACGCGGATCTAAACCCGAAGGGGTATAAGGCTGGCTAATAATGTTGCCTGGACGCGTGACCCGCCTGGAGATGAGGATTTCCGTAACGGTTTCTGAACGACGGCTGAGGCGGCGTCTGACTCGTGGTATATTTTTAGAGCATGAATGCTTATTTTATTTTGAAAACATCATTATTATCTTCTTCACAGAGAGTTCCGTAGTACTTGTGAATGAGAAGGTGTTGGATATTCTATTCGACTACACAGATCCTCAGCCCTGTAGGGCGAGGACAAGCCTCCTTGGCATTCCGTGCCAAACAACTATACAAATACGACGATTATGACTATAATTACTCGAATACTACTACCAGAAATAGTACCGCGGAATAGGTAGAATTACTTGGGGCTAGTTCCGACGCAGTTGACCTCTTCGGGGAGAGGAAGAGGATCGAGGACGAACGAGAGCAAGAGAAAAAGAAGGGACTAGAAGTCTGTATTCACTCTATGACCAGGAGTGCTATTTTACTTGTTCATACTATTTGATGAAGAGCAGACTAAGTCATGTTGGCCAATGTGATGTGACGTCGAGTGAATTTGGAGGACATTTTACTACGAGATACAGAGGAAAAAGAAAGACAAACAGAACACAGTCATATTAAGAGAATACACGTTCATAAGACATACACACACAGAATAAAACATCGTAACCACCCCAATTATCACCGTCGCAGTTGTCAACCGAGCGAGAAGACGAGAGAGAGGATAGCCATCATATATTCGCCTGACATTCCGTCCAACCGAAGTCGATAAAGAGGCTGTTGAAGGAAGACATTGATCAATATCCGAGCGCTCGCCTTAAAGGATAAGGTCTGTATCGGGCTGGAAGGGGGATCTCACTTGGACCGGAGAGGGTGTTTGACATGGTGATTATTACGGCTTAGGAAACTTCACAAGGCGAGGGCCCGTTAAATTGACAGAAGGGTTAGCCAGAGGGGCCTGAGACTTCCAGGTTGGATGAATATTGACATACTTTCAGTGGGCGCTCTGAAGAAGAAAAACATCACAAACAATAGAGGCATAGAGCCGCGACAAAACCGAAGAATTCTATGCCTGATTCCATGGCGAGAAGTAGTTTTTGGCAAGTCGGTGATGCTTTGGATGCTGTTGTGGAGGATGGTTGGGAGGTGGATTGGGAGATGATTTGGATGACGGAGATGAAGTTGGGAAGTCCTCCTTTTTTATGTGAAGAAGGCACCCTAAGGAGCTTAAAATTGCCAGGCATTTTTACTGATGTAATCGAATTTAAAACAATAACACTACGTCCTTTATGGTCATCTACTAGAAGCATCCACCAGCATCTGCTCATATATTACGAACTACATAGGGCCACGGACAAAGCCAATTGAACCGAATAACTATCAAAACATGCAAGAAGGACATCCCAATAAGGAAAAACAAGATCACATTTTCAGTCTGTCATCTGCTCCTATGTTGCTTCGATTGACACGATCCAGATAAAGAGTAGAATATCACGCCCAGAACATCGCGACTAAAACGACCAGGAACCAGTCATACAAGATTAAATAAAACTTCAGAGAGTTCCATGACGATAGATCCCCAGAGAAGAGCCCAAACAGAAACGAATGATCAGCGAATCATCAGGCACACCCCTTTCACCCAAGTAGGTCGAGTTCATCCAAAAAACTCAGCCCCCAGATATACGCTCTATCAAATCGATCTTCATATTGTGACCTGGCGAAAAGATCATCAGCATCATAGGGATAATCTTCCTCTTCACTTTCTGTCGAAGTAACATCCCTATCAGTGCACCCTTGCGTGCGAACACAACAGCCACATACGCCGGTGCAATGGCCTCGGTTCCATCGACGGTTTGTCGCTCGGGCTTTCTCACAACATCCACAGTCTCGCCCACAGCAGCCTCCTCGTCGAGCACAATCCTCACGCAGCCATTGACAAAGGTACCAGTCTGGATCTGCTCTCCATGACTTGAAGGCTTTGCTGAGAGCACCTGCTGGTATCGCACTTTCAAATTGCCCGAGATCGCGGTTGAGACTCCAGTATTCATTGTTTAGGTTCTCAAGCTCCTTTTCATATGCACTGAGCTGGGATGTTTCTGTGGCCCCCTCACTATCTCCATGCAGTGACTTCTGTAAAGCCTTCATTTCCTCTTGAACATATATTTCACGTTGGACAATCCGGCGCCTTCCAATATCCATCACAATGATACTTCTGGACCACGCCAGACCCTTTTTCTGATTGGAATCAGACCCGTTGCCAAAGATGAGCCAGCGCACGACTTGCGCAAGCTGAGCGTACATCGAGTCTTCTAGTCGGGATTCCAGCAGCTTCATGCCAACATCATTGCGGATGGCCGTTTTCGGCAGTGAGATGAGGACTTTGACCTTGTCGGTGAAGGATGGCCAGTTCAAGAACAGGAAGTTGGTCAACTCGAGAGGATCCTTGACCTGCTTGATCCCCTTGAGCCAGTCTTCCAGCGTCCGCAGCGGTCGTTTTTCCTTTGTTAGAAACTCAAACATGGCGAGCAAATCTTCCAGCGTTGGTAGTGTCTGGGTTTGTTTTCTTTCGAGGCACTGGAACATTTTTATTCTGTGTCTGTGTTGAGTGAAGTTTGTGTTGAGAAGGAGAGATGATGGCTTATTGTCGCGGAGGATTATATGGACATTGAATTCCGACTACTGCCTATCTCCTCAACCTCTGCCTGCTATTCTGGTCGTATGCGAGTAATGACAGTCATATTAGGTCGCAGGCTGCTATTTTAAGGCGCGTATGGGTGATTTAACTAGTGATGTCTTATTTGGTTTGGTATATGTACAGTGAAGAATGTGTAGGCATATATCCGTTTTTACTTAAACAGAATGCCTGCTCTTTTTTGCAGCTATGCCGAATATTCTAGATACCTCCCTGTATGGAATGGGCTATAAGTATGGCCATGTCCTCCCTGTATTCTAGATCCCAGCACACCACACAAGAAAGACGCTCAGCTTAGCTACAAAGTATGTTAGGGATTATTCTCACACTATACATGTTGTTCGAAAGTCCTGGGTGACTCACTAGTAACAGTCTGCTCGTACTTTGGTGATAGTAAGTCATGACCACAACCAGGAGTGCCAATAACCCTGACGTGAGTAGCTCTACAATCCCTTGCTAGTGTTCTCAACTAATGTTCTCATTTTACAGGCCGGCTTTACCGCATAGAACGGACAGAAGATTCATGACGTATGATGCAAATCGTCCTCAGGGGAATGAGCGCGCCAATGAAGTCACATTTTCATTCTACTGTATGATACTCTTTTTGATAGCACCGGCGGAAGCCTATATCAATGGAGCGAAGTTGCTTATTGCATCCGGATCTTGATCTATTTCCTTCAAGCCCATTCAAGCTGGTTCTGCTATGGAGAGACCGAATAATCTTAACTATCCTTTCCGACTTCACTGGGATTAGAGATACCACACACTGGTATGGAGCCCATAGCTCGCGTCTGAACTGACAGAGGCGGCATCGCCGCGGAGGGGTGTTGGGTTGCGGGATGGCAGCTTTTTACCTATACAAATTTCCTTCGATATTCCATTCCAAAACTGAAAATCACAACTTCACTCTAAACCCCCTGAATCCCACCCATAATAAGACCTCAGAGTCGGTGACTCAACCTCCAACACTTTCAACAGCATCCTTCCACTGTAACACAAAAGTCAGCACTTGTCATCAGATCACTAGGGACTGCCCGGACACATTGCAGGGCTTCTCTTACTCACGCCATGGAATATGCCCCGAGACTTCTCATGGGCAGCTTCGTGGCCGCTGGTTGCGGCGCCACAATGGTCTCACCCCCCCCCCCCAGACGTCCTGTGCTCTGGTGGCTCGGGGGTCAAAGAATTGAAGCCCCTGGCTGTGGACGCCAGAATCTAACAGTGCAGCTTTGTTATTCTTATCGGCTCCTTCAACCCCCACCCTTTCCTCCAACCTCATCCATCTTCAAACCCCGCCTGCAATAAAATGGTTAGCATTTCTCGTTCCTCCAAACATCCGGCAGCGCCGGGCACGTGAGCTGGCAAGGATCTTGGGGTAACTCACTAAGACCAGAACGGCGCCCTCCCTTCAAACACACAGTCTCTTCTTTCACAGTTTTGAACACCAGACACGGGCGACCCCTCGTGCTCTTCGCGGTATCGATAAGAATGTGCCGTGGCTGGTGGGAGCAGACGGGCCGAGTAATGTCGTCGCTCGCCGGTATCAACGTGGCGTGCTCTTCTTTGGCGTGTTTGTGGTGGGGTTAAGCTGCTGTATTCTTGAGATTGTCTGGCTTAACGTCTGTGACGCTGGGAGGGCTTGTGTCTGGGTTCTAGTCTTCATAGTCGTGGTTGGGAGATTTGCTATCTGGGTGCCGCAGTGGTAGTTCTCCTTGCACGTCAGCTGGTCCTGGACATCGGGAAACGCTGCAATGTAGCAGCTCTGGGCACGTTGGTGGACAGGGCTTTCGGAATCAGTTGCTGTTAGCCAGGCCACCCAATAAGCCTTGCTCATCAGCATTTCATCATTCCTCTGATGGCAGTATGAGACTGGACGGCGTGGGGCAGGAGCCCAATGGAAGTAAGTTACAACACCTTACTTTCCATTGTGAATTTAAATGCTGATCAATGCATTAAGTCCAACAGTCAGTAACAGACCAGCTGCGGTTGCTTCAGGAACAACAAAAACGACAGAGAGAAGCCTTGCAGCGACTGCAGCTGGTCTCCCCCAACTCCCACAAGCGCAGCAGCAGCAGCCCCAGTTCCCATGCCCATCCCCCCAGTTGCAGGCGCCTATCAAAATCTACAGCAGCCAGTTCCCATTGCTCCGGCGAAGGCGGGCGTTGCACAGGCCGTACCACACCTAGCATCTGTAAGCAATCCAAGAAACCCATCGATGGTTTCGGGTTGTGCTCGGTTATGGAGTCAAAGAAGAACGGAAGGTGCTGACAATGATGTTGCAGGGCATCCTGGGTTATTAGGCTTGTGTCTGTTTTTGTCTACATATTCTTGCTGCTGAGCGGAATGCTGCAAATTTTACCTACGACGGTATCGAAATGGGTGGTGGTCGAAGATACACTACATGCGGAGGGGGCGGTTACCTCGACGGATCGTTATTTGCAGGGCAAGAGACTATCGGGACAAGGACATCAAGAGGCTGTGCATTGTGGAGTATTGGCAACTTGCATGGTATAGATTATGTCGTTCTTGGTGTGCCCGTTTGATTTGCATCTGTTTTTGTGACACTTTTTAAAAACACACTGTTATCGGTTAGCTTCACCAAATTAAGCAAGTATGCATGACACTCTGATCATCATGACCAATGGAGGCGAGTACAGGATCCAGTTCCATGGTGTATTCAAGCATTTCGAGGCTGCTGTTCTCATTCGACATCGTTCGTAGTCGGAGATGCGGAGGGCAGTCCGGCAGCCGAAGTAGACCCACCGCGCATGATGGACATCCCGATGTTGACAGCAACACATCTACACCACCACCACCACCAACCCTGACACTGACATTGACCACTATGACCGACCTCACACCCACCCTGAACACCCTCTTGATAGAAAAACACTCATCCAAAACCATCCCGCCACCAACATCCCGCCTTCCGTCCACCGAAACCGCCGATGAATTCCTCAAGGAAGCATACCGCATCGTTCGTCCCCCGAGCTGAATGAAGTCACGATAACAGCGAAGCTAACAAGCAATAGAACTCCCACATCGCCTCCCTCCTCCACTATCTCCAAACAATCCGCCACTCCTACCTAAAAACAACGAATGCGCCTCCGCCATCGCAGCGCCAACAACTCCGCCGCACATCCTCCGTCTCGAAACACCCCCAACCTCAACCACACCAAAACGGACAAGAAAAGCAGCAACCCCAAGGAACCCTAACAGACCCCCAACGCGACGAAATCGACACCTCAACCTCGACCCTCCTCCGCGACCTCTCATCCTCCATAACAAACCTGTCCTCCGCAGAGTCGCTCCGCCAGGAAACAGAGTCTACACTACTGCGCAAGAAATATGGTTCTACGAACATCCTCTTCCGATGGGCGAGCGGTGGTGATAAGAATGACAAGGATAAGTCTGTTGAACAGCGAAGGGAAGAGGAGGTTGTGAGATATGTGCGTGTTGTTAGGGAGGGTGTTCTGTGGTTTTTGAGGAGGGGATTGGAGGATGTTGTAGTCGTGCAGAGGGGGATGGTTGAACGGCGGATTGAGAGGGTTAGGGAGAGGGAGAAGAGTGTTCTTTATAAGGCTGCTGCTGTGGGTGCGGGGACGGGGACGCCGGTGAAGGCGCAGACGAGGGGGGAGGGTGCGATTGGGGAGTTTGGTGGTGGTGTTGGTTTGGATACGCACGATGCGGCTGCGATTAGCGAGAACGAAGTCGCTGCGATCGAAGCGGAGTTGTCCCCCGAACAACTGCAGTTGTTCGCGGAGGAGAATGATACCATGTTACGGTATTATGAGGATACGCTTGATAAAGTGCAGTACGTTTTTCCCCTCCCCCTCACTCACTCCCCGTAATTTCCCCAACTCTTCGGATCTACAGGTACTAATCAATGTGGACGGGTAGAAATGCGGAGAAATCCCTCCTTGAAATCGCATCCCTCCAACAAACCCTCGTCGGGCATCTAGCCACGCAGGAAGACTACATCGACCAGCTAGTTACGGACGCGAGTAATACGACGACGAATATCGGGGAGGGCAATAAGGAGTTGAGGCGTGCGACTGAGCAGCGGAGTACGGCGCAGGCGGTATTTTGGGGGACGGTTGGGTTGTGTACGTGGTTGGTTGTTTGGGATTTGGTTTTCTAGACTGGTTTTCTAGGATGAGGATGAGTGAGGATGTTAAAGTGGATGTGATTACGGTCATTATGATTATTGTTTGGTACGACTAGTCATCCTAATGCTTAACCGAGCAAAACAAAAAGGCAGGCATGGCGGGAAAGCTATGAAGTCTCCCGTACTACAGCATCAACCGAATCGGCAAAGTAATCCAGGTTATGCGAGTTCAGACCCGCCATGGAGATACGGCCGTTTTTAGTCTGGATATGGATAAACGGTTAGCCGTTGTACAGTTGCCATGCAGATCATGCAAGTAATAGTGGAGCAGTCCATGCAAAAAATCAAAAAAGGAAAACTTACCATGTAAATATGATACTTTTCACGCAACAACTTCACCTGCTGCTCGCTCAATCCGGTAAAACTGAACATCCCAATCTGGTTCGTGATATGCTCCCATGACCCGGGTGTGCCCTTTGCCTCGAGACGATCGCGCAGACCCGTTCGCATCGCTTGGATACGACCGCTCATCGTGCGCAGATCCTCCTCCCACGAAGCGAATAGCTGGGGATCGTTCAGGATGCGACTGGCGATCTGCGCACCGTACGCAGGCGGGTTCGAGATCTCCGAGCGCTGCAGGACAGCGAGCTGGGTGGCGATGTTCTCAGTAGCCTTAGCAGCATCGGGACCAGGCGCGGAAACGAAATGGAAAGCACCGGTACGCTGGCCATACAGACCAAAGTTCTTCGCGAACGACTGCGCAATGCACAGCTCGAAACCGTGCTCGATAAAGTACCGAATCGCCCACGAGTCACGGACAAGATCCCCTGACGCAAAACCCTGATACGCACAGTCGAAGAACGGGAAGTGATTTCTCTCACGCATAACCAGCGCAATCTGTTTCCACTGCTCCTGCGTCGGATCAACACCCGTGGGGTTATGCGCACACGGATGCAACAACACAATCGACCCCGCCGGCGCCGCCCTCAACGCACCCGCCATCCCCTCAAAGTCCAACCCCTTTGTCTTCGCCGAGAAATACGGGTACTGAGCCAACGAGAGCCCGACATTCGAGAAGATCTGGTGGTGGTTCGCCCAGGTCGGGTTGGAGAGGTAGATGGCTGGTTTCGGGGTGGAAGGGTGGAAGCGCGAGAGGAAGAGGCCGCCTAGATGGACGGCGCCGGTGCCGGAAATGGTTTGCACGGTGCTGACGCGGGACTGGGTGATTGCTGGGGAGGAGGGGCCCATTAGGAGGGAGGCGGCGGCGGTGGTGAGGGGGGCGAGGCCTTTGATGGGGAGGTATTCATTGAGGGTGGGGATTTCGTGGATGTCGTTGCGGACCTTTTTTTTTTTTAAAAAAAAAAAAAAAAAAAACATTAGTATATCATCTAAATCTGGATACCAGGTGATTGGGGGAATACCTTTTGCACAGAAGGCAAAACCCACGGTTTCGCATCGTCATCTCTGTAGGCACCGATAACGAGGTCGACCTTTTTATCGGATGGATCGCGCTTGAAATCCTGCGCCAAACCGAAGAGCGGATCAGGCGGAGCAGCAGCGATGAGCGATGAAGAGAACACAGATGAGGGAGTTGAAGGAGCCATGATTTGTGAGGAGAGATTGGCGAGACGTTGGGAGGGAGTAGAGGATGAAGGGGCGGAAGTTGGAGAGGCGGACGGCATGGTGATTGATTATATGGGGAATGTTAATGAGGAGTCACACGACAAGAATTGCCTCAAAGAGTTCACCGATGAAATATATTACACGATTTTATACAGTGGATGGCATGTTCCATGTTACAGGCATTGCGATATTAAGTATTTATATGTGTTAATCAGGGACCGGGGCCAGGGCCGAGGATGTCGGTTCACATGTCCTTGGTATCTTATGATTCCATAAAACTGCTATTGTATTCCTATCCTCTCCTATATTTTCTGCCATTTCTCGATAATTCTACTCTGCCTTATACTCCGCATTGTACTCCAATCTCTCTCCGCATAAATCCCGCATTTGTGTTGGCCAACCGAAACCGATCTTTTGTCAATTTGCCACGGACTTTTACCGACGGTCTTGGCCTCCTTGTGTCGAGAACGCTCCAGCAAAATCACGTGCATACATTGTTTATGTACTTCTGCATACAAACATGTACTGCTGTATTATGTACAGCACAAGAATGCTGAATGTCGGCGTACTTATAAATGTAGATAACAACCCAGAATTAATCCACAACATCATGCTAAATACTACCCTGGCCTCCCGATAACATGTCCCTCGGCGCCTAGCCCCCCCCCCCCCCCCAAGCTTATTCGGCTACCATCGCCCATTGTCGGTCAAAGTCTCTCCTTATGTCTGGGGGTGATTGCGCCAAGGATGAGGCGTTTGTTTGGATAGATTTACTGCGTTTGGGGGGGAGATTTTACGTGAGAGTTGCATCCTGGCGGTGGATATGGGTATGGATGGACTTACTGAATAGGGTGAATAATTACCAAGGAGAATCTGAACGATGGTTTGGGGAGTGGATGTAAGCCCGCGGGAACCTACGTATGTACCGGGTTTTGTTTGTGTGGGCCTAACTAGCGGCGATGCAGTGCCTGGCGTATCTCCGCATAAAGCGCCGTATGTCTTTCCGCTTGTTGGGCAACGGAGCGTTGATCATTGATCATTTGTTGTCTAGAATGACAGTGCTTGGTATCGAGTTGGCGCCCGAGGAGATCCGGGAACATCAAACGGGATAACCGTTTGATGTCGGCTTTCCGAGGAAACTTCCTCTTCGGGGCCATGCGGGTGTTAACTATAGTACCGAGTTGACAGCGGTGGATGTGTACTGGACTACAACTTGGATCGATGTCCGGCCGCATCAGAGACTGAATGAGCCAAGGAGTCAGTGGCCTATTTTATAGAGGATGGGTTTGCAGGATACATAAATGTCATAGTCGTATTCCAACATGATATATACAAGCATTTTCGTCAAGGACGCCAACCAACGCCAAAACCAATCAATCATACAATCCATCATTAACCATATACCAGAAATCATGCAATATACAATATCCATCACTGTGGAGGCTCGGGCTGTGCGTCACCGTGCGTGCGAGTCCTTATCCGGAAGCGCTCGCGGAGTCGGGTAGACAGTCGATTCCGGTGTCGTTGCTCGTCAGCATCTTCGGTCTCCCCGTTGGTCCTGGCCTCTTCCCGTACGGTCCGAAGAGCGGCTAGTCGTTCCTCAACCGTGGCCTCCCGCATGCGACGTGCGTTCAATGTGCTTGAGAAGTAGCCGGTAAGCCGTCGTTGACGTGTCTGCCGTTCCGGCGTTGGATCGCGTATTTGAGGGTGACCGTCGGTGCCTTGCTGCTGCTGCTGCTCCTCCTCCTCCTGTTCTTCTTGGGGAGGGTTGAGGTCAATGCGACTGCGATCGTTAGCTACACATCTCACATATACATCTTATAGCAGAAGAGACATACCACAATGGACACGTTCCAGACACATTCACCAACCATGGATCGATACAGTCGGGATGGAACTTGTGGCTGCAAGGAAGAACCCGCAAATCCTGTCCCTTGACAAAGTCATCCGTACAGATCGGGCATGAAAAGTTACCGGCGTCGGGGGTGGACGGTGTTGCACTCGATCGTTTCTCATCTTTCGACGGAACTTCATCGGGTGACGCAGGTTGGACGGTGTCACGAGCCGGGGTTGTCTCCTTGCGTTGCTCATCGGCAGGGGCTTCTGCTCCAGACTCCGGGATTCCCATCTCCACATCATCTTTGGCGGGATCGGGTTTGCCTTGAGGTTCGTCGCCAAACTTGACGATGGGTATGGTTTCCAACATCGCCCTGGCTATACCTCGTGCTCGACTTTGACGACTCCTTCGTCCGATGGCGTATCTGGGGCCATAGCGTTCGGGATGACGATGAGCGCGGATGGCACCGGTAATGATGATGGCGAGGAAGAGGACGGTGATAATTCCGGTAATACTATATAAAATGATCATCGCTGTCATGGGTTAACAAATTGAACCACATTGCGTCCAAGGACTGCACCAACCCGTATTAGGACTCCCGCCCGATGAATCATTGTTGTTCTCCTCACCACTAGGGTTGCCACTAGGCATGTAGGCCATGATGACACTTCCGGAGGACCGATGTCAAATATAAAGACCGCGCGAAGGAAGATTCAACTATGAAGATGCGTACGCGCCCAGCACGTCGTCATCCACAACGGCAATATATAAATACTATGTATAGTAGTCGACAGCAGCGCGAAAGCCAATGCTGCTATAGGTGGATAATTGCGGCCGGCACGTCTGACATTTAACAACGCAGAATCGGATGATTGACGTCGGTACGGACGAATGAGTTGGGCCAACGTGGGTTGCCGCGGTCAGCGATTGTGGCTTATCGAGGCCCAAGTCCGAGTTCACGAGCGGTCAATTGGAGTGCAAGATGAGATGAACCGAGGGAATCCGAGGCGACCGTAGGGCGGCGGCAGCGGCGGACTGGGTGAGAGGTAAACGGGAGCCAGCCCCATGAAATGATATAACAACAATCGGGGACAAAAAGGAGATGGCGAATGTTACCCCGGATAACAGAAGAATAAATGAAGAAGAAAAAAAGTCAAAAGAAGAAAGAAAGAAAACGGGAAAAGTTGATGAGGGGGGTTGGGAGAGTTCATTTGGTTTAGTCAGCGCCGATCATTGCGGAGATCCGGTTCGGACACTTGCACTTGTATTTGTACTTATACTTGCACCTGTACTTGTACCCTATGTGTACTTTATGTACTCTGTACCTGTTCTTGTACTCTACTCTGTACAAGTACTTGTATTTTGACCCCTATCTCTCTATAGAGTAACAACACGAGACAGTACGTGGTACAAGGACATGTGACTCGGGCCTTCTCCGCTCGATCCGATTCCGGAGGGATCATCCTTATCTGCATTTTCCATTTCCGGATCTATCTGAAGGACCTGAAATAGTACAGTGCTCTGAACAGTATTAAGACCCCTGTAATCAGATTGATAAAGAAAGTATATATCCTTGCAGTGTATTTCGTTCTATGTACAGAGAGAATTTAATCGGTATCCCTCTAGCAAAATCAGACTATGTGCATAACCCCGGAATCTCACGGCTTGGCAGGCGGGGTGGAAAATTGGCAACCTGTTTTTTGCCGGTGATATCATCCTGTATATACACCAGTAAATCTCTGTAAAATCGGCAATTGAATTCCTTTGGTCTAATATTACTAGTAGTATTACTCTGTACTAGAGGACTGCCTGTAACCGGTGACGCGTCAGTGTAATCCTGCGTTTCAGGATTGGCCGTGCGTTAATGGTACTGTGGTACGGAGTACATGTTGTTTTATATCGATGTACAAAGTATGGAGTACAGTTGTTTGTACTCTACAAGTACTCCAGCATGACACTCGTCTATTCTGCACCCTATTACTGTCTATAACTCAATCGGCAAATTAATCCTCCGAAGCTGTGGCTAAATATATGGCTTCCCTAATTGGTTGTTTCTCGCTTGCTCGACCAATCAGAAGGCAAATTCCCGCCCTCGACCGGGGTCTCGACCACCCATCGGTCCAGGGCTCCGCCGTAACCGGGCCGTTGATTGGGCCGAGAACTGCGGAGGGTTTGCCGCGGGCAAGGCCGAGGCTCTGAGGGGGAGAAAATTGGGAAAGAATTGATCAGAGAAGACAACAGAGAAGACCAAAAGGAACAATCAATGATATGAAAAGAGTGCAATAGAGAGGAACGAGGAACTACGAAAACAACAGAATATGGGCAGTCAGTGATGGTCTCTCTTTCCTTGTCTAGAGTCACCGGCATGGCAATTCCCTCGTTCACTCCTCATCACTCGCTTCACCATATTCACTGCCATTTTGATTCTCCATAACACCATCGCCCACTAAAATATATATAAAGATGGTTTCCCCCTCGTCCGCCTTATCCGCTCATAGGCGCGCTCTAGACGAGAGAGATCGAGCCGTCTGGGGTAAGCGGTTTGATTCGAAACCAGTCCGGTAAGTCTGTCAGATCGCGTTTCTTCCAGCCAATGACCACCACCATGACCGGGATTAACCAAACAATTATCATCAGCCCAGCTACCGCCGAATTGGACATCGAATACAATGAACTCATACTCTCCTGGAAGGCGTTTCAGGACAATCTCGCCGCGCCCCACGACCAGACCGACTTCTTCCCGCACCCTCAAAATCCCCGCGATGTTATTGCCCGTGTCCGGAGCATCCAGTCTGCTTGGATTGCCAGTCCCCAGAAACACTTCTTCAGTACCGCCATGAAGCTCTGTGATCGGTTCCTGGTCACCATGGACTCTCATTCTGCCCTGCTCACCATCCTCCCGGATCACGAATGCTATGCGTCTCTCTTTTACGGTGTTTTACAATCGGTCTTCAAGGTGGGTAACCTGACTCAGGCGCACCGCTCACTTTGCTAAACCGTCAAGGCATCTGCAAACTATCCCAAGATCATCGACGGTCTGTTGAAAGCCCTGGTCAAGGTCAACGAATCCATCTGTTTGCCCGGAAAGAACCCCTCCGATGCCGTCGAAAATATGACATCCCGAGTCGTCCGATTTTACTCTCTCGTTTTCTTCCTCTTGGCCGAGTTTATGGACTGGTATGTGCGACGGGCCAAGTGTCGTTTGCTGAAAAGCCCCAATCACGAGCCCTACGCCCATCTCGAAAATCTCGTCTGTACTGTTCGCTCCCGAGGACTCGATATCATGCGTGAATTCACCGACGGATTGAACTTGGAGGACCGTGGATGTGCAAAGAAACGTCGAACCATGCAAGCTAATGCTTCGTATCTATGGGAAGAAGCTCGCATCCGCCAGGTGGGCCTGCAGGGGAAGGACCGTCACGTCGCCGCTCAGAACACCATCATTCGTCATTTGATTTGGGATTTGCAGGACGATGACGCTCAACGGAGCCGCATGAGAGAGGATCGAGAGTTTCTCCTGTGCAAATGGCTCGGTACGGCCAATGGTCAGTTGCATCCAGTCGGTGAACAGAAAAGTGGCATTGCTTGTTTGACCACTACTCCTTCACAAGACCTAGGTATGTTTTGCTACGTCCTTGAAGAATTGACCTGCTAATTTACCAGCTACATCTCGATTCGATTGGTCCTACGGTTCCCGGCGCAAATACACTCGAGTCGAATTTCAATACGCATCCGCACATTTGCAGAATCACTTTGACAATGACGACCAGATAGTCCACTTCGAACCTGATGTCGAAGTCGTGACAGAAGCCAACGTCTTGTCCTCCTTGAGTCAGTGGGGTACGGGCTCCAATTCGCAAGTGCTGGCCGTAGGAGGCTCCCCGACTACCGCCTTTCCCAGTCCTGTCGCTTTGATTTCCGCTTGCTACGCCTTTTATGCCCGCGAGGCAAAGCTGCCGGTGATTTCGCACTTTTGCACCTTACCACTTGAGACCCGAGAAAACGTGACGCCGTTCGAACAAGGATTGCTCGCCCTCGCTTACAGCCTGATTCGCCAGCTGGTCGATTGCTTGCCGCCAGTGGTAGACAGCAATGTCGCTTGTCATCTCAACTGCGAGCGATTTCGATTCCTGAACGACACCCTTGGATGTTGGAAGGAGGTGTTATCCCTGATCGACTGTCTGTTGTCTCTTGCCCCTCCGCTTTTGGTTTGCGTGATTGATGGTCTGGACGTACTTCAAGATGATTCGACTGATGTCTACATTCGGTCTCTGGTACGAGTTCTTTTGACACACACGCGACACGAAACGATGGAGATGCCTGATGGGAAGCACGGTCAACGAGTCTTACTCAAGGTGCTGTTTACTGTGGCCGGACGACCGAGCTCACTGGTGGAAACTCTGTCGGAAAACCTGCACATTCTCACCGAATCGAATCGAGTTGATCCGACGCTTTTAGCAGATGACCCGGCTTTGATTTCCGATCCTTCTGTTGTTATGAATGCATGATTCTTTTCCTGGTTAGTATTATTACGGTTTGGGTGCGGTTTGTCGTTCTTTATGATGGATTACATGGACTTGTATAGTGTAATGATTAGTATAGTTAATAGACTTGGTCGTTTGGAGTATCGACAGATTGATTCATCGTGCTTTACTAGTAGTCGGCCATACATTTGGACCGTACAGAGTACTATTATGGGCAGAATAATTCTCAGTACACATGTACTAACAGCACTTTCTATTCGCGACTTCCGACTTATCCGTATACCGGAATGTAAATATCACCGCAACGTAAAACTCTCCTGGTTCTTTGTTTATATAATGCATTTATATGTGGCAACAGTATTTCGTAATCAAGTCTCAATACTGTCAGATGAAGAAGTTGTGGTGGTGGAGACATGGCACTGAGAGACGCGTTCTTAGTTTTTACACTTCGGTGTAGGAGCAGCACTCTACTCCGCACTATCAAACACCATCAAGTGAATACCAGCAAGCGACCTCGGATGAACATATAAAAATCCTTGGTATACATTGTGCGAAAGTTACCTGACTTTCTTCTCCAGCACACTCGGATATAGGTTTCCGATTAGGGCGGAATTCATTTTACTTTGGCCCACGGTATATATATATATCTTGCCAACCCCATCGCCTCCACCCACCACCCACCAAACAAGACCAGACAACATGACCAACACGAACGGAACCAAAAGTGCCAACAAGAGCACCAGGCTCTTCAACGCAGAGTCCCCCAAACTATCCGACTTCAAACAAATTTGCTCCCGCACCACCAACCCAGCCGATTACCCACTGGCATCCTCCATCGCCCACAACATTCCCATATACGAGATTACCAAACTCGACCCGACGGATGTATCCACTACGTCTGCTTTACAGGATGAATGGTACGATATCCTTTCCACCGGAGCCGGCGTCTTCGTCCTGAAGGGCATGTACGACCCGGCCAAATACGAACAAACCCTCACCGCAACGAATGAATCGTTCAAGCGCATAATAGCCCATGAAAAAAACGACCCCACCAAGCCCAAGGGTGATCATTTCGCAGCATCGGGGAAGAATGATCGCATTTGGAACTCCTTTGGAAAACATGCGCTGGACGATCCCGACTCTTTCCTGCACTACTACGCAAACCCCTGGCTAGAATCTGTCAGCGAAGCCTGGCTCGGTCCCGGGTATCGCGTCACAGCGCAGTGCAACATCGTGAAACCAGGCGGAAAGGCACAGGATAGTCACCGGGACTATCATCTCGGTTTCCAGGATCTAGGCGCTTGCGAGCGGTTTCCCAGGGGCTTGCATCTGGCTAGTCAGTATTTGACGTTACAGGGTGCTGTCGCGCATAGCGATATGCCTGTTGAAAGTGGACCGACGAGGTTCTTGCCGTTTAGCCAGGGATACGAGATTGGGTATCTTGCGTGGCGGAGGGAGGAGTTTCGGGAGTTTTTCCAGGAGAAGTATGTTGCGTTACCGCTTGCGCTGGGTGATGGGGTGTTTTTCAATCCTGGTTTATTCCATGCAGCGGGTGCGAATGAGTTACCTGCTGAGTGTGCGTTCCACCGCAAGGCGAATCTGTTGCAGGTTAGTTCTGCGTTTGGGAAGCCGATGGAGACTGTTGAGACGGTGCCTGTTGTACGAAGCTGCTGGGAGGGTTTAACAAAGCGGTTTAAAGAGGCTGGAGGGGTAGATGAGGAGTTGAGGTTGTTGGTCAAGGCGATTGCGGAGGCGTATCCGTTTCCGACAAATTTGGATAAGAGGCCTCCTGCGCCGAGTGGGATGGCGCCGGAAAGTGAGCAGGATATTGTGATTAGGGGGTTGGAGGGTGGGTGGACTGGGGAGGATGTGGTTAAGGAATTGTTGAAGATGAAGGAGGATTCTAAGTAGCGTTTAAGAATGACCACGCGATATCACCTGCCATCCCTTTCCATCTGAAACGGAAAATGAATTACTGCAGAATGATTGAAGTTGTTATTTATCCCAACCACAGCATCAATATAAGCTCTGGAATGCAGCATTAGCATTCCCCGTCGCGCGGTAACATACCCCAAACACCCCTTCATAATAACGACTTTCCCACTTCCATGTCCCTTATTCCTAAAAATACACCAACAAGAGTAAAACAATACATCCCATATGCATATACAGCGGTCTCATGCTACGAACATGACCCGTCCCGGCCTCGCGCAGAAGCGCCTTACCTCGCATCGCTTCCACCAGATTCCCGAGACGCCAGCGGAGGATGAATCGATGATAGCTAATGATGTTACTATTGATATTCCGTTGAATGAGGAGGATGAGCACGAACACGATCAACATGGACATGAATTTCACCAGCACAACCAGCATAATCAACAAAACGAGGACCAGCAGAACCAGAACCACGACCAAGACAGAACAGACGCGCACAGCAAAAGCGACTCCCTCTCATTCTTCAGATACCACAGCTCAATACACAACGAAGAAGAAGGCAGTGAAAAAGCACACCTCGTCCCAGACTGCGACGCATCCTCAACAGGCCGACGCCGGAAATCCAAACCCCATAGAACACACAACAACACTCACACCACCAACCCCAACCCCAACTACAACTATAAACCTAGCGACGACCACAAAGAACACCTCCCAGACGGAAACAAAAACCTAACCCGCCTCCACCGCCTCTACAAATCCCTCATAAACTCCTCCATCATAACACGCTACATCGCCTACATAACACCCCTCGCGATCCTAATCGCAACACCCATTATCGTCGGTGCAACGGTAGCCCGCTACGCGACTATCGGTGGTGTCACGTTGTATTGGTTCTTTGCGTGGATTGAAGTCGTCTGGTTGAGTTTGTGGGTGTGTAAGATTCTGGCGAGGGGGCTGCCGTATGTTTTTGAGAGTTTGTGGGGGGTTGTTAGTCCTGGGGGGAGGAGGTATGGGCTTGTGCTTAGGGCTTTGGAGATTCCGATTTCGTTGGTGGGGTGGACGGGTGTTTCTTTGGTTACTTTTTTTCCAGTATGTTGTTTCCTTTTGATTTATGGGGCTTGGTGGGTAGGGCTGACTTGACAGATAATGGCGCATAACCCTGATCGAATAGCGCATGGGGATACGAACCCCAAAACATGGGAGAAGTCGGTTAAGAATATCCTCTTTGCGCTGTTCGTGTGCAGTCTTATCTTCCTAACGCAGAAGACGATGATTCTACTTATTTCGATAAACTATCACCGGAAACAATTCGACAGCAGGATCAAAAAGTCAAAACGCCATGTTCAGCTGCTTAGTACGCTCTATGAGGCGTCGCGGACTATGTTCCCGATGTACTGCAAGGAGTTCTACGACGAGGATGTGTTTATCTGTGACTCCATGCTTGCGGCTGCTGGGGGTACTGCGTCGTCGAATAGTTCGTTCCTGCGAGGAAGGGCGGGTATCATTCGGAACGTGGGCCAGAATGTCAACCGCTTTGCGGACCAGGTTACCGAAGCTTTTGGGAATGTTGCACAGGAGATTACGGGGAAACATGTGTTTAACCCGACGGCAGCGCATTCGATCGTTACGCAGGCGTTGGAGAAGAAGAAGTCTTCTGAAGCGCTGGGAAGACGGATCTGGATGTCATTTGTTATTGAAGGGCGGGAGGCTCTGTTCCCTGAGGATATCGCTGAGGTACTCGGGACCGGACGGGAGGATGAAGCCGAAGAAGCTTTTCAGTTACTGGATCGTGATGAGAACGGGGATATCAGTCTTGATGAGATTATCCTGGGTGTCACGGAAATGGGGCGGATGCGCAGAGCGCTGCATCACAGTCTGCACGATGTCGATCAGGCGATTCAGGTTCTGGATAACCTGCTTCTCACTGTCGCTAGTATAGTGGGTGTTCTCGTCTTCATCTCCTTCGTGACATCTGGCTTTGGAACGGTCATTGCCGCCGGAGCAACATCGTTGCTCTCACTCAGTTTCATCTTCTCAACAACCGCCCAGGAAGTCCTAGGCTCATGCATCTTCCTCTTCGTCAAGCACCCCTTCGACGTCGGTGATCGTGTTGATATCAGTGGCCGGTCGTACATGGTCGAACGCATTTCCTTGCTCTTTACAGTTTTCCATTGCGTCTCAGACCACCGCATCACGCAGACGTCGAACGCAACCCTAAACACCCTCTGGATCGATAATATCACCCGTGCAGACGCCATGCACGAGCAACTCACCATCAGCGTGAACTTCAACACCACTTTCGCTGATATTCAGTCTTTACGAGTTGAAATGGAAACGTTCGTCCGGAATAAGGAAAACTGCCGAGACTTCCAGCCCAATGTCGAGCTTGAAGTCCTTGGTGTCGGCGACGACACAGACAGACTACAGTTGCGAGTTGACATCCGCCATAAATCAAACTGGGCCAATGAGAGTGTCCGCGCTTCGCGTCGCTCGAAGTTCATGCGTGCTCTGGTCCTCGCCATGAAAAAGCTCCACATCCGTGGCCCCGGCGATGATTCCCCAAACAGCCTAGAAGACGACGAACCACCACCCCCATCCACCAATACCAACAACGACACCGATAACAACCCAAACAAACGCGACTCAGACACGAGCACAAACGCCCAAATCCGCGCAACGCAAGAACAAGGCCAATCCACAGCACACCTCATGGTCCCGCACAAAGCAAACCCCCCAACAGGAGCCAGAACGACCGGATTTGACAGGGATAGGGAGCAATCCCCCGTATCCACAAACTCCATCGCATCCTCAGGCCTCTTCCACCGCCACAGCGTACCCTCCCGCCAGAATACATCGAGCGCAAATACAGGCCTGAGACCGGCGACGACGACGACGCCAGGAAGTGTTTCTGAATTTCACGATGATTCGTATCAGACGCCTGCTACGTCGCCGGAGCGGATGCGGCATGGGAATGCGGGGGTGGGTGTGGGTATGCGGGATGGTACTAGGACGCCTGTGCAGGCGATTGTGTCAAGGGGGTCGTCGATGGAGCGGAGGAGGGGTACGGAGATGAGTGAGGAGAATGGGAATGGTAATGGGGATGAGGAGGCTTCGCCGTATCAGGGCAGGTATCGGCCGTTTAGTTATCAGGCGTATCCTGGTGGGGGTGTTGGCCTTGAGGTGATGCAGGTGGGCATGGGAATGGGAGGACCGATGCCGCCGGAGCATTCGGAGCCAGTTTTGCAGTCGGGGATACAGGGATCTAGTTATTACTATCCCTACTCGCACATGGAGATGCGGTACCAGCTGTATCGGGAGAATGGTCAAGGTGACAGTGGTGCTCCAGCGTACGATGAAGTTTTTGGCGGACCGGCTCAGGGACAAGAAGAACAGGGGCCGCAACAAAGGCAAGAGCGGCAACTAGAAGAGCTGCTTGAATTGCCAGCTGGACTGGAGTATCCGGACGAGTCTGGGCATGAAATGGATCCGGTTTCGCCGTTGTCTCCTTCGCCGGCTGGGAACTCGAATGGGTCACGGGCTGGGTCTGTGGAACAGGGAATTGGGAAGCCTCGGGGGCCGCGGTGATTGTTCTTAGTCTATTCGTGAGGTGATTGTGATGGATACTGTAAACTAGATAACGACGGATACCCGGAGGACACATTCATTCATAGGAGTTAAGAGCCATCTATTAACTACTATAATACAATAATCAACCGTTTTTCCATAGTTAGCAATCATACCATATCTAAGCTAGTCCTGTAGCAAAGCGAGCCCCCTTCAAGAGTTTATTTAGTCTCTTTCCACGGGTAGCCCACCGGATCGCCCTTGCGAGTCCAGATCTTCGACTTTCTCTTGTTCACCACGTGCTCTACCCAGACTTCCCTGCTGTGCGCCGCCTTGAACTTGCGAATCCAGCGGGGGTCCCAGAGCTCGCTCGCAATTCCCAGATCCTTACAGCACCGCACCAGCGCGTTCGAGCGGCATCCCTCTGTCGCGGTGGGAATTCCGTCTGGCGAGAAGTAATCCTGTTCACCACGGGCGACAGAGACGAGACTGTCACCGTTAGCAACCATCAACCTGAAAAATATGGCATAGGAAACGTACCGTCCATTACAAACCAAAGCATACTCCCTCGTCACCGTCTTAGGCGTCACAATACTCTCACTCCTAGGAACCAACCCCCATCCACCAGGTCCAAACGCCTTATTCAAAATCCGTCTGTACTTGATCTCCGGCAGATACAAAATTCCATCAGGCTTGATCTCTACCTCCTCGGGGTCCGTAGGCGCGAGCAAAACATCCGCCGCTTCCTTGGGGAACGGGGCCGCGCTCAGTCCGTGGAACGAACGCGTCCAGTCGATCTTCTCCTCGGGCGTAGTTTCCAGCTCCAGCGGTTTATCCGAGAGGCCGGTTTTGGAGATGTTGGGCGTGGTTTGCTGGTTCGGGGTAGGGGCGACGACGCGGGAGGCGCGGTCTGCGGGGGTTCCTGAGGTTGATCCTGCGGATGTGGTAGTCTTGGAGGCAGGAGTGGACGAGGTAGAAGAGGTAGAGGGGGGTGTAGCGGATTGTTGTTGTTTGAGAGGTGAGGAGGTGGTTATCGTGCGGGCGAGGGTGATCGACGGCGCGTAGCTGGTTGGGTACACGGCACGAGAGCTCGAGACGAGAGTTTGGGTGTGTCTGAGCGACTTCAGGGCTCCTGATGCCCGCAAGGAGCGGGTGAGCTGTGAAACCGGCATGGTGTGGTTGGGTGTTGATGAAGTCATAACGCTAAGGTTGGCGGCGGATTTCTGTATAATGTCACGTGATATCATTTGTTTGCAATTGCACAAAGCACTATGGTACATTGTTATAGTACAGAGAGGAGAGAGAGAGACTGAAATAATACAGAAAGACTGAATAATAATCAAGCATCCCTGGACTGCGTGCGCTGGTCGTTGCCCTCGCGCTTCCAGCACTCGCGAAAGGCCGCCATCTGGAGCTGTCAGTCAGGCCTTGCAATTGAATGTCATGTATATAAGCCGGGAAACAAAAGGAATAAAAGGGGAGGAAGAGGAGGAAGCAGAAATAAAGCTATCAAAAAGAAAGAAAAACGAAGCAGCAGAGCTACCAGCGACTCACCTGCTTCTGACACTTCCGCCAATCCTTCCTGTTGAAAAAGCAGTCGTTTAATTTATCCTGCTCGACTAGAGGCAGTCAGCATCTCTCCTCTGTTTGTATAATCATTGCAGTGCTTACTTGCGCAGCCGGTGCTGAAGATCCGCTTGTCCCTACACTCCGACTCCGGCGTCAGTCCTCAACCTCGAAAGCGAAATAACCACAGAAAACAGCCTACCAGTCATCCGGCTCATCGTCCTCCACCTCCGGCAGTACTTTGTCCTTGTTATTCGACATTGTGAACGGCAATCGTGATTAATTGGAGATACTGTCGGTTGATAGCTCTTGTTCGAAGTTGGTCGTTTCCCAGAACAGTTCGTTCCGCCACCACGATGGCGGCCAATATGACGGGCAAGAAAGTCAACGTCTTGGTTTACTCCGGTGCGTTCCAAACATTCGCATGAAAATAGAGCAAAAATACTGATCCTTCTTTCGTCTATATACAGGAAATGGAACCACCGTGGATTCCGTCCGTCACTGTCTCTACACCCTCCGCCGTCTTCTAGCCCCTCACTATGCCGTGATCCCCGTCACGGGCGACATGCTAATCAAAGAACCGTGGACCCTCACATGCGCTATGTTGGTTATACCAGGCGGAGGAGACCTGGGGTATTGCCGGACACTTAATGGCGCGGGGAACCGACGAATCGAGCAGTTTGTTCGCAGAGGAGGGGCATACCTAGGCTTCTGTGCGGGGGGCTACTATGGCTGCAAACGGTGTGAATTCGAGGTGGGCGATAAGACAATGCAGGTTATCGGGGAGCGCGAATTGGCCTTTTACCCCGGAATCTGTCGTGGAGGGGCTTTTCCGGGGTTCGTTTACCATAGTGAGGCCGGAGCGCGAGCCGCTGAATTGAAGGTCTCGAAGGAGTCGTTGGCGACGGAGACGGTGCCTGAGATCTTTCGGTCATATTACAACGGTGGAGGGGTGTTTGTCGATGCGCCAAAGTACGCTGATAGAGGGGTGGAAGTGCTCGCGAGCTTCACGGAGGAGCTCAATGTTGACCCCGGCGATGAAGCGGCCGCTGTGGTCTACTGCAAGGTAGGTGATGGAGCAGCGATATTGACAGGACCGCATCCAGAGTCAGTTCACCCTTCTTTCCGGTGCTCAACCAAAACTGACAACCCAGATTCGCCGCTGCGAACCTCGATCGAAACGCTGCCGGACCAGAGTATACCAAAGTGGTGGATGCCCTGGCCGCGGATGACAAGTCGCGGACAGACTTTCTGAAAGCATGTTTGTCTAAGTTGGGGTTGCAGGTCACAAATGAGACCACCACCGTTCCGTCTCTCTCATCGTTACATCTGTCGGCGCAGGACCCGGAAGACACGTCCAAGATCATATCATCGCTGCAGGATGGTATTACCAAAGAAGGAGATGAGGAGTACTTCAAAGATGCAAATGATACGTTCCGTTTGGAGAAATCCGGAGTGTGGAACATGGGTAATCTGGAAGAGTCCCTTCCAGCAGAGTCGGAGAATCAAGATACAAACCAAGGCATTGTGGACTACAATGCGATTCTCAAGCGCCTTGTCATTCACGACGAGCTGCCGTCCACGAAGATTACACCATACTTCAACCACTATGCTTTCTACTCCAATCTCCGCCACTACCAGTCCAATATGAAGGAGGGGGCATCTGAGTTTGGTTCGAATTTGATGTACGCGGAGGTTATCACCAGTACCAATACCATACTGGAGAAGTGAGTCGCCTCAGTATTTCTTGCTCTCCGGTATATGTCTGACTCTTGCTAGGAACCCCCAACTTCTCCGGAGTCTACCAAATGGATTCACTGCGACGGCAACCACTCAAGTCGCCGGTAGAGGCCGTGGTTCGAACGTCTGGGTTTCCCCAGCGGGTGCTCTTATTTTCTCAACCGTTCTGCGTCATCCGGTCGAGAAGATTCAATCGTCCCCGATAGTATTCATTCAATACCTGGCTGCCATGGCAGTGGTAAAGGGAATCAAGAGTTACGACCAGGGATACGAGAAACTGCCCGTGAAAATGAAGTGGCCCAACGACGTCTACGCCCTGGACCCAGACAAACCCGAAAAACAACAATACGCCAAGATCTGCGGGATTCTGGTAAACTCACACTTCTCAGCCAATGAATACGTCTCCGTGGTAGGAATCGGCATCAACGCCACCAATTCCTCACCAACAACATCCCTCAACGCACTCGTTGCCAAGTTCCTCCCTAAAAACGCTGCACCAATCACTCTAGAGAAACTCCTCGCGCGAATCGTCACCACATACGAAGAGCTGTATGCGCGGTTCCTCCGGACCGGCTTCGACAAGACTTTCGAAGAGATGTACTACGACGACTGGCTGCACATGCACCAGGTTGTAACTTTGGAGGAGGAAGGTGGCGCAAAGGCGCGGATTAAGGGCATTACAAGGGACTATGGACTGTTGTTGGCGGAGGAACTTGGGTGGAATGATCGACCGACGGGACGGGTGTGGCAGTTGCAGAGTGACAGTAATAGCTTCGACTTCTTTAGGGGATTGCTGAAGCGGAAGGTGTAGGTGTATATAGCTGTAGATAGTTGTACATTTAGAAGGACCTCTACGATAAGTAGAATGATGAGAGATGACAATCATGATATTACCGACCATCTCTGTTATAGGAGATTGCGAAGCTGACTCAGTACCAAAGTGCTTGGAGTATCTCTACAGTACATAGATACATATTCTAGGTATTGTCGATGACGGATTGCCCATTTGGGTAAGCACCTGCAGGTCCATCAGCCCCTCGAAGCCCTCGCTAGCCAGCACATTGAAATGACTTCCCTGGAGCAATCTCCATCCTCTTCGGACCGCTAATCATGTAAAACAACCACCGCTGATCCTCCGGGGGGGTGACAGTATCATCTCCCGACACCAGCAGCATCATCGGCGCATTCCCCAACCACTTGACGTCCTGTAACGGATGCCACTTCAGCATCTTCGCGAAACTCTGCAGTGTAATATCCTTGGAACAAGTTGGCGCCATCCCACTCGCCGTGACCCGCTCCACCAATTCATAAGCTTCTGCTCCCAATATCGGACCGAAACCCATCGGGTTGGTCCCATCCGATGCCACTGCCTGGACATAGAATGGGGGTTTCCTTTGAGCTGAGAATCGCGGTCCCGCAATGCCTTGGTCAAGACTCGATGGAGTTTATCGACCGGGTACGGATTTTCACCCGAGGGCTCGACAATGGGACCGACACTGATGACGAATCGGGAGCGCTGGTCTAGTGCCGCTGCATCGAATGCTACTGTCCCGCTGAACGAGATGCCCCAGAATCCGATCCGTGATGGGTCGATGGACGCATATGAAGCGAGGAAAGATAGTGCATCACTATAGTCCTCAACCTGTTTGATCAGGTCCAGCTCACAGCGAGGCTGCCCGTCACTTTCACCGAAACTGCACGTGTCGTAGATCAGTGCTGTGATGCCCTGCTGTGCAAAGTACGCCGCGATCTCGGGCAGCATGAAGTCTTGGACGAAGAAATACTGCCACAAGTCAGCATGTGCAGTTTCCTATATCATAATTTTAATATGACTCACTGGTGATGTTAAGATAACTGCAGGCGTCCGGTCGCCTGATGCAAGATAGAGACAACCTCGCAGAGTAATGCCGTCTAGCGTCTGAAATCCAACTTTTTGGTAGCCTGACATGATGGTGTTCAATGACTTGCTAATGATCGAGGTTTACTTTCGAAGGAGCTTCTTCTGATTCTACAGCATAATTAGACGAGGCACACTGCGCTTTTATCGATCAACCGAGCAGCTCCGGAGGATCGATCTAGGGCTCACATGCATTTGCCATCATGTCGGTGTAGTCTGTCATATTTGTTAACGGTTTAGTCTATACTGATTGACACTCTCTCTATACTTCTGACAAATGATCTCACGAAGCAGCCTATTGCTGTCTTATCGATGGTACTAACTGATATTCTCGAATTCGGATCTATCGCCATGGCCTCTGCTCGTGAGATATTGAAAAATCCCGCATCGAAGCTGCTGATATCAACGTCCTCTACATACATACCAGGGACGGAACGCATTGTCTTGGGATTTTTCGAGCCATCTCTGTGTCCTGCTATGCTAAGACGGGAGACCGGGACAGCATTTGAAGCCTGTCAAGCTTGCTTAAGGAATTCCCAAAATGCATGGACTGAATTGTTCCGTCTGGGCAGGCGACATGCCATCCTCAGAACAGCAACTGGCTCTGCGTGTGCTATCTTTGTTTGTTCGGCCATGGTGATATCTTACAATGACAGACTGCTTCGGACGAGTCTCTATTGATTGCTATGTGTGCAAATTAACGTGAACTGTCGATATACCCTACCCGGGCCCACCTACAGTCCAATGTCAAAATACAACCTACAATTGCAAATTACCATATTGTAAACCTCCCGGTATGATAACCACATTTTTGCTTGTGCTTGCTCCGATTCTGAGTGAATTCCGTTCGCCACACGAGTCAGACTGCCCCATGAGCTTCGCCTACAATAATGCACAATCTCCTCTCCTGGACATCGCGATCGATCGAGGTTCAACTATAATCATGAGTGGCTACGTATGGCGTGGCTGCATAAACGAGCGGGACCCATACTACTATCGTCAATGCTCGCCCGACCAATAGGGTGAGCCTGTGCACACCTGAATGAATGTTCAGGAGATTACAGTGATATCTTATTTCGAGTTTATTTGGTTTGAGCGTGGATACCCTAATTTCTTGATCGGGAGGGGGCAGGACCCGTGAAACGATCTTGCCCACCGAGCTCGACCGAAGCTGCGGCCACATATTTCACGATTTCAAGTATAATCATTTTGCAACTAGTTGCTGGGATCCAACTTCACCGCTCAGATTCGATCTACAATCATATTGTATCAGATGGTATCGCTCCCAAGAGCATAGAAGCTCTAGGATCGTCATATCCTTTCATCTCTTGACATCCGCAACAACCGCCTGAACTCCCACTGATCCATCCTGCGCCGCGCCGAAGAAAAAGTCCCGGAAGAGACGGACATCGTCGGCAGAAGTGTTGTGTAGTGCAAAGTCGAAGCGCCGCATGATGTGGGTTAGTGTGAGATACATTTCGGCATAGGCCATGCTGAGTGTTTTTAGTATTCATTTGCATCAACTAAGGGGTCGGAACCACACATACTTGATGCCAATGCATTGCCGGCTTCCTTTGGAGAAAGAGACAATGTATTTTTCGAGGCGCCGGCCTTCTTCCGAAGCCCGAATCCAGCGGTCAGGTTCGAATCGTTCAGGATCGGGGAAAAGAGATTCATCCATGTGGACAAAGTATGTGGTCTGGCTGACGGGGGTCTGAATAGCGGTTGTCAATCACATAATCCAGACTATACCGTCATGCAAGAACTTACTCCCGGCGGAATTTGCCACTGCTGGTACTGCAGAGTCTCCTTCGGTGCAGCTCGCGGCAGGCGACAACTCAAACCATGTGACAGGCGAAGACACTCATTGATAACACCCGTCTGTTAAGGTACCACATAAGCATTACATTCAGAACAAAAAGGACTGGTTTGACTTACCAGGTATGGAAGCTTCTGAACTTCATTCCATGTCGGCCAAGTGGAAACATTTGGATACGTCTGTCGCAGCTCTGTCTGCAGGGTCATGAGCACATTCTTATTCTCGGGTAGCAACAGGTAGCAGAGTCCGGTGGTGAGTGCTTTAGCGGTTGTTTCCGTGCCAGCCAAGAGAAGAATATGACCTTCGTCGACCAAGTGCTCAGCAGTGCGCTGATCCGGTGGTAGATTGGGGTCGTTGAGTGCATCGAAGATGGTCTTGCTCTCTTGTTTCCGGGTCGCACCTCTGTTGACATTCTCGATCGAAAGCCGTCGAACCAGATCCTCAATCTTCAGAATATCTGCCACGCCTGGGTCAATCCACAGGAGCAGAGGCAATGGCATGGCCGTGAGGACATTTAGCATAATCGGAAAATGGCGGAACAAGACACGGCTGCCCATGGTACCAATGACCGCATCTTTCCATTGCTTGTTAAAACTGCCGTGCTCCAGATAGTTTCCACTCTGGCCCCAACCATGGCGTGTGATCACATCAGCTGTCATGGCGGCGAACGCAGCATCCATATTGATCACCACCCCTGTCTTGCGAGCATCACATAGCCGCTGAGAGAGCTTGTCAATGGCATCGTTGATTATGGGCTCCATCTTGACGATGGACCGCTTAGAGAAGAATTCTCCTAGCAAGCCCCGACGCACGCGATGGTGGGCGTGATCCGCGATGGCCACTAGGGCGCGAGGCGTCCCGAACATTTTGACAAAACGCTTATCCTTGTTGCGAACGCGAAGACCCCCGGCGTAGATTTCGTCGTAAAACGAAGAATCTTTGATATGCAGTTCATCAGGGGTAATGCGGATAATTGATCCTTTGAAAGTCAGTATGAGCATTAAAAAAAAAGGACTAGAAACTTACCATATTGATCGTGAAGCTTCTCAAGCTGCCAGATGAAGGTTCCTTGGCGGTTGAAGTGAAACTCGTAGAGAAATGTTGCTGCCGCCAATTTGGGGCCGGGAAATTCGGTCAAGGGATGAAGATACAAACGGTAAAACAACCCGATGATCAAGTAAGAACAGAGTCCGAGAGAGATCTGGTAACATAATATGAGTGATATTAGACTGACTCGTTTCCCTAGGTAGGCATACCACAGCCGTCAACGTTTCCGGTGTTGGAAAAGCTTGGGGCAGTTTTGCCCAAGGGAGTAATCCCATACTGACTTGTGACGACTCAACTCTGAGAGATAGAACGAACTCGTGTCAAGAGAGCAATGTGAAATATCTCAAAGCAATGAATGCTTTGAGGGAGAGTTCGCCCACCTGTAAAATGAGGGGTATACATAATAGACACACCGCCTGCGTCTTGCATGCATGCATCTCCAACCCTAGTTTCTTGGTTGATCAAAACTTGACTCGAGTAATGTTCTCGCTAGTCCGGTCAGTTTTTTTCAGCAATTGCACTGTCAATCATAGTGCAACAATTGCTACTTTCAGCTCCGAGATCAATCGAAGATCGATGTGGATTCGGCGCTTAGGCGTCCCAGCTCTGACAACAAGAGGTGCGATCTGCTGGATTCGGTTACCTTCTACTATGGTATTTCCCTGAATTATACAATTGCAAAAATCTACTCTCTATCTCACCGCTTAATACACGGGATTGCGTATGTCATTTCTATGTCCACGGTTGTTGTCCCGCCGGTAGGACAGGGTCCCACATAAGAATGAGGGTTTTCTTACCTATATGCCCTCGTTGCGGTATTTTACGTAGTCAAAAAAGTCTATCAAGATCTTTATGATACTTGCCAGTCCTGAAGCTACGTTTCGTCTGCAAACATGAGCTTTGAATGAGTGGTTCTTGTTATAAGAGGTGGCTTTTCTGGTGTCTGGGCATTACACGAGTGAGAATTCCTTTCCTCGACACATTGTTCCAAAACTATACTGACATTTGCAAGCAGGACTTCCGAGTGCACGGGATTGAGAAGCCCCCCCCCCGGGCTCGGGGGAGTCTGGTATTCGAATCGATATCCCGGGGTACGGGCAGACAACCCACAGCCGTACTATCAATTCTTCGACGACAACCTGATCGATGGATGAACATGGAGTGAATCATTCCCTGCACAAGCCGAGATTCTGTCGTACTTCGAATATGTCGACAGCCGATGGAAGATCAGCCAGCACTATACTTTCTCAACTTCCGTCACTGGTGCCTTTTGGGATGCCCCGTCTCACCGGCGGAATGTTTTGCTCTCTGATGGGCAAGTGCTTCTGACGAGATGGCTGGTATGTGCCGTGGGCATTGCTTCGTTTCCATCTCTCCCAGGTGTTACAGGTATGGATCAATTCAAGGGGGAAGTCTATCACATGGCGGAATGGCCAGACTCCGATATCGACTGGAAAGACAAGAGGGTGGTAGTGATAGGCACTGGTGCTTCTGCCCCTCAGGTTATTCAAAAGCTTGTCCCGCAAGTCCAACAATTGACAGTGTATCAAAGATCTTCCATGGTTGGGTTTCCTAAAGCTAAAGATCCGGACGAGAGGGAATGGGCCGACAAGGAGCATGCGAAAAAAGTCACACGAGAGTGCAATACATATCATTCCACTTTCCCCTTTGTCTTTCAATCTGACCGGACGATGGAAGTACCCGGGAAGGATCGCTATGCCCTGTACGCGAAGCTTATCGAGGAGGGTAACTGGTCTCTCCTGCTGGCTACCTTTGAAGATTCTGTATATAACCTTGAAGCCAATTCAGAGATGTATCGTTTCTGGGCCAAGGAGATGAGGGAGAGGGTAAATGATCTAAGACTGAAGGATTTACTCATACCTCTGGAGTCTTCATATCCCATCGGAATGAAGAGGCCCTGTCTCGAATCTGGCTATTACGAAGTGTTCAATCAGCAGAATGTCGAGTTAGTTGATGTCAGTGCAACACCAGTGGAGGAAGCCACTGAGACTGGAATTTTCACAAGCAACACCCACCGTCCTTTCGACTATATCATCTGGGCAACAGGCTTTCAGGCTCGGACCAGCACTCTTACCCATATGAACATCCAAGGCAAAAATGATCTTACGTTTGAATCGGCATGGGACCAAGGCGTCCGCACCCATCTCGGAATGGCAACGCACGGATTCCCGAATCTCTTTTATCTCTATGGTCCTAAGTCTGCTACACTGAGAGTCAATGCTCCTGCAGTCATCAAAGCCCAAGTAGAATGGCTGTCAAGAGCATTGATTAATATGAAAGAATACAGCATCACATCCTGCCAGCCTACTCGCGAAGCCGAGACTATCTGGTGGAACAAAACCGCGGACCCCTGGTATCGTACCGTCTATCCACGCGCCCAGTTTTGGGAGACGCGAGGAGCTGATGGAAAGCGTGATGAGCCTTCATGATAAGAAAGAACGCCCTGCATTACCTGAATATTACTAATTGAAATAGGTTTGCTGGATTGCTGGATTGCCGGCATACATGAATGAGCTGGAGACGTGTCAAGCACCGACATTCGAGGGATCTGATTCACAAATGTTGGAAAAGAGGCTCGTCAGATACTCGATAGCGTCCCAGTTGTAACTTGTAGACTAGTATATGAAAGTCTAATGGTATAATAAATAGACGAAGTACTTCGCCCAAAGAGTTTTGATTCTGATTGATCTCCAATCACATTCCAATTGATATAACACCTCACCATCAACAACATGTTTTCAACCCTGGTCATCTGCTGAAACTCCACGTTATTGAACAGATTGCTGTTATGTATGCAAGTGGTTCTCCGAGACACTTGTAAGACGCCCCAAGAGTTCACGCTGCTGCAGATCCGTCGCTATGGCCTCTGCTCGCGAGATATGGGAAACCCTGCATCCAGGTGTTTACGGCGTGCGACATTTTTTGATTGCATATGATCTACAGTTCTGCACGGCCCCATGTGGTAATACTGCAGACTCGATCAGGCATTCCTTGTGTCGGCTGGAGTCATCGACCAGGAATGCGCATACCTGATAACTGCTCCTGCTTCTTCACTTTCAGTCCGAGTCTAATTCGCTCTTCTTCTATGATCATGAACGTTTAAGAATGGATTGTCTCCCAACTATGTATGTCAGTGCATAGGCCGCTACCACGCTCAAACAAACTAGTTTTTTGTGCAGCTGAAAGCAAAATTCCTTATGTAGCATGTAGTAGTTATACAAGCTTTACATGCCAAATCCTTCAGCTGGTATATGACATAAGAACGCAAGGTGTGTGACATTTTGGACAATATCCACATCCATCTGTCAGAGAAGCTCTTCATTCAAATTCCTAGTGATACTTCTATTGAAGTGTGACGGCTCAACGACCAGGCAAACAGTGCCAACATGCCAAAAGATGCCATACAAGCAATATGGACAAACAAGGGCTCAAGCCGCATCGCACAAAGGTTTATAGAGACTGTACTCGCCAGATAGATTTCCTCTCCTTTTTTCCTCCCCGGATTCGATATTCTCGTTGATGGCTACAATAGTCAAGATAGGAATTCAGTTCGTTATTATCTTCTATTCCGAGCCCGTGACAGAGGTCTTTTTGCATCTTGTAAACATTACGATTGAAAAAAAAAAAAAAAAAAAAAAAAAAAAAAAAAAAAAAAGAGTCCTACGATGGGTTATTCAGATGTTCAGACAGTTATCAAGTCCTTCCAAACGACTGTCGACCGATATGAGTACCATAAGGATTTCACCACTGCTCTCTTGGAGTAAATTAATGAACACACCCCTAGCACAGCTGATGACTGGCTATTCGTGGCAATAAAAGGTAAAAAGGGTTGTCTTTATGACTCTTTCCCAACGAAGGCGTGATGCTCTTGTAGCCTTCAAAGGCCTCTCCCGGCGTCTTTTGATGGACGTACTTTGAGCCATGGTTGAGTCTATAACCAGTAGCTTTTCATCTTTGAGGGTCTTGGCCATGTGTATTCTGTACCACGAGTGCCGTTTGGGTCGTCTCCGTGATAATGCATGGCAACCTGATTGGAATAGGAATCGGTCGAGCCCCGGGCATAACTCATAGAATTAGGCAAAGAATACTATGTCAAGGAATCGATTATAGGGTATATGCTAGTTAAGACATTTAGTCATCAAGGGTATATACGTGGAAAAGAAATCAGCCAAATCAAAACATAGATAACACCTCCACCCAGATCTAGAAGCACCGTTAGCCACCATGATCATTATATCTCAAAAGGAAAACAGAAAATCACTTACCTCCGTCTTCCCAATCTCACTCCCCTCCCGTCGAGCAAATTCCTTCGCCGACATCAAAAGCAAATCCAAATCCTCCTGGTCCACCATCGAAACCATATCCCCATCATCCCGCATCTTAAGCTTCAACGGCGACTGGAACCCAAACTTATCGCGGATCCTCTTCTCAAACTCCGCAATCTGAATCGTCGGTCCGACCATGATATACCGCTTATCTTCGAGTGCGTGCACTTTGATGCGGAATTTGTTGATTTCGGGTCGTCGTGTGTAGCTCCGCCGCGAGACTCGGGCGTTTGGTGCATGTCTGCGTTGTCGTGAGGCACCTACTATTTCAAACTCTTCGTTGTCAAAGGTAGCGTCCTCCTCATCGCAAGCGTCGCTGGCGTATTCCTCTTCTTCGTCAATGTATTGTTGGATCTGTTGGCGTGGCATCATTTTTCGAGATTGGCCGCCGGTACTCATGACTAGAGATCGACGGGCTGGTGCGTAGTTTCCGTAGGGTTCCTCTGCGTATCCGTCTTCCATCGGTGGCATACACCCCGTGTCGCTCACTCCTCGTTTGTGCCCTGTTGGTTCCCAATGCCCTGGCTGTCGGCCCATGTTCTGGATGTATAATCCGCGAGGTTGCTGTTCTTGGCGGGCAAATTGCCCCCTCGTCTCAGATGCCGCGCGCGTAGTTCCAATTCGTGGCTTTTCACCCGCTTCGGGACCGTTTGGTCGGCCACCAAGGTTGGCACCGGGCCGATCCAGATCCAATCGTGGAGGACGTGCTGCGCGGACAGAAGCGGATCGACCTGTAGGTATCGTCCCTCCTTGGCTATTATTCGAGCTGTGCGTGCTGGACTTGTCTGTGTCTGGCGGGGGTGTTGGCGGGAAAAGACTGCGGTTCAAGGGTGGCTCGGAATGCTGGCGGCTAAGTGCCATGGGAGTGTTGCTTCTCTCGGAGGCGGCGATTAACCTTGCTTTTCCTAGGTAGTCTTTGGTCTTCAGGTTTTTGACTTTGGCTTCGTTTGGTCGGTAGACTATCCCGACGGGGATAGAGAAGACGGTGTAACCCTATGTCCAATGTCAACATACGGCCTCATCTTGCTAGCCAGTAAGAACATACCTCCGCCCTTTCGCGGATTGCATCGTTGATCACATCGTGGTCCTGCGTGACTTTCTCTTTCGAGGCAAACTCAAGATCTTGGAGACCCAGGCCCATCTGCTGGAGGTAGATGTAGCATAGACCCCGATTGAAGAGCACCTCGCAAGAGAATAGACGGAACTTGAGGCCAAGCTGTTCGTAGTCAATAGACGTATTACCTCGAAGGTAGAGCAAAGTATCGTTGAAATTAGCCAATGCCTCTTCGAAATCGCCCAGCAGGAAATTCGAAACACCTTCCTGGAAGTAGGCGATGGCGAGGTACTGGTCTAATCCGACAGCGCGTTGATAGCATTCGACCTATTGCCATACATCAGCAGGCCATTCCCACTAACGGAGTAATGGTTCAACATACCGCTCGTTCATGCTCTCCCAACGTAGCGCAGATAACACCACAGTTAAAGAGAATCTTGGAGGTATCGGCGATACCATCAAAGACTTGGATAGCCTCTTCATATTGCTGATTGTCGTAGTATTCCAGGGCCAGCACCCAAGTTTCGATTTCCTATACGTCCTTCTCATTAGAATGGATTTCTCATGTTGGTAAAGCGATCCGGTCAGAATTGCGGCCTACCTGCTTCAAGGACATCGTGTGTGAACAAACAGTTCGCCTGTGGAAGAACACCTGGAGCGGTCTAAGGGTTATATAGATGACTTAGTCCGAGAGTCAGACCGCAATTGTCGCGCGTGTTTATACACCACGAGCCAATCTGGAGCGAGTTGGTCGATAATCCAGGGTATATGCCCGGTACAAATATAAATAAATTGGCCCTGCCCAGGAGAGAGATAAGTGGTGGCTTGATTCCGATGGCAGGAGGGTATCAATCTCCGGACAATGAGACAATGCCCAGCAACCCAGCAAAAACCAAGGCTGTTAGTCTGGCAGACACGTCGGAGGTATTATCAGAGCAGCGCGAGCGCGTTCTCGTGGAAATTAGATAAGGTGACGCAAGAGAAGGGGAAAAAATAAAATAAAATAAAAGGGCGTGCAGATGGTGATGCCGCAAGGAACAACAGGGGAGTTAAACAAAATCCGACCGAGATTGTAGAAGCGCCCGCAGAAGGGAGAAAAGTATGGGGTACAAAGGGACTAGTAATTGATTGCGAATCTACTTATTGTGTCATTGACAAGGGCGAAGGATGTGAGGAAGGAGAAGAAAAAATATGTGGCTCTGAAGAGGGTTGAGATGGCTTGATTGCTTAACTGCGATGCGATCCAGTCGGAGTCAGGCCTCGAGACAGGCATGCAATAAAACCCCATCCCTCCGACCTAACCGCCAGGAGCGTGCTAGAATATGGTAGTCCTCGCTGCCCAGCCGCTTCATTCGACGAGAGCGAGTTCCCCCAAGCGCTGTCACACATTTAGCAGCAGGGCTTCGGCAACGGTGGTTGGCTGTCACAGTGAAAAATGGGGCTGGTCACTAGTGATGCTGGATCTGATTGACCGATGTAGGGATAGACCTGCATTTACCGCATCTTATGGGACTCGTATCCTCCAGGTTCTTCAGGCCGCTTGATAAAAATAGCCCGGGTCCGAGCATCAAAAGACGGGAGGTCATCACCAGCATCGGGTCACTGTCCGGAAATGCTTCTTGACAACGGTATTCGTGCTCCGTGGGGGATAGCACCTTGCCCAAGACTTTATTCTCCATACTCCATAAGTCAACGGAACTTTTTTTTGGCGAATAGCGATGCCGTGATGGCTTTTCGATAATCTGCAGACCCGCCGCGGCGCTTGGAATCAACAATCACCGAATCATGGCGATATCGCTGCCATCTATTTGCTAACGTGACTGACCGAACTTCTACTATTCCGCTTCCTTATGTCCTTTAGAGAACTTGGACAGGTTTTATGCCGGCAAGAGAATGAATTTCGGTCAGACTTGGAGCTAATAACCCCCCGCCAACCCAAACCGCCCTTAGTTACTAATCAATGAACTTAACGTATTTCCCAAGCGACCCGCCACCCCAAGCGACCCGCCACCCTACCGCGTTCGCGTCACCCACGTCGCGTCCTACCATTTTCAACCACCCACTATGCCACCAAAACGCACTCAATCGAGCCAAAAATATATTGAACAAGAGGGCAGAATCCTGCTTGCTATTGAGGCTATCAAGAAACAGGAAATCACAGTGATTGCTGAAGCAGCACGTCAATTCAATATACCTCGAACAACACTACGCGACCGACTAAGTGGCCACCAGAATCGCACTGAGAAACGCGCTAATAACCATAAATTGAACAAAAACGAAGAGAATTCGCTTGTACAATGGGTGCTTTCTATGGATCTTCGCGGAGCAGCCCCCCGGCCTGCTACTGTGCAGGAAATGGCGAATCTTCTACTTGCAAAGCGCGGCGAGACCCCCCCTCAGACAGTCGGCAAGAATTGGGTTACAAACTTTGTTAAAAGATATCCTGAGCTTGCCTCTCGCTTCTCACGACAATATGACTACGAGCGCGCAAAAACAGAGGATCCAAGGGTCATCTAGGAGTGGTTTGACTGTGTTCTTTGTACAATCAAAGAGAATGGTATCCTTCAGGAGGATATCTATAACTTTGATGAGACAGGCTTTGCAATGGGCCTCACAGCAACTGCTAAGGTTATTACTCAATCTGAATACTATGGTCAGCGCTCACTTTTACAACCTGGAAATCGCGAGTGGGTTACAGCCATTGAAACAATTAATGCCTCTGGGTGGGTGCTTCCACCAGTGATTATCTTCAAGGGCAAGGTCCTTATTAAAGGCTGGTTCGACGATCTCCCATATGACTGGCGCTTTGAAACAAGTCCAAATGGATGGACTACTGATGAAATTGGACTTCGATGGCTTCAAAAACACTTCATTCCAGCGACAACTAGTCGTACACATGGGAAATATCAACTTTTAATCCTTGATGGCCATGGGAGTCATTTAACTCCTAAATTCGACCAAGTTTGCAAAGAGAACAATATTATACCAATTTGCATGCCAGCACACTCTTCACATCTTCTGCAACCACTTGATATTGGGTGTTTTGCTCCTTTAAAGCGTGCGTACAGCCGGCTAGTTGAGAACCAGATGCGGCTTGGGTTCAACCATATTGACAAGTTTGACTTTCTTGCCGCCTACCCAATTGCTCGTGTGGAAGCTTTCCAATCTCAGACTATTCAAAATAGCTTTGCAGGAGCTGGTTTAGTGCCATATAACCCAGAGCGAGTGCTTTCAAAGCTTGATATTATACTCCAAACACCATCACCCCCGGGTAGTCGTCCAATAAGTCAATCAAGCCAGTTTTCACCAAAGACACCTCAAAATCCTATACAACTTCAGCGGCAGGCTAGTTCAATTAAGGCTTTGCTAAAGCAGCGCTCAAGAAGCCCTCCAAGCCCGCTGAAGCAGCAAATCAACCAAGTTCTCAAGGCCTGTGAGATCCAAATGCATTCAACTGCTCTACTAGAGGTTGAAGCACGCAAATTACATGCTGCCCATGAGAAGCAGAAGCAAAAGCGCCGACGATCTAATAGACAGATACTAAATGAGGGTGGAATGACTGTTCAGGAGAGCCAGCAGATCATACAGCATCCTATAGAAGCAATTGAAGCACCAAGACCCGTCCCTGCAGAAGCACCAATTTCACCTAATTTGCCAGTTCCTGCGAGAAGGAAGCTACCAAAATGTAGCATATGCGGACAGGAAGGACACAGGTCAAACCATTGCCCTCACAGATAGTTCTTTACCTAATATACTGGCGTTAATGTGGTTAAAAATGCGTTCAAAAGAGTAGGGTAGGCGGTAGGGTGGCGGGTCGCTTGGGGTGGCGGGTCGCTTGGGAAATACGTTAGTTAACTAGTTAGTTAACTGTTAAATAACTAACTAACTAGTGGCAAACAGCCCTAGAATTGAACGAAACATGGCCAACGCTGCTTCTTGCTGACACACGTCAAACGAAAGTCTGACTCTGTCGCTTCTGTAGAAAAATCCAAAAAGAAAAGTGAAGAACCACCGAAAAAATAAACAAGACATCATTTGCCCTACACACGCAGTCTGCACCATGCTCAGTCCTAGTTGACTTCGACCGTGGATACCGCTTGGTAGCCCCAACGCTTGGGGATCATATCGAGTGTCTTGAGGTGCACAGCGTGTCCCAGGCTTCTCATGGCCGTCACGAGTCGGTTTCTATGGGCAATGACTTCGTTATCACCTATGATAGCGTTGTCCTTGTTGGGAGGTAATACCTGTACGGTCTTGAATCGTTTAACTATAGCTACGTCAGTAATTGGATCAATAGAAGAGCCAAGAGATAAAATCACATTCGACTACGTCTGCCATGCGGTCCAGCATTTCGGGTTCCGTTCAGCAGGTCTTCACGAGGGCAATCGCCAAACCTCCGGGCTTCGAAAAATCGGGGTATTATGTCGAACAAGTTGACCCGCAGTAGATGGTCCCAGGGGATTAAAAATCTAACAGATTGGGCCGCATCTGGGCGGTATTCCTTGTCGATATCGTAATCTAAGCAGCTTCTGAAATCGATTTCCATGGCGGCCAGGTACTCATCGGCTTCATGCATTTGATTAAGCGATTGGTGATACTCTTTATCATGTCCAAAAGCACGCCCCTGTCACTTTGGGGGCTCATCTCACCTCGGTAGTAACTGGCGATCAACCCATGCAACGCCGTGTTAGAGACAAGAGAATCTCTACCTGGTCTGGATTCAAGGTATTCGACAGCGCGGCGTTCCAGCACGCTATGAATGGACCCTATCCATCTGTTGGAGGATATTACGTGGCTGCTCGCATCCTGAGTACCACTTGGTAGGATCTCACGCAGAGTTTCCCAAGCACATTTTTAGCGGTGCAAGGGGGTTCCTGTGCGCCCCTAGTACTCCTGGTGATGGGCATAAACCTCTCCCTTGGCTTTTTCGGTTGCTGGTCATATTGGAGAGGTGATAACAACATTGAATGAGAAATGGAAAAGAGATGAAGGAAGAAAGAGCTTCTTCTTGAGAAGAAAGGAACAAAATCATTCACTGCTGAGGCAAACACCGTCGGTTGAGGCAGTAATACAGTCAAGCACATCGTAGGCAGGACATCGTATCCATTATAGCAGTCAGGTCCATACGGAGGGCTGAACAAAATAAAAATAAGAAGGGAAAATCCTGACGAAAAATACATATCATCTCTCATAGGTATCATAAACAGTGAATGTAACGAACTCTTCAACGCTTTCTCTTTTTGAAAGGACTAAGCCAAACCAAATCAAACCATGCCTTGAGAGACCTGCTCCTGACGCTCCTGCCAGACATTCTTTCCGGAGCACGAGCAGACCATCTTGTCATTATCCCAGACACCAGCACTGCGAGCAATAACACCAACCAACGTATCCGGGTCCTCCCGCTTGAACGGGCCCTCCTTCGACTTCGAAAGCACCATACTCCGGCCAATCATTTCCCAGATCGCAATGGGACGGTCCATAAAAACGTTTCCACGACCCTTCTCATCAACATCCACCGACCCGAACACACCCCGGGGCTCCTTGGGGGTCTCCGAACCAAGAACAGTCGACTTCAATGCCTCCCAGATTCCACCCGTCGAGGTCGCTCCCTGCGAAATGTCTCCAGCTTGCCGCACGGTAGCCCAATAGCGGCCTGGCGAGAGTCCGTTGATGGTCAAGTCGACAAGGGTCATGTTGGAGGAAACCTGGACCATGCGCGCAAGTCCGCGAATCTTATTCGAGACGCTATTCGAGTGCGTTTCGAGAATGCAGACGGCGGAACCTGTTTATGTAGCTCACATCTCAGTATGGGTTCGAAAAAAGAATAGGGAACAAGGAGTCGTACTGTTGGATGTGCCGCTTCCACGGAGAATCGCATCACGACCGGTGTCTTGGATAGCAGAGACGATCTTGCTGGGTGGTGCAGTGCCCTCGATGAAGACTAGTTGCTCCTTCAAATCGGCGTCGACTTTGTTAATTCCTTCGATCTTGTTAAGGGAGCCGGAGATATCTTTCACGCAGCCGTCGCAGGTCATTGGGACCGCGAAGGTCGTCTATAGAGCGTCAGTGCCGGAGTTTCTCTGCCACACGCTAAGAGACGGACCTGGAACGGTTCAATCATGATGGATATAAAAGCAAATAGAACTGGGTATAGCGAGAATATGAAAACAAAATCAACAACAAAATGTAGAAAAATAACTCCGGATGGCTGTCTTATAAATCCATAGCATTTTCTCGAAATTGGCGGGACGGAGCGGGGATCGCCGGCCTTGGCCGATAGCGTCACTTCCGAATCTGATCTGCCAATTCTTCTCTGTTTTCCTTCCACCCCAACGCGCCACTACCATCGTCTGCTATCTACAATCACTTGAAGTTGAGTCTGGCATCGCAGATATTGGATAGTACGATACCGGGATAATTGTCACCATGTCTGCACCCGGAAAATCACGATGGGCCGATGAAGACCCCGAAACCGAAGCCCTTGTCGCACAACAGAAACGAGAAAAGGAGGCCAAGAAACGCGCCAAAGCAGAGAGACAACGCAAGCTGGAAGAAGAAGCCGAAGCTAGCAAAGCAGCGGAAGCCCAGAAACAGCAGGATGACGCGCTCGGTGGACAACAGCAACAACAACAACAACAGCAACAACAACAGCAACAGCCACCCGCGAAACGACGTCGATTGTCCAACGATCAGTCCACTGTCGCGACGACAGCAACTCCCGCTGAAGCTGAACAGCAGCAGAAACGATCTGAATTGCTTCGCTTCCCGATGCGCGAATGGGGCCCGTGTCGACATGTGGACAACTTCGAACGCTTGAACCATATCGAAGAAGGCTCGTATGGCTGGGTGAGCAGGGCCAAGGATATCACATCTGGCGAGGTGGTTGCTCTCAAGAAGCTCAAGATGGAAAACTCCCCCGATGGATTCCCCGTTACTGGTCTGCGCGAGATCCAGACCCTCCTGGAAGCCCGCCATCAGAACGTTGTTTATCTCCGTGAAGTTGTCATCGGAAACAAAGTGGACGAGTGAGCTATACCCCTTCCCCTTGTCTATTTTTTACTTCCCTGAAAAGTTCGAGATGCATCGAGGAGAAAGTTAACCATTTCCGGGGACTCTGTGATTACCCTTTTCCCTTTGTTACCCTATGAACAGTGTATTCCTCGTTATGGACTTCCTCGAACATGATTTGAAAACCTTACTCGACGACATGCGCGAACCCTTCCTCCCATCCGAAATCAAAACGCTCCTCTCGCAAATCCTTTCCGGCCTGGACTTCCTCCATTCGCAATGGATCATGCACCGCGATCTGAAGAGCTCGAACCTGCTCCTGAACAACCGCGGAGAGATCAAGATCGCCGATTTTGGCATGGCGAGATACTACGGCGACCCGCCACCGCAGCTGACCCAGCTCGTTGTCACGCTGTGGTACCGCTCTCCTGAGCTACTACTGGGTGCCGAGAAATACGGCACTGAGGTCGACATGTGGAGCATTGGCTGTATATTCGGAGAACTCCTCACCAAGGAGCCCTTGCTGCAAGGAAAGAATGAAGTCGACCAGGTCTCCAAAGTACGGACACGCAACCCATCCCAACACAAAGCCATCTACTAACGATAAACCAGATCTTCGCCCTAACAGGCCCCCCAACCCAACAAACCTGGCCCGGCTTCCGCTCCCTCCCCAACGCCAAATCCCTCAAACTCCCATCCACCTCGTCTGCGCCATCGGGAAACCCACCATTACTCCCCCGCACCAAATTCCCCTTCCTAACCAACGCCGGTTTACACCTTCTATCCTCTCTCCTTGCGCTAAACCCAAGCTCGCGCCCTTCGACTCAGGAATGTCTGTCGCATCCGTACTTCCGTGAGGATCCACGCCCCAAGCCGAAGGAGATGTTCCCGACTTTCCCGTCCAAGGCGGGGATGGAGAAGCGGAGACGTCGTGCGACGCCCGAGGCCCCTAAACGTGGCCAGGAGGCTCCTCAGTTGGACTTTGCGGGGGTGTTTGGGGGTGCTCCTGGTGGTGACACGGGTGAGGCAGGTGCCGGGTTTACTCTTCGTTTCGGTTGATTTATCTTTGTATAGGACGGCGTTTTAGACTTACTTTTTGGCTTTAAGTGTCATATATGCCATTTAAACTACAACCAGGATAGTCGTCAAAATAATTAAAGAGGGGGTGTATTAACAACAAACGAACGATCTAGAAAACATAACATCATCTCCAAAGTTCGCCTGATAAGACCAATTCCAATGACAGGACACGAAAACATGAACGTGGGTAGATATACGATCCCAAATAACAATACACCGTAAGACAGTGGCATAACCGCATAGCGTCGTTAGAAAGAAGCAAAACATGTAAGAACGAATGATAATCAGATCCAGAAAGTATTCTAATGGCCAGACATCGAGTATCACGAAGAATACTGTTTCTGAAACATGGCGTACGTAAGAAAACAATCGTCATTCGACTCAATCGATTTTCTAGATTTCCTGGATCGGACACTCGGTTGACGGTCCAATTCGTGAGTGTACAATGGGCTGTCCATCTGGGAATCAGTGTGCACGCTAGCTGAGGCACTCTGGTGGATTCCAAGGCCGGTAGTGCTATCGATGTTTCCTTCGTGAATGATCGCTAGCTCCGATTTGATGGCAGCGCCTTGATCCGGGCTAAAGTCATTTGATTTTCCATCGACGTCGAAGTGTTCATCTCCGGGACCCGTGGACGGCAGAAAAAGTACGTTGTCGTGCTCGATTGGGGATGACACGTTTGACCATGAAGCATGCGCCGCGCTAGCATTCCCTTCGCTTTGACTAGTTGAACGCCTAGATTGAGTGTACGACGTAGGTGGCGTGCTAGCATTCCCTTCGCTATGAATCCAACAACTAGATTGAGCACGCGATGTGGGTGCTGTGCTATCGCTTTGACAAGTCGAATATCTAGATTGGTTGCCCTGGCCAGTAGAGGAGTTACTGCCACCGGACGCGTTCATGGAACTGGCACGACTGGTTTCTCGCGACGGTTTCTCTGCGGGAGTTTCTCCGTTATCCTAGTCAATAAGTTAGTGGGGGTACATTCGATATGAGAGCTTGGACTCACGCTGCATGACTGGTTGTCAGCTCCCTCTGAGTTAGCCCTAGCAGACCCGTTGCTCTGACTTGCAGCGCCTTCTGAAAGGGATTCGGTGCTACTTCGAGACGTGGCAGACAAGGAACCATCGGCATCGCGTCCAACGTCCGAACTGTTAGGTACGTCCTTTGCGGGCTCGTCAAATGAACACAATGCCTCGAAAGCCTGGGTAGCATCGATGAGCTGAGAAAGGGTTGACTCATCGGAGCTAGTCGATGCCCTGCTCGAGATGACGGAACTTGAAGTTGAGGTAGAGGGCCTCCGGCCGGGTTGGATGCGATCATCCCATTTAATTGTCTGCGTCTTGGATGGTAGTCTCGTCACCTCGGAGTCCGCCTCGCTGGGATTGTTCAGGGTCTCTCCTTCTAGTCGCGAACCAGCGGGACCAATGTCCACATCAGTGTAGACATCAGGCGGGAGCGCGTGAGATGATCCAACCTCGCTCAGGTACTTGTTGACAATCTCAAGGTTCCACGCGGAAGAGCCGTTGGGCCGCGTCCGATAAAGATCGGTTCCGAATTCGAATTCGTCATCAGTGCTGGCTTCCGATATAGTCGAAGGGAAAGAACTATCTGGACGATCGATAGAGCTTGCACGCGAGTCGGTTGACATCCATAATCCTGGAATATTTCGACGAGGCCCTAGCTGATCAACGGATGGACGCCTGTGCATTCCCGACCTGATCGCGTCAAGTCCAGACCGTGCCTTTCGAAGGGACCTCTCAGATAGGCTATGCCAACGACCTGTATTCTGTGTGCTAGACGAATCTTCGGACAGACTGTAGCTGCCGCGGATCCAAGAAGGAGGGATAGCCGTAGGGTTATGTCGAGGATCGTGCGGGTTGAAGACCGGATAATGGACTCTTTCCTCGCAGGTCGGTGGAGGGGTAGGGGGTCTCACAATCTTGCTGTAGCCAGTCAGCATTATACTTCCCGAAGAGCGATTATAGAAGCCTTACCCGGGTCTTTTCCTTGCGGAAGACCGAAAGCTAAGAGACCATGACAGCCCTTGGCGGCGCTGGTTGACCCGGTCATTCGAAGCCATCGTCTCCATCGTGTCGGGAAGATGTCCAGTGTAGTTGATAAACCCTGGTAAGTGAAATGCAGCACAGGTTAAGGAAACCAAATAAAGACAAGAAGATACATATAAAAGGTAGACTCCTGGGCAGAAAAGGAGTACCATGTATCATGAGACACAACGGTAAGAGGAGAAGAAAGAAAGCAGGCCACGCGAAGAATAATTATCGGACCTCATGGCCAGTGAGAAAGCGACCGGCGCTCCTGCACTGCAGGATTGCTTTTCTTCTTCTCTCATGTTGGACAAAATGGAAAGAGCCAACAATGGCACAGGGCTGAATTCGGCAGTCGCCATATGCGCCGCCATATTGACACAGCACGAGTATTCCTTTTGCAGTCAGTCAGGATCGCAATAGTGATTCAAATAATTCCGTATATACTTACTGCCTTCAATTAAGCCTGGAAATGAGACTTCCCAGAGACAGTCGCAGAGGTGATTGTTGCGCAGTGTCGGACAGCTGCAGTGGGAAAAAGTCGGCCCTTGACTGTCTCCGACCATCTTCCCTCCAACTCACCTACTGCTGCTGCTAATTCTTCCCTTACTTCTACAGCGCTAGTGTTACCTTTCTTTTTTTCCTGTGATTTATTTTTAACCCTGGCCAGTAATTCGCCTCTTTTTCTTCCATAATCATGGCTGCCGGTAAAGCAGCGACCTCTTTCGACGATATTATCCGAGCCGGTATCGCATCCCTCCCATCATAATGAGCACCATTTGCGGCCAAAGAACTATTCTAACTCGTTTTTTTACGCGCTTATTCCAGGTCGCCAAAAGAAGAAGAATGAAGAGCTAGCAAGTCAGATCTTAGGAAAGAACAGGAGAGCTAGCGCGCCGGGCTCCGGCGCTGCTGGGAAGAAGGCTCAGAATCAGAATGCGACACCTGGGAGCCTAGCAAGCAGGATCGGTGTCACAAAGGTAACAACACCATCGCCAGGATTCTTTTCCTTGTGACTCGTGGACGTCGCAAAGATTGTCCGTTCCAATCAGTGTTGCTTACGGACCTAGCCTTCTGCATCTACCAGCTCTAAACCGAAACCGAAACCAAAACCCAAGAACAGCAAACCGGCCGTGTCCGCAGCGCCTCCTGCACCCTCGAAAGCCCCGCGATCCAAGTCCGGGAACAAACGCCGTCCAGATGAAGATCGCTTGATTTCAGCTCTCAACCCAGCGAATGGGCAGTCGGCAATCCGGGATCACACCGGGGGAATAAGCATCAAGGGGGCGAGCTCCGGGCCGTTCGTTGTCATTGGAAGCAACTTTGCACCTGGTACCACTGCAGCAGACATTCAATCAGCCTTAGAACCGGTCTGCGGCTCGGTGATGAATTGCTGGATTATCTCACAGTACCCGGCTGTGACTGCTGAGATTACTTTTGCGGAGAAGTGGTCTGCAGAGAATACCGTCGCCAACTTTCACAACCAAAAGGTACTTCGCACTCATTAATCATACGCTAAGCATTGGGCTAATAGGCAATTGCAAAGGCCGATGGTAGGGTTCTTTCGATGCGCTGGAAGCCAGCTGGAGCAGCGTCAGATTACAGCCCTCAAGCATCTTTCAACGACCTCCGTGAACAGGCCGACCGACAACGCCGTAATCGCCACGCGGACCCCGCGATACAGGATGGAACATATGGATTTCAGGACCATGGACTCTACAGCGACCAGATGATGGTTGATGTTCCGACTCAACCCCGTGGGAGACGGCACCGATAGACTGGAGGACTACGTATATGTTGGTTAGGGCGCGACAGAAACAAAATGAGACGTGCCAGTGTACGATTTAATCTTCTTTGCATAGCAATCTCTAGCTGGTGTTATGGTCTGTACAAATATTAATTCTTGCTTTGTCTTTGGCGATATGATAACGATAGAATCACGTGCATTGGAACTTTTTTGCGGAGAAGTTGGAGAGCTCCGTAGAGCCGTTGACTGTTTTGCTTGTATTCTCCTGCATTGTGCCTTGAGGCAAAGTGATCTTATTAGACAATATATGCTCCGCGCCTACACTTACGAATCGAATTGCCCTTCCGTGAACGAACCTACGAGAGAGAACTGAACTCGAACCCCGCCAAAAGCTCCGGCGAAGATGAACCGCGCCATGAAACGCGCCTTGACGCAGTCAATCAGACGGTACCAATATGAAGCTCTTGGATTAGGGCCACGACTATCGGCTCGATGGAACTCAACATTCGCCAAAAGAGAATGGTCTACACCTCTTGCCCGGACCCTGGCCAGCGCAATGAAGGTATTATCCCCATCATTCAACCCCGCCACTGAATTCCCGCATACAGTACACTAACATGATTTCTCTCCTCAGGTGACAGGCCCAATCCCCATCGCCGCGTTCATGCGTCAAGTCCTCACATCCCCGGAAGGCGGCTACTACACGACACGACCGGACGGCGGCGGGGAGGTATTCGGACAGAAAGGAGACTTCATCACGTCCCCGGAGATCTCGCAGGTGTTTGGCGAGTTGATTGGGATATGGACGATTGCGGAGTGGATTGCGCAGGGGCGCAAGCGCAGTGGGGTCCAGTTGATGGAGGTTGGGCCGGGGAAGGGGACGTTGATGGATGATATGCTGCGGGTGAGTGGGCAAGGACAGAAGTATGTCCCTGCGTGTGTGGCTGTTTGCTGACATACTGGGGATAGGCGTTCCGGAACTTCAAGACGTTTACTTCGAGCATTGAGGCGATTTATCTGGTGGAAGCGAGCGCAACACTACGAGAAGTGCAGAGGAAGCTCCTTTGCGGCGATGCGGCTATGGAAGAGACGGATATCGGGCACAAGAGTACATGCAAGTACTTTGATGTCCCGGTGGTCTGGGTTGAGGACATTCGGTTGCTACCTCAAGGTAAGCTACCCCGACTTTGCCGGATAGACCAAATAATAACCGCTTCTACAGAAGAGGACAAAACACCCTTCATCTTCGCGCACGAATTCTTCGACGCCCTCCCAATCCACGCCTTCGAATCCATCCCCCCAGCACCCGAAAATGAGCAATCCCCCGTGAAAGAGATCATGACCCCCACCGGCCCTATCACAATCGAGAACCCCCCGAAACCCGCTAACACACCGCAATGGCGCGAGATCCTGGTCACACTGAACCCCAAAGCCGTGGACGAGAATATCCCCGGCGAGCCGGAATTCAACCTGACTATGGCCAAGGCATCTACACCATCTTCGCTGGTGATCCCGGAGATCTCACAGCGCTACCGCGCCCTCAAGTCCCAGCCAGGTTCCTCTATCGAAATTAGTCCCGAAAGCCGCATCTACGCAGCTGACTTTGCACGCCGTATTGGAGGATCATCCCAACCTACCCTCCAGGGCAGACAAGGCCCCTCCTCTATTCCAGCCAACTTCAAGAAAAACCCCTCCGGCGCAGCCCTAATCATGGACTACGGAACCCTCAACACAATCCCCATAAATTCCCTCCGTGGCATCCAAAACCACCAAAACGTCCCTCCCCTTTCATCCCCGGGCCAGGTCGACGTCAGCGCGGATGTCGACTTCACTGCTCTCGCTGAGTCTGCGATCGAAGCGAGCGAGGGTGTTGAAGTCCACGGACCTATGGAACAGGGTGACTTCCTGCGCGCTATGGGGATCGCGGAGCGGATGCAGCAACTGCTCATGGGGATTCAGGACGAAGGGAAGAGGAAGAATTTGGAGACTGCGTGGCAGCGATTGGTTGAGAAGGGGGGTGGGGGTATGGGGAAGATTTATAAGGTTATGGCTATTGTTCCGGAGAATGATGGGAAGCGGAGACCTGTTGGGTTTGGAGGGTCGGTTTGATTGTGATGGTATTGTAAATGCTTGTTTGTACAGAAGTGTATTATAGAACATATATCCAGCTCTGGCAATCTTGCCTTTGTACGGGCTTGTTTTAAATGTGCACTTTCTGCGATCCCACGAATCCATCTCCACCAATTCCCCATCCTTTATTCCATCCTTGTGCAGTTTTCTGTCGTTCTTCGCGGATCTTCCAGAATATCGAGCCCTAACAACTTATTAGCACATGTCCTCAAACCAGACCTATCGGATTACTCACATCCATAACAGCACGAACATCCTCCTTATATATCTTCCCATCTCTCTGTATGAGAAGCCAAGTTGATCCCCATTCGAAGAATGCAGCTCCCCACTGTTAAGCCAGTCAGTAAACAGCCCTCAAAGCCCCGGATAGGAAAGGGACATACACCAAACGGATCAGCAGCACACCGATGGCCTTTAATCATAGTGAACAATTCACCGAACGTCAACGTCCCGTCTCCGTTCTTGTTGTATTTACTGAACATATTCTCGAAACTCTGCGGTACCAGACGGCCTTCAGGGTCGTATGTACTGCTGTCGGAGCCATGCTGTTCATTATCAGCCCCATCCTTACTTCCCCCATGTAATATAAACATATAAATGTAATCATACCTTAGCCTTATGAATACTATCCACATAAACCCTAAACCACGGATCCGGCATATACGAATGCGCAAGTCTCGTCGGATACGAAAAATTGATATTGATAATCAACACAGCCACAAACGAGAAGAGGATATTAAACCCCAACTCGCGGAAACCGATGTATGTGTCCCAGGGGTAGATCTGACCGTCCGCGTCGCGGTCCCAGAAGAGGACGTGTTGTTGTAATGGGGTCTTTTTTCTTGGTCAGCCCAATTCTTGTCTATCCTCTAGGGGACGGGGGGGGGGGAAAGGTGGGCTCACGAAGTTCCGGTGTTTCTTGGAATATCCTTCATCTCCGTGCGGGCTATCTGTTGATGCTGCGAGGTTTCCTCTTGCGATTCCGGGTTTGTCGATGTATTCGTCGGCGTGGATGGCGGGGACTCGTTTCGTGGGAGGGCAGTTTGCGACGGTTATGTCGAAGTCGATGTCGGATGGGGAGTTTGGGTGGTGTCCATTGACGTGGTTGGAGTTCTTGGACGATTTGGTTTCGCCGTTGTGTTTGGAGTGTGATTTGTGTGGCATTGTTATGATATAGAATTGGAATAGTTGTAGTACTTGGGAAGTTGGTTCATGGTTGCGATAGACCGATATATATACACCCAATAGGTACCCACCAGTGAATGATGAGATATCCAGACAATCTGAGTCGACAAGATCTTAGCCTGTTAGTTTACATTGATAGGGAAATATTTAACATCATCGTGACAGCCAATTGATGTTCAGCGCGATACAAGAATGTTAGGGTCTGTCAGGATGACCTCATCCGTCGGTATATCTAAACTCACATGCCCTATAACGACATTGCTGCTATTTTGATCACTCCAGCTGCCTTGATTCAATCAAATTAACTTCGATTGCTAATAATAATATTATCGAGTATCATCATTTATATTAACAATAATGGCTTCCCCCGCATTCTACACCAGACGCTTCCTCTCGAACCGTCTCCCTCTCGTCTTCCAGGGTAACTAACCCCAAAGGAAAAAGAAAAATAATAGCAACATAGCTCCCAATAAACCAATCTCACTAACACTAAAAGCCCCCATTCCTCGAACCCAACGCCTATCCGCCTCAACCACCGCCGAACAAGCAACCAGCGCCAAACCCTCCCCCGCCAGCAACCCCGAAGTAGACGGTATAAACGTCTCGCGCGGCAAGGAGTCCAGATATACCGACGCGCCGCCGTCGAGTAACATGCAATCGCCCATTTCGGCGAGACGCGGACTCCCGAGTGAGGCGCAGGAGGGGGAGGAGCAGACAACTACGGATGCGCAGATTAAGAATGATCCTAGAGAGTCGTTGGAGAAGAAGAGGGAGAATGTAAGGAAGACGGGGGAGAAGCCTATGGGGAAGGAGGATTTTGCTTGATTCAACATAGTTGGGATGGAATGCATGTTTGATGACGTACCTTGATAAGGGCGCATGCATGTGATGCTGATACTCAGCTGAGAAACAGGACAAAGCAATAGACAATCAAAGATAATTCAATTTCATTTCATCAATATTCAAGTGGTATCATTGTAATTGCACTGGCCATATCATACCAGCATGCACAGCATGCAAAAGTACGACCGACCCCATTCAGGAATCAATACTCCCTCCAGATATCCTCCACATAAGCCTCCGTCAACCTCTTATCATTCCCAAACTTCTCCTGCCACTGCACAAATCCACCCTCCAAAACATAAACCTTCTGGTTATGGCTCTCCTCCGCTCCAACAGCGCCCTCGCGCGCCCGCGCATAGCGCAGCGCAGCAGACGGGCCGCGCTGCTGGCTGAGGGCACAGTGGAAGACGACGGTTTCTTTGTCCTTGAGGGTGCGGACGAGTTCGGGGATGCGTAGCTCGAGCGTGGCGCTGGGGACCCAGGTGGAGCCGTAGATGTGGCCGCCGATGTGGTCTGGCGAAACTGTTAGATGGTGTTGTGAGATGATGGATGGGTGGGTGGGTTTGGAGCTTACCTGAGTCGCGGACGTCGACGATAGCCAGGTTACTGGGCGTGCTAGTGGACAGGAGCAGCGCGGATAGAGCATCCCGGCTCATACGGGGAAGGGTTACGATATTGATCGAAGACATAGTTGTAGCTATAGTTCTCGTTGAAGGAACGGACTCGGGTGGGAGAAAAAGTAACAAAAGCAAGATAGAAAAGGAGTGACTGTCGAGTTGCCAGCAACGAAACAAGGATTTTAAGTCCCAGACTTTCAAAGGAACGCTGAAGATAGCGTTGTATAGAGGGTGGAGGATGAGTTGAGGAGAAGCGCAAAGGGAAATGCGGACGCTTATTTAGGCCGAACGGGGTCACGTGGGCTGCAGCAAAAGTCGGCGAAGATTCACAGCGCGCAAACCACCGACGGATACCACTTCCCCTCCACCACCTCACGATTATAGCGTGTTACAGTCTCGGGGGCACGCTTCGATTGAAATATCCATCGCAATTGGAGTCAAGTTTTCAATTCCACGTGTCGCGATGGAAATGCGCTCCCTGACCAGAAGCCTCCGTCCGAGACCGGCCATCTCGCAGCTCTACACCAAGCAGCCCTCGACCCTCCTGCAAGGCCAGTTCCTCCGTTACTCGTCATCAGACAACGGACCCAGCAACCCCCAGGGCAACGAGCAAAGCCCAAGCCAGCCCGCAACGTCCGCACCCTCCTCACCTCCCTCCCAACCCCCCTCCGCAACCACAAGCCCATTCAGCAAAACCCCCAGATTCACCACCACACCACCCCGCCAACCCGCAGACCACGGAGACTTCGAAACCGTCCTCAACAAACTAAACTTCAACCGCAAACAAACCCCCACCAACTCTGAAAAACCCGACGCCGCCTCCTCGCTGTCCCGCGACGTCGGCGCCTCCGCCAAAACAGACAACTACCGGCAACCGGTCCGCCGGGTGGAACTCAAGCTCGGGCCTAGCCTGGGTCGTCAGGTGCATGTTGAACCGGAGAAGGGGTATGATCTTGAGGCTGCGCTGCGGACGCTGAATGCGGCGTGCTTCCAGAATAAGATTCTGCAGACGCAGCGGAGGCAGAAGTTTCATGTTAGGAGGGGGCAGATGAGGAAGAATATGAGGATGGAGAGGTGGAGGAAGTTGTTCAAGTTTTCGTTTGTGAATACTGTTACGAAGATTCAGAAGATGAGGTCCCAGGGGTGGTAATATTTGCTTCTCTTTTGACTTCTCGGGGGAAGGTTATCATGTGTGATGTATATACGGGGAGGCTGAAGGTGTATGAATGGTCTAGGGCTTCCGTTTGTCCATTCTCGATGATTTGAGGCTCTGGCTTGTCATGTATTACTATTGTGAAAGTGTTCTTTGTTTTGTATTCGGTGTTTATTCGGTTAGGATAAAAATGAGACATTGCACTGGAATCACTTTTATTGTCTCCCATGGTATATGCATGAATCATAATATACGAACAGCCTAGTTCTCAATACAAGGTACATGTACAAGCACGTCCGCCATATACAGAATAGACAAACTAATCTCTCTTCCCAGTCGAAAACCCCCCATACCCAGTGCCTCCCGTCCCAGACGAGCCACCAGTAGCAGAAAACCCTCCGTACCCATTCATCCGTCCACTATTCCCATAAACAATCCCAGCAGGGACCTTACCACGGGAAGATGGCGGCGGGACACCAAGGATCCCATCACCTCTCCAACCGCGTCGACGACCACCATTTCGCTCCCAGTACAATGCCGCCATTGCACCGACAGAACCAGCCAGGCCGAAGAAGAACAATCTGGAGAAGAGAGCACCCCAGCCGGACGATTCTTCAGCGGACGCTGACGATGGAATCAACGACGTCGATCCGGACGGCCACCCGATTCCTTTCCCGCCTTCGACCCAGTGGACGTGCAATGTGAAGGTGAGCGGCTCACCACGGATCACTTTTGTGCCGTGGCCTGCGGTCCAGGGGTCACGCGCAGCTTCTGAGATTGCAACGGCGGTGTCCTTCTCCTTCTCTTTGCTGGAAGAGGAAGACTTTTGGCTTTCGAGATCGGAAGCGTGGAACTCGGGGATCGAATACGCCGTTCCCGCGACGGGGTACCCCGGCGCTGCTTTCTGCGCTTTCTTCTTGCTCTTCTTATTCGCCGACGATCCAGGCGTCGATGGAATATTGTGCACAAGCACATTCATATCCGTCCAGATATGCAAATGACTGCGCTGCAGGGTCCCCTGCAGTGCAAACGTCAACGGAGTATACGACGGCTCCCCAGTATCCAAACCAGTCCCTTCTCCATTCTCTTTATCTTTGGCGTCTTCTTCTGAGGACGGCGCGGACGGTGTAAGAGGAGCCGTCGGCACGCGACATGTCATCGGCACATCCGAGTGGATGTAGTATTCAAGGAGGTGGTAGAGTTCATCGGGGAGGGAGTCGACGGTGCAGTTGACTGTTTCTGGGACGCCGTAGCGCAGGGCGAGGGGGAGGAAAGTTTCGTTGCAGGTTGGGAAGGGGATGTATTGGAGTTTTCCGAGGCTGTCTGTTATCTAGATTCCTTGTCAGCTGACTCGTTACTGTGTCGCTGGCGTCGGGGAGAACGTGGGCGTACATGTTCGCCGGAGTCACTGTACAAAAATACGGTTAGCACAAACAAGACACGTCCGATTTCTTTCAATCCCAGCCTAACGGTATCACTCACATCGTCCGATTCAAGCAAGTAACCGGCATAGGCTGTCCATAAACATAACCCGCCTTGCCACTCCCAAGGTCACCAGCAGCGCTATTCTTTCCCGCAGCAGCTCCTTGCAACAACAAGCACGCGATGAAGCTATAAACATAGACAAAATATTGAGATAACCCTCGGGATAAGGCCATATTGACGAATTGAAGCCGCCTGCCAGGCGGATAGGCTCGCGGAGGCCGGTGCGATGAGGAACGGGAGATGTCAAGACAGGAGAATTAACAGTAGGTTGATGCTGGAGATGCGGATCTGCTCCGAACGCCACAGCGCTTCCGCTCCACAAGGTAGTTACTCCTGAACTCGGTCTCCTTAACATGGAATATAGTACATTAAGACTACGGCTACTTGTGTATCTGGATACTGGTAAAGTTGAACATATTATTCTTCATTTTTCGCTATCTCTAAGAACGAGAAAATTGAGAACATATTAAAAAAATCAATCGTTCCTCATCATAAATACATGCTTTGTGAATTGCACAGATTCCTTGCTTTTTATTATTATTAACCATTTTATGCCAGGTTGGCCTTCTTCTTGAAAGCGAGCAGCAGTCCGCTGGTCGAAGCGTCGTGCTCAGCACCGGCACCATCAGTCTCCAACTCCTTCTGGATGTTCTTGGCCAGGACCTTGCCCAGCTCGACACCCCACTGGTCGAAGGAGTTGATGTTCCAGACGGCACCCTCGGTGAAAGTGAGGTGCTCGTAGTAGGCGATCAGGGCACCCAGGGTGGAGGGGGTGATCTTCTGGGCGAGGATGGAGGTGGTGGGACGGTTTCCAAGGAAGGTCTTGTGGGGCACCAGGCCCTCGGGAGCGTTCTCGGCCTTGACCTGCTCGGGGGTCTTACCGACCATCAGGGCCTCAGACTGAGCAAGGAAGTTGGAGGCCAGCATGCGCTGATGCTTGCCGTTCTCGACGGGGTTGTGCGACTCGGCGGCCATGATGAAGTCCGAAGGAATGAGCTTGGTACCTTGGTGCAGCAGCTGGAAGAAGCTGTGCTGAGCGTTGGTGGCCGGCTCACCGAACAGGATGGGGCCGGTGGTGTATTTGACGTACTCGCCGGCGCGGGTGATGGCCTTACCGTTGCTTTCCATGGAGAGCTGCTGGAGGTAGGCGGGGAAGCGGTGGAGGTACTGGTCGAAAGGAGCAACAAGGTGAGTCTGGGCACCGAAGAAGTCGCTGTACCAGACGCTCAGCAGACCACCAATGACGGGGATGTTCTGCTCCAAGGGAGTCTCGCGGAAGTGCTTGTCCATAGCGTTGGCACCGGCCAGGAACTGGTGGAAGTTGTCGTAACCGATGTAGAGGGCAACGGAGAGACCAATGGCACTCCAGACGGAGTAACGGCCACCCACCCACGATTCGAAACCGAACATGTTCTTGCTGTCAATGCCGAACTTGGTGACCTCGGGCTCGTTGGTCGAGAGAGCGACGAAGTGCTTAGCGATGTAAGACTCGTCCTTGGCGGTCTCGAGGAACCATTTCTTGGCGGAGTTGGCGTTGGTGGTGGTCTCAGCGGTGGTGAAGGTCTTGGAGGCGATCAAGAAGAGGGTGGTCTCGGGGTCCGAGTTCTTGAGGGCTTCGGCAATGTGAGTACCGTCAATGTTGGAGACGAAGTGCAGCTTCATGTTGGGGTCGCCGTAGGGCTTGAGGGCCTCAGTGACCATAACGGGGCCGCTATTGACCAAGTTAGCTTTCATTTCAACACTGAAAAAAAAAAAAAAAAAAAAAAAAAAAAAAAAAAAAAAAAAAAAGAGAAAGGATGCGGAAACCTACAGATCGGAACCACCGATACCAATGTTGACGATGGTGTCGATCTTCTTGCCAGAGTAACCCTTCCACTCGCCGCTTCTCACCTGCTCGGAGAACTCCTTCATGTGCTCGAGGACCGAGTTGACGTCCTCGACAACGCTCTGGCCGTCGACCTGCATGGGCTCATTGGTGACATTGCGGAGAGCAGCGTGGTAGACAGCACGGTCCTCGGTGAAGTTGATGTGCTCACCCTTGAACATGTCATCGCGCAGCTGCTCAACGTTGGCCTCCTTGGCCAGCTTGACCAGGAGCGAGAGGGTCTCCTCAGTCAAAAAGTTCTTGGAGAAATCGAAGAGGATCTCCGAGTTGTCGACGGTGTTGTTGAATGTGCGGCTGAACTTCTCGAAACGCTGAGGGTCTTTCTCGAAGTAGTCCTTAAGGACAATGTTGCGACCCAACGAGTTGTGGTGGTCCTGGAGGGTCTTCCAGGCGGGAAGCTCGGTGGCCTGCGAGAAACCAGGCATGATGACGGTGTTATTCTGTATAGCGATTGTGTTAGAGTAGCTGTATGCGGGGGACCTTGATCAGATAACGCAGCAATGCTGAACTTACTTAAGGAAGAAGTGAGGGAGTTATAAGCTATAAAGACAATGCGATGGAAGAGATGAGGAATAAGGGGAGAAGAAAAGATCGGAAGACACGGAGAACTGAGGCAAAGCGACAACAGCCGTCATTACGTATGGCGTCAATCGGCGTGTTGCGCTCCGTGGAGGGGCACGTGGGGCTGTATTCACCGGCTGCAGGTTTGTATACAAAAGGTCATGTGTACGAAAGGGATTTCTAGCATGGAGCACAGCAGGACAGTATTCTACTATGCCTCTGCTGTTATTATTATTGCCATTGCCATAGAAGACTACTGCCGGAATTGTATGCCTTTCCGTGACCGGGAATTGACAGCGGATAATACATCCTCTACTGTCGGCAACGGAAGGGTCCAATTCTTCACTTCTAGAAAGGGCTAGACTAACTAGCACTGCTATATCGGAGGATCAGGTAAAAGCATTCATAATGTGGACTGTTTCTAGACCCGGAGCTATCACAAATGATGTCACATGATACTCTCACATGACCCTACCCGATTGGGAACCCATCTAAAGATGAACAGTGCCAAGTCCGCTGCACGGGCCACATCAAACTATCTCCGTCGCGACAGCAAAAGAATTATTCCAGACTGCTCTATCCAGCGCCGCGCCATTCCATCTCTGGGCATCTTAACATTTATCTCATCCCTAAAACGCATTGCATGCTCTTCATTAACACTCGTTGAATTTGAAGCGATCAATTTCCACACCCAGTGCAGCTTTACCGAGCTTGACCGCGCCAACTGCAGAGTCCTAGAGCTGCAAAGTCACCACCATGTACAACCCTTATCAGCGTATGTGTCCCTTCTCCCTGCAAATTCAAAGACATTGAACTAATTTTTACTAGCCCCCGGCCTCTATGGCAGACCGGATTTCGGGGGTTACGGTGCGCCACCTGGCATGGGTAAGCTCTTGGTCTCTCGTTCCCTACATCCTCGATTCGATACTAATAAAGTAGCTCCCCCTCCCGGAATGGCCCCTCCGGGCATGGCACCCCCTCCTGGTACTGGTGCTCCTCCGGGGATGCAGCAAGCGAATGCCGCGCAACCTGGCCGAGCGCCAGGCTTTCCTCCGAACTTCCAACCGCCCCCCAACATGCCAAACATCAACTTTACCGCTCCCGTCATTCGTCTAGGAACCTCCGGTCCTGCGAAGCCAGTTGCCCCCGAGACAACCAATCAGCGCGGAGGTGAAGCACAGGGTAGACGTGCCGGGCTGGGTTCTACGGGTCCGGATAACCAGCGTCAGAACATTCGGGATGCGATGATGCAGCTGCAGCCGCCGACGAAGGAGGAGGTCGTCAGGACAATCTTCATCGGAGGGATTACTGAGGGTACTGGGGGCGATGAGGGCATTGAGAGGATCCTAGGAACTGCGGGGAATCTCAGACGGTGGATTCGCGCCACGGATGCAGATGAAAAGCCATGCAAGTTTGGATTCGCCGAGTACGAAGACCCTGAAAGCTTAGGTACTGCTGTGGAAGTGCTAAAGGACGTGGAAGTACCTGTGAAACGACAGACGCCGTCCGAGGGGGGTGAGGACAACGAGGTGGAGAAGAGCACACTATTGGTACGTGTCGCACAAGGAACGCACAGCTGAACATCGCTAACGTGAGCTTACTGCAGGTCCTCGTGGACGAAAGCTCTTTGAAATATTTGGAGCAATACGAAGCCAGCAAAGGCGAACAAGACCCCGCGGAGCGTGATTCTCGCATCGAAGCAGCGCGTAACGCCCTCTCCGGTATCCTCTCCGAACTATTCAAGCCTACGTCGCCTACTCAAAAAGAAGAGGCATCTGCCATTGATCGGGAAGGAGATACATCGATGAAGGATGCTGAGGGCCAGGATGGCGCGCCTGCTGAAGTCGTTACGATCCCCATCACCATCGAAGATGAGCTTTCCGATATCCCCGCTGAGATGCGGGAGACCGTCGCCAAGGAAATCTCAGCATTCCGTGAGCGGAGCAACCGCAGAGACATTGAGCGTTTGAAGCGGGAAGAAGAGATTGAATCTATGGAAAGGGCAAGGAATGCCGGATCGCGCGCCAGCAGATTGTCGTCTCCCCCGCTTGCTGCCCCTAGTGGACCTGCAGGTGGTGTCAATGGCGTGCCGCTTGGACCTCGGGATAACCGTTCAGCTGCACCTCCTCCCTCGGGGCCCAAGGGCTTCGGTGTACAGATTCCTAGGGACTACCAAAATGGTGTGTCTTTTGTCAATGGAGAGGATGATGACCCCAATGTCAGTGATGAAGAACTGGAACGCCGCCGTCAAGAAAAGGAAGGGTCAGAACTCGAAAAGCAATATCTGGATCAAGAGCGTCGCTGGTTAAACCGTGAACGCAGTAGGACAGCGGCTCTGGAGCGTGAGAAGAAACGTGACAAGGAAGAAGAACTTAAAGTCCAAGATGCGCGTGATGATGCGGATAGACAGCTACGGGAGTGGAACGACGACGTGGAAGCTAGCAGAAAGGTGGATGACTACTACGCTGATCGAGGCGCATGGCTCAGAAGCCGGGCATCTTATCGATCCCGTGAAGTCAACATGGATGACGCGGACCGTTCAGCTGAAGAGCGAGAGCGGGCTCGGTCCATCCAGCAGCAGGAGCAGGCCCGCGGTATGGCAGACGACTTCCTTGCTCGCCAGGCAGAGGAACTGGAAACTCGCCAGGCACCCCGGGAACCCCAGCGCTTCAAGCTTTCACTCGGTGCTGCTGCCCAGAAGGCTCAGGCAGCAACCAGCCGGCGGACAGTTGCGGAAGTGGAAGGCCTGCTGGAAGACGAAGAAGAGCCCGAGGCGACTGCACGACGCCCCCTCATCCCGATCAAGTTCGACAGCGCCGCCGAAGCTGCCGGGCTCACGGAGGAAGAACGCGCCCAGGCAGTGCGACAACTGGCTGCAGATATCCCAGCGGACAAGGAGGGATTGTGGAAATGGAACATCAAGTGGGATTTTGTGGACGAGACCGTGCTCACCGATCAGCTCAAGCCGTTTGTCGAGAAGAAGATCGTCGAGTACCTGGGGGTTCAGGAGCAGATGTTGGTCGATGTGGTGGAAGAGCATATTCGCAAGCGTGGACCTCCTCAGGAGTTGGTGGAGCAATTGGAAGAGGTGAGCCTTATCATTAATCCCCTGTTGTCAATTTTACTGTTCTCTAACAACTTTCTAGGCCCTCGACGAAGAGGCAGAAGTGCTTGTCCGGAAACTGTGGCGTATGGTTATTTTCTTCTCCGAGAGCGAGAAGAGAGGTCTTTCCACATAAGGCTACATGCAATAGATTATCTGGTGCTGGAGCTATGTTTCTATCTACTGCATTCGATATCCGCCTTTTTGGCACCCTATTACTTGTAGCTAATAAATACCACGGATATGGAGCACTATCTCGAATTCAACCGTGCCATGAGTCATTTTATTATCCATCGATGAATTTAGCCGTGACATCGGCATTTGTTGTATACCCCGGAGTCGCTCCGATGCTGACCCTCAAGTAACCATTCACCCGCCAATCAGCGCGATATCTCTCTTGCTCAGACCGAGGGGGAGATATTTTTTCCAGGCTGTCGTAGTTATATAAATCGTAGTGTTTCCTCTGTTGACAAGAATTGATTATTAGTATTTATCGTGGATTGAGCAATTGACGTTGAACTTAAGTGGGGTTGCGCCATATTCTATTACCCCATCTTTCTTTCACGGTACTGAATCAATTCATTGCCATTGTACATATTGTACCTGAATCTATCTACAATTGCACTAAGACACCATGGTTAAGATCACTGGGTTCACAACCCGCGATGTGAGGTTTCCGGTAAGATACACCACCACCCAAGCATGCCATTGATGAATCAATTGATACTAACAAGTACAGACCTCCCTCGACAAAACCGGCTCAGACGCCATGAACGCCGCAGGCGACTACTCCTCTGCATACTGTATCCTTACCACGGATTCCGAGTATACCGGACATGGAATGGTACCCTCCCCCCTCCTCCCCGTCTACACAGCGCAATTCAAATACCAACCAAATAAACCTAGACCTTCACAATCGGCCGCGGCAACGAACTCGTCTGCTCCGCCATCTCCCTCCTAACCCCCCTAATAATCAACAAAGACCTCTCCTCCCTAACCGCAAACTGGGGCCAAACATGGCGCTACCTCGTCTCCGACAGCCAACTGCGCTGGATCGGCCCCGAGAAGGGGGTCATGCATCTCGCGCTCGGCGCCCTGGTTAATGCGCTCTGGGATCTCTGGGCGAAGACGCTGGGGAAGCCTGTTTGGAAAGTTATTGCGGATATGACGCCCGAGGAGGTGGTTAGGTGTATTGATTTTCGGTATATTACGGATGCGTTGACGCCGGAGGAGGCTGTTGCACTACTTAAGGAGGTTGAGGGTGGTAAAGCGGAGAGGATCAAGGAGGCGGAGGAAAGTCGGGCTGTGCCTGCATACACGACTAGCGCGGGGTGGTTGGGGTACGGGGAGGAGAAGATGAAGGCACTACTGAAGGAGAGTGTGGAGCTGGGGTACCGGCATTTCAAGATGAAGGTTGGCGGGGATCTGGAGGAGGATAAGCGGCGGTTGCGGATTACCAGGGAGGCCATTGGGTATGATAAGGGGAATGTCCTCATGGTGGACGCGAACCAGATCTGGTCCGTTCCTGAGGCGATTACGTGGATGCGGGAACTTGCCGAGTTCAAGCCTTGGTTTATCGAGGAACCTACGTCGCCGGATGATATTCTGGGCCATGCGGCTATCCGCAGGGCGCTCGCTGATATTCCCATTGGTGTTGCTACGGGTGAAATGTGTCAAAATCGGGTTATCTTCAAGCAACTCCTGCAAGCTAATGCCCTGACGGTTCTACAGCCGGATGCCTGCCGGGTTGGCGGTGTCAATGAAGTCCTCGCGATCCTGTTGCTGGCTCGCAAGTTTGGCGTTCCTATCGTGCCGCATTCAGGTGGTGTCGGGTTACCGGAGTACACGCAGCATCTCAGTACGATCGATTATGTGGTTGTTAGCGGGAAGACGAGTGTGTTGGAGTATGTGGATCATTTGCATGAGCATTTTGTGCATCCGAGTCGGGTACAGGATGGGTATTATGTTACGCCTATGGAGCCCGGGTATAGTGTTGAGATGAAGGCGGAGAGTATGGATTTGTTTTCGTTTCCGGGGGAGACGAAGGGGTGGTGGAGGTCTGAGGATGCGAAGGTGATTTTGGAGGGGCCTAGGGTTATTTGATTTGGTGGCTTTTGGTTGTGAATGGAGTAAACTTGTTGAATTGCATTTCTTTTCACCGGTTCGATGAAATTCGGTTCCTTATAATACAGGATAATGAGCTGGAAACCATGTCCAACTGATCATGATACCAAGCCTTTGCCTGGCTGAGCCTAAACGCTCATTTTTTGGCTTGGTAATCGCCAGAGCCAGATATAATATACATAGATAATGAAGCCGAAGCCCTAGCCAGACCTACTCTGACTTAATGTCCCGAAACGCGACTTTTACGGGAGGTTCGTCGCAAATCACTCATCATCTGTCAGCAGATATGAGGGTTATTTTAAGATGTAGCAGTGGTCATTCATCGCCACCGGACACCAAGTAAGCTCAATGGGTTCTTCTCCGTGTGTCTTTCGAGAACAATACGGGTATGGCCTAGTAAAGGTTAATATTTTGTCTGCAATATGCCAGACCGTGTAAACCAACCTTTGACATCCAAGGCAAGCAACAAGTATTCCCATTCGTAGCTGCCCTGTGGTTTAAGCGAATGCACGTGCACGATACCAGAGTTCAACGGTCCTTCGACCTGCAGCAAGCAAAGTTAGGACCGATTCTGTCTTAGATAGGGTTGAAAAACTCACGTGGAAACTCAGTTTCATGTGTTCACGGCCCAAGTTATCTTTTTCGACGGTGGTTCTATCACCAGTTAGCCTGTGCTCAACGAGAAGAGGACAAGAACCTACGCAATAGGCTTGTTCCGTGACCATCTGCTCCCAGTACTATCACCAAATGCCGCTATCTGTCCCCGTTCACCAAGTACAGCCGTACATCGCGGGTCATCCTTGATGCGCCCAACCGCTTTCTCAAACTGCCATGTCTTGCTATTGGGAGAAATGACTTCCGTCCAGAGTAGGTAAAACACGCCTCCCTGTTCTCAGTCAGACCAATATCTCCAAGCAATATATATCCAAGCCAAGCCAAGCTCACCGTCAAAACCGCCCCAACACACACAACAGCAAAATTAACCGACTGCTGCGTAGCCCGCGCAACCTTCTCTCTCCCAGTTAAATCACCCCATTGATATCGCCCATCATCGGCCAAAAGCCCAACACCCCTCTTCTTCGGACGACTCGAGCTCGCACTTGGTTCTTTTGAATCTCCTCCAACGTCTCGATATGTCGCGTACAGGCGTGCTAGATCTGGTTGCGCCGTGCGGGGATTGGCATAGTTTGCTGCGCGGAAACGGAAGAGGATGGATGCGGTGTTGGAAGCGCGGGGTAGAAGCGAATCACTGGGTCGGAGAGCGGGATGCATTGCGACTGTTGTTCATGACTCTGGGGTGTGATAGAGTCATGTAAAAAGTGTTACTGGCAGAGTTTGTATAGAAGTCAGATTGAGAAATGTGGGGATGCTTTCGGTCGCGGCGGGTCACGTGGCTATATTTAGCCTTGCCGGGTTGAAAATTACAGGAACGGGCTGTTGTGTATTGGCAATACCCTTTGCCTCCGTTCTTCTGCTGTATAGGAGAGCAACTGATACTGAGTTATAGATATAGCATGTATAGTAGACTGCGAAGACTACAAGTAATGAGAGAATCATGACCAGGTACTCCGTACAAAGGGTACAGGGAAGAGAAAGCGTAACACGTTGTAATGTGTATTGCAAACTCCCAATCGGGGCCGCCAGGCGCAATCGACTCCGACCACGTTCGCCCTTTTCTTTCTCCAGACAGACTCCTGACCGGCTCGACAACAACACTTGCTTCTTATCTCTTCATCTACTCTCTACACAATGGCCGCCTCCAAAGCGGAGTCTCAAAAGATCTTTGAGAAACTCAAACTGAAGCCCGCGAACAAGGTGCGCTGCACCCCTCCGCAAACCCGGTCTGTTTTGGCATCTGACAGCAGTTACTAACAGTCGAAATTAGGTCTGCTTCGATTGCAATTCAAAGAATCCCACCTGGTCGTCGGTGCCTTTCGGTATCTACCTGTGCCTCGACTGTTCGGCCAACCATCGGAACCTGGGTGTCCACATCTCCTTTGTCCGCTCCACAAATCTCGACCGTACGCTTCCCCGACTCGGATAATAACATCTCCAGTGGATCAGTACTGATGTGTTTGGTGCAGAATGGCAATGGGAACAACTCCGGATGATGAAGGTTGGTGGGAATGAGTCCGCCACCAAGTACTTCCAATCGCACGGAGGCTCCGCCGCTCTCGCCAGCAAGGACAGCAAGGTTAAGTACACTTCCAATGCGGCTGTGAAGTACAAGGATGAGTTGAAGAGACGTGCTGCGGTGGATGCGCAACAGTGAGCCATGGCCATTCCATCTGTTTTGGTCTAATGCATGAGGTCCCTAATGTTGGCTTTGTTTAGGTACCCCGAAGAAGTTGTCATCACCGACCTGCCCGCTGGTACAAGCCCCGACGGCTCGAACACTCCCGCCGACGACGACGACGATTTCTTTTCCTCCTGGGATAAGCCTTCTATCAAACGTCCAAGCAACCCTCCCTCCCGCACCGGTACTCCTCCGGTCGTCAGCCGGACCGCCTCGCCCTTCCTGAACGCCGGTGCCAACGGCTCGCGCTCGAAATCGCCCCTTTCAGAGCAAGGGAGTGCTTCTCCTGCACCTACCGCTGTCAAGTCCGCCGCTACGGTACGGAAGGCCTCGTCGGCAGGCACCGCGAAGAAAGGCAGCGTCCTGGGTGCCAAGAAAGCCCCCAAGCTCGGAGCTAAGAAGGTTGCCGCCGTAGAGACTATCGATTTCGAGGAAGCCGAGAGAAAGGCCAAGGAAGAGGCGGAACGTGTCGAGAAACTTGGATATGATCCCGAGGCAGAGAAGGCTGAGGCTGAGGCCAAGGCCAAGGCGACGAGCACTGCAGCTCCCGCCATCGCATCGCCTACCCCCATCAGCCCCAGCGCAGGGTCAACTAGCAAACCTCAAGAACGGAGTTCCGGTGATGTGGAACGTCTTGGAATGGGTATTGGGCGACTTGGGTTCGGTCAAACAACGAAGCCCCCTGCCCCTAAGAAACTCGGATTCGGCGCTGTTGCTCCTACCAGGACGCGCGAGGATGGTAAGCTTGTCTGGCTGTTCTGTTAGTTCTCGAGAAACTAACGATATCCTAGATGAGGACTTGGAGAAAACTAGGACCAGGTTCGGCACCCAAAAGGGTATCTCGTCCGACGAATTCTTCGGGCGGGAACGATTTGATCCTGCTGCACAGTCGGAGGCCAAGGAGCGTCTTCGCCAGTTCGACGGTGCCCAATCCATTTCCAGCAACAACTATTTCGGCCGGCCCGAAGATGATCTCCCACCAATTGACGACGGATACGGTGACCTGGAGGCTTCGGCCAGGGATTTCGTCCGCCGGTTTGGCATCACAGCCGGTGATGACCTTGAAAACCTGACCCAGCTGATGGGAGATGGTGCACTGAAGTTGCAAGGTGAGTACTTGGTGAATTGTTGAGATCAGTAGTCTCTTCTAACCCACAACTTTGAATAGGTGCCATTCGCACGTACCTGAACAACTAAATGACGTTTCTTTTACAGAATATCTATTTTAACATGATCAGGCTTGTTCGCAGGAGCTGTGTGCTTTTGTCAGCGTCGAGCTATGCATCCCCCGGTATCTATGTAGTTTCTCCTGTTTTTATACCTCTAGTCCTGAATCGGCAATACTCTGGTAAACGTCAAGAGTTGAACTAGGGTTTTCGTCTGTCCATCGGTGTATGAATGGCTTGGTTTTGGTTTGTTCTTTCTCGCGGCTTAGTTTAATTTCTTTTCAAATTGGGATTTCCTTTTCTTTTCTTCTGTTTTTATACTCATTTCTTGCTATGATTATGTATATTCTGAATTTATAGATTTTTGAGCGAGTTGTCAATATTGTTTCCTTCTCAACAGGAACGTCTCAATACTATTTATTGTCTCTCATCTTCTGTTACTTCATTCTCCATTTCCCTCTTCAACAACCTCTTTAACTCCATCTTCTTAATAGCCTTCTATCTTCTTTCTTCGCATTCTATCCAAACATCTTCCTCTCTTGCTCGCCGGCCAGGATGCATGCCTTCTATGTTACCTCTCTCTGGGTGGCTTTCACTGCCTGCTCGCTAGTCCCAAGAGCAACAGCGCCTTCTATCCACAAGACTGCCTTCACTGAGGAACAGTCTATACTACAACCAGTCGGCTTATCGGCCTTTTCGCCAAGCTGGGCCGTTGCATACCGACACAAAAAAAAAAAAAAAAAAAAAAAAGCCAAATACAATGCACCGACGACCAAGGCAGTGACCGCACGAGCAACTAAGAACGGATGCTGTCATCTTTCCCTGAACAAAATGACATTGTCATTGAGCTCGCCCACAATATTCAGAGTGATTGAAGAAAATGAAGCACGTCGTTGGCGGGAGGGTGATGGTCATCGAACGAGTATCCGTGATCAGCGTTACAGCTCTACTAAATAGTTTCCGAGAGCTTTTTGTCACTTTCTTTTCCCATTTTTAAAACCTTAAAATGGTAATGTGTATTGCACATTCTTAATCGGGAATAATCGACCCCGACCACGCCTGCGGCCATTATAGCCGTTGGTTGGTGTTCTCGGTTACTATATCAAGCAGTGGGAAGACGCGCGCTTTCAAATTCCTTCAATTAACCCAGGCGATGGGGAAAATCGTGCGTCTAATTTTGAAAGAATGCTAAATTGTGCAAGACTATCGCCACCTAGCGGACGTGACGAGGCCATAGAGCTAGGAAACCGTGCCCTGAGGGTCCTTGAGGAGAGAATATGAATCGAGAATAAACGGATGCGTTCGTATAACTTACTGGGCGTCTTCGGTTTCCTGTTGAATGATGTATTATTCATTACATTACTATGCACAGGGTCCTTTTCAGTCCGAATTATCGATTATATTTTAGATGACCATTCTGCTTGAGAGGTTTATATCGGCTGCTGCTGCCCATGCCCTTCTTCCCTCCCGAATATCTGACTTTGCTCGTGGCCCGATTCTGTCCAAGATAGTACCTGAGTATGGTAGTTGCAAGGAATGCAATATAAACGAGATGTCCCTACTAAACTCGATAAATAATATAATGAAGGACATGCAAAAGCCATGCCATAATGCACATGTATTGTTGAAAACAGACAAATAAGAATCAAGGCCGCATTAGTTGATCATAAGCCTCTCCTTTCCTCTTCAAAAGACCCCTCTACTCAACTCGATAAATCGCATCCGCAACCCTAGCAACCTGCCACATCTCCTTAACATCATGAACCCGCACAATGTCTGCACCTCCCACAACACTCGCCGTCACAGTCGCCGCAGTGCCCCAGGTACGTTCACTAGCCTTCGTCACGCCCGTGATACTTCCCACGAACCGCTTCCGACTAGGTCCCATCAACCACGGGAGGTACTCCAGTCCCTCGACACCCGTGCGGAGCTGTTGTAGGTCCCTGAGGATAGTAAGATCCTCGGGTTGGTTCTTCGCGAAACCTAGTCCCGGGTCGAGGATGATACGCCAGCGACGGATACCCGCTTCTTCAGCTGCGGCAATGCGGTCGGTGAGTTCGGTTCCGACGTCTTCGATGACGCCGTTTGGGTAGTCGGCTAGTTTTGTCATGGTGTCTGGTGTTCCGCGCATGTGCATCAGGATGACTGATTTCCCTGTCCGGGCTATCGTGGGGAGCATTTCTGGGTCTAGGAGACCTGCCGAGACATCGTTGATTATGTCCGCTCCCGCTTTGCATGCTTCCTCTGCGACGCGCGCGCGGTAGGTGTCGATGCTGATGGCGATGTTGGTTGCTTCGGGGATGGAAGTGCGGATATGTTTGATAGCTGGGATCACGCGCCTGAGTTCCTCTTCTTCGCCGACGGGGACGGACCCCGGGCGTGTGCTTTCACCGCCGATGTCGATGATTGTTGCGCCGGAGGCGATGAATTGCTGGACTGTGGTAGTGAGGGCTGAGAAGTCTGTGGGGGAGTGGAGGCCGCCGTCGGAGAAGGAGTCTGGGGTTAGGTTTAGGATGGCCATGATGTGGGTTGGGCGAGTTGGTAGGGTGGAGTGGAAGGGTGGGAAGGTTGGGGAGATGGGAGTTGTTGTTATGGGGACTGGGGATGGGGGTGGGAGGGAGTTGAAGTGGGAGAGGTAGGTTGTGGTATGGCCGGGTGGTTTTTCATGGGGGATGAGTCTGGTTTTGTTAATGGGTTTCTTGTTTAATGCATATGCTCAGCACTTACTGGCAAAGAGGTCGGAGTACAAAGTCGCGTTCCAGCATCAGCATGTGCGGGACATTGAGTCGTTCATGAGAGAAGACCTGGTCGTCGTATAGGAGGATATCCAGGTCAATAGACCGCGGGCCCTTGTCAATCAACTTCTTTCGCCCTAGTTCAATCTCAATTGATTGGATGGCGTCTAGTAACTCGAGAGGTTCCATGGTCGTTTCCACCTAATTTTTGTTAGACAATCTTCCATATCCCTTGAATCGATTGGACAAACTCACCTCACAAACACCGTTCATGAACGGATCCTGGTTGAGAATGTACATGGGTGCCGTCTCGAAAAGCGAGCTTGTCCTCTTCACTTTAATATTCGCTCTGTCCATTTCAAGACATGCCTTCTCAATCATTTCCACGCGGTCACCCATATTGCTTCCCAGGGCAATGAACGCCCGGTGGGAACCCTTCTTGACGGGATCCATCCTAGAACTGGAAAATTTCCGTAAAGACAGATGATTCACCGGTCTCAAATTGGCATAACCCGAAAACACTGGCGATGATCGTGTATGCAGTGGAAACCCTATGCGAGAATTTTAGTTACGATTCCCCGCTCAAAAAAAAAAAAAAAAAGGGCCAATAAGACCCGGGCGAGACTTACTGGGACAGATGGAATGCGCTCTTCTATTAAGAGGTTAGACAGGAGGAATATTACAATTAAGCATTAATGCACATCAAAAGAAATATACCTTGCTGCTAGACTTGCATAGGATCTTTCATATGCGGTTATCGATTCGCCTGCAGACTGCGGCCGCTGATGCCATACAGAACCGCGACGATAGAGCAATGCAGCGCTGTTTCGCCAAGCTGGATATCTCATGCCTGCCAATGGCAGTCAACTTGACTGCGATTCGAGTGGGAATAATAAAGAAAACGAACTTCTAGAAAGATATACCAATACGTCATTGGCGGGCAGTCGAGGAGCTCGTGACGCTGACGTTTATGCCTTGTGTCCTGAGGTGTCAAATGGGTCATGTGATTAAATCAGGTACCGAAATTATGCCTGAATTGTGAGGCAGAACATATCACACTCAGGCCGACGAGCCTCGGTTCGTTGCGCCTCGGTTGCTTTTTGCCCCATCGTCTCCTCTTTGGCGCCGTTCTTTTTATTAGACAACCTCTCTCTCCTTGTTTTCATACCAATCTCTCACTCTTTCATTGTATCGCGTGCTCATTATATACTTATCTTTTGTTATCTGATCCTTATACCCAAGACACAATGGCTTCTCCTCGTGAGTTTCCGCTCCTTTCCCCAGCTTCCGGCGCATTTCCCCACACGTGGCCCTGAGAGAAGCTGGAACCTTCGGTACTGACTGCTATCTTGCAGAGAAAATCCGCACTACCATCACCGATCTGCTCAAGATCAACCACCCCGTCATGCTGGCAGGCATGAACGTGGCTGCTGGGCCCAAGCTGGCTGCAGCAGTCACTAACGCGGGTGGTCTTGGTGTCATCGGTGGTGTTGGTTACACCCCCGAGATGCTCCGCGAGCAGATTGACGAACTCAAGAGCTTCTTGCATGACAAGAACGCACCGTTTGGTGTTGATCTTCTGCTCCCCCAGGTTGGTGGCAGTGCTCGGAAGACAAAGTGAGTTACACCCCGTGTGTCTACTGTCAAGGTCCGATGCTAATGCGTTGCTCTTCTCTAGCTACGACTACACCAAGGGCAAGCTCAACGAACTCGTCGACATCATCATCGAGAGCGGCGCTAAGCTCTTCGTCTCCGCTGTCGGTATCCCCCCGAAGGCTGTCGTCGACAGACTCCACAGCCACGGAATTCTCTACATGAACATGATTGGCCACCCCAAGCACGTCCAGAAGTCGCTGGATGCTGGCGCAGATCTTATCTGTGCTCAAGGCGGTGAGGGTGGTGGACACACTGGTGATGTTCCCACTACTCTCCTTATCCCCACCGTTGCCAAACTGTGCCGGGGCAAGAAGAGCCCTATGACTGGTCAGCCCGTGCAGGTCGTTGCGGCTGGTGGTCTGTACAACGGCCAGACCGTTGCTGCTGCTCTGATGCTGGGTGCTTCCGCTGTCTGGATTGGTACCCGCTTCATTTTGGCTGATGAGGCTGGTGCTCCCGAGGCTCACCAGGAGGCTGTCCGCACTGCCAGCTTTGATGACACCGTTCGCACCATTATCTTCACTGTAAGTTTTTCCCCTTCTTCATTCGCGATCTGATACTAATCGGAATTAGGGTCGTCCCCTCCGTGTCCGCAAGAACGCCTACATCCAGAACTGGGAGGACAACCGCGCCCAGGAGATCAAGGAACTCACCACCAAGGGTGTCATCCCTGTCGAGCACGACTTCGAGAACCTGTCTGATGATGTTGACGACGACACTATTGACAACGCCCGTCCTTACCTGATGGGTAAGACTGCCGCTGTCGTTGACGACAAGAAGCCTGCCAAGGCCATCGTCGACGAGCTGGTTGACGACGCTGCTGTCCTCCTGGCTCAGGGCAACAAGATGCTTGCTAAGCTGTAAATGTTTGGATTTTGATTGATATGGATTGCTGGATATAATTCCCATCATGTTTTTTATGGATATCACTGCGTTTCGTTTTTGGTTATTTTTGGAGGGTTTCCTGATTGACAGGGTCATATTGTACATACAAGTCATTCCAGGCATGCAATTCGAGCCTTGCTTTTCTCGGATGTTATAACCCACACTAGGGTGGTCCCTATCCCTCTTGCCTCGGACCTTGTCGTCACTTAATATATCCAGGGCCAGACATGCCGTGTACTATAGATATGAACCATGGACACGCAACAATGATCCCAGCGGTCAGTTCTTCGGGGCACGGAGTATACTGAGCGGACTTCGAGACTCAGGGTTCCCTGGATCTAGAACCTCACGGCCTCTGGCCCATGGATCCACTAAGCTATGATTTTCTCCAGACTAACACCCCGTACTACAAGAATCCATGCTATGTACATGCATAGTGTACCCCGTAGATTATAGATTACCCAGATAGCCGGATACTGTATCCGCTGATGGACTCGGTCAGCTCCGCTTCGGAGGTGGCCAGCTAAATCAAAACGCTTATCAGATTGGGCTGATGGCAATAACCAGGTCTTATCTTCCAAGGCGAACTCCGGTGTTGAAAGACCATGATCCATCATTGATCCGGAGTAATGCACGGTCAATGCCTATGCTGTGGCGAGTACGCCCTCGTTGATTATTGTACTCCTGAATTTCAAGATAATTCGTGATGAACGAATCAAGATTCCAGCCTTCCCGGATTGGCTACTCACCCATGTCCCAGGTGCAATATCCAGACGTCAATTGGATACCGGATAACCCGATATCTTCGGAGTCGGCCTCGGAGAACAGTCCTTATCAGGATCTTATCTGTGGAACTTAGCGGGCCTCACAAACTCTGATCCAATCAGGGTATTCTCGAGAAAGCCATGTGGTCCAAGGCCGTCAAAAGGAATCCAATCCACCAATAGGAGCAGGTTCGTAGAGTCCGATTGCAAAGCCTGCAGACGACAGGTGGAGACCTCGGAGCACTAGGCCATATACAGGCGTGATTGGCTGAATAGATAAACTCTCGGGGATGGGTGGGGAGTGACCGTTCTGGAAGCAACACAAAAAAGGCTTGTCTCGCTTTTCCTCGAGTCCCGGTGCTGCATTTCGAGGACCGTTTGGGAAAGCCAAGAGATGGGAGCCAGTATGCAAAAGTCTATATTTAGATAGGTATCAGGTCTGTATCTGTATGGCATGAGAAGTGCATCCATCCCGGGGAGAAAAAGCCCTGATCACGCCCACCATCCTCGGGGAAATACGCACGCGACAGTTTCACTAACGTATCGTCGAGCCCCGGTGGTTACCGGCGCGTCCGTATCTTTTTCCCAATTTGACTCGCCGTTCCTGTTTAGAGCACGTTAAGTGGGCCTTGATAGTAGACGCGGGTTCACTGTACGTGAGGGAATTTGTTATCTCTGTGGGCGTAGGCGAACACATATTAAAATGCTATCCCCCGGTCTTGGTCTCAGGGAAAAAAAAAAAAAAAAAAAAGAAAGAAAGAAAGAAAGAAAAAAGATGTGTCCTTCGTCTCGGTTTCTTTTTCTTTGCCTTTTTCCTTCTTGATTTTGCTTAATCACTGAGCTTTCTTAGCTCCGATTAGCCCCTCCTATACATTCGCATCTGCCTTGTCAGATTGTTCAATATTTCCTGTGCTGGTGGAAGTCCGCACAAAAACCGGAAATCTTGACAAGACATAGTCCAGCCCTATTCACACATATTAGACATCATGTTCGGCGGTGCTGATCACGACCTCGAAAAGGCCCCTGAAGTGGGCAAAGTTCCCGTCGACGGGAACAGTGACGGAGCAGTGCCCGGAGAAAGCTTCGCATACGGAAATTCGTGGTATGCAAAGATACAGCGGTTGGCAGGGAAGCTCAACATTGAGCAGCGTGGTATTGAGCGAGTGCCGGAGAATGAGCAAACGGATACCTCGTACTTCAACATTAGCAGCATGGTGTGTTCCCAATGATTTCACGACGTGTCTCATCATGGCTGACCCGGCATAGTGGCTTGCGGCCAACATGGTGGTTAGTTCGTTCGCTATTGGTGTCCTCGGAAAGTCGCTATATGGACTTGGTTTCGTCGATGCCCTCCTTGTCGATCTTTTCTTCAATCTTCTGGGTATTATGACCGTTTGTTGGTTTTCGTGCTTTGGACCCCCCTTTGGCTTGCGGCAGATGGTGTTGTCGAGGTTCTGGTTTGGCTGGTATGGAACAAAATTCAGTGAGCACGCCCGCATACCGTCTTGTTGCGATCCGTCATAACTTATGATTTCTCGTCAGTCGCTATCCTCAACGTCCTCGCCTGCGTAGGCTGGTCTGCTGCCAACGCCATCGTTGGTGCTCAGTTCATTGTCGCAGTAAACTCCGACGTACCTGGTTTCGCCGGTATCCTCATCATCGCCATCTGCACCCTCTTCATCACATTCGCCGGATACAAGGTCGTCCACGCATACGAGTACTGGAGTTGGATCCCAACCTTTATTGTGTTTATGATCGTCTTTGGAATGTTTGCGCATTCGGGAGACTTCAAGAACCTCCCAATGGGAATTGGGAAATCGGAGCTGGGTAGTTGTCTCTCCTTCGGCTCGACAGTATATGGTTTCGCAACCGGTTGGACCAGTTACGCCGCCGATTACACAGTATACCAGCCCAAGACCCGCAGCCGTCGCAAGGTATTCTTCTCCGCTTGGCTGGGTCTCCTCCCTCCTCTCCTGTTCACCCAGATGCTGGCGATTGCGATCATGACGGCCACGGAGATCAGCGGCGGAGACAACAAGTACCAGCTGGGATATGCGGCATCAGGTAACGGAGGCTTGCTGGGCGCTGTACTCGCGCCGCTTGGCAGATTCGGTGACTTCTGTCTGATCATTCTCGCCCTCTCGATTATCGCCAACAACTGCCCGAACATTTATTCCGTCTCTTTGACCCTTCAGGTTCTGAGTCGCTTCACTCAACGCGTGCCTCGATTCATATGGGTATTCCTAGGCTCCTGCGCTTCCATCGCCATTGGTATCCCCGGATACTCGCATTTCGAAACTGTCCTGGAGAACTTCATGAACTTCATCGCGTACTGGCTCGCCATATACTCGGGTATCGCTGTCAGTGATCACTTCGTTTTCAAGCGTGGGTTTGGTGGGTATCGTCCGGAGATTTATGATGATCGCCACAAGTTGCCCGTTGGTATTGCTGCTGCTCTCGCTTTCGGGTTTGGAATCGCTGGTATGATCACTGGTATGAGTCAATCGTGGTACACTGGACCTATTGCCATTCACGCAGGAGTTGCACCAAGTGGTGGTGATATCGGCTTCGAGTTGGCGTTTGCCTTTGCGGCAGTCAGTTATTGTTTGTTGAGGCCTATCGAATTGAAGGTATTCGGCAGGTAGAATTGGGGAAGGCACCTATAAAGATAAACCAGCTTAATGGAATGAAGTCTTAATACTGAAAGTTATCGTGAGTGAGCAAATTCTGAGCTATTTTCTCCCGTTGCTGTTGTGCTACCCTCTACTCCGGAAAACCCTCGTACTTCCTCTTGTCCCATATCAACCCCTCGTCTAGATCCTCCGTCTTGAGTTCACCAAAGAGGAGCCCCTTGAACCCTAAAGAACCACCGAACAGAGGGCTCTTGTTCTTAGTAGTGCCTGAATCAAAATTTACACGGATCAGAATGACAGCCTTCTCAATCTGGATGTCCTTTTTCCCTTCCTTTCCACATCGGAAAAGAGCTGGGTACATCACCAAAAGGAGGTCACCTATCTTTGCATGATCTGGCATGTCTTTGAATTTTGTAGGTCGAACCTTTTGGTGCGTCAAGGCATCTACTATGGTGAAATTGCCCATGTCACGCTTTCTGACAACACCTTTGATGTACAACTCGCTGTTAAAGTACTAGTTCCAGTGGTATCTGTCAGGGGTGCAACTCATCTTAACCGCAAGTTCTGCAGCTGGCTTTGCTATCTCCACCATGAATCTTTCGGCTTTACGCGTCCAATCAATCGGTCCCACAAAGCTGAACTCTTTATCCAAATGTTCACAGATATACTCTGTAAGTTGAGTACGGCTCGTGCAGAGTTGGTCCTCATAGCCCTGACGAGAAGTGTAAGTTCGTAGAGTGTCTGACTTCCATGAGTTTATTACGTTGATATCTGAAAGTATATTAGTACAATGTTCAAATTGTTCTTTCATCCAAATGGTACAGCCTCACTTTTTTCTGGCTTCAGGAAAGACATTCCATGATGGAGACTTTCTAGGAGTTGGAGGTCTGCCGGTGGTGCGCCGAAAACCAGCACTTGGAGGACCTGATTGTAAAGGTACTTGGATATGATGTGCGTCAAAACCTCTGATTGTGCAGCGGCGAACCCTTCCGGAAACAACGCTGGCGATCCCCTGATTGCTATGTCGTCTCTCTTCATCTTTATCTCAAACAGGAAATTGTCGATTTCAGGGAGCCCCTCGAGCCAGTTGGAAATATTCTCTCGAAGAAGGGAATACTCGCCCATAATCCACGGATCACTGACTCCATCGATCGGAAGAGACTTGAATATCTGGGCATGGTATTCTTCAAGCTCCGCCTCCAAGTAATTGATGCGTTGCGTGAGGCTTTGCCATTCTTGTTCTATGTCATTGAGAACTTGAGGGATAATATGCAGTATATGTCGATTGCTTTTCTGGAAATAATATACTGTCCTCTTCATGCTATCAGTAAGCCGTGCAGAGGAGCGAGGAATGAATCCAGTCTCACTGGGCGTGTTGCTGGCTTGCTCATCATGAGATGGTCTTGGTGTTCGGACCTACACAGGCTTGTTAGCTAGTGACTGAAGCTGTGATGTCTTTTACCACTGTGACAGACCTTGCTGTTTCGATTCTCAAATTTCAAACGCATCTTGTCTAGCTTTCCAGGATGGATGAAGGATGTCAGATCAAGGACAAGAAAACGAAACTGATAACTGCTAAATGACTCCTAGACTCGAAAGTTTCTTCTATCGGAGTGCTATTATGATGCCGACACTGGAAGTTGCCTGACAGGTACCTGTCACCTATTTTTCTCGCCTACATAATTCATCTCCCTCTTTTTTTCTCTCGCTGTATCTTACAAAACTCAAGAATAAGACAAAACTCACCGCGCTATAATCTGGTAAGTTTATCATGCAAATCACAGCTAACTTCCTATGCTAAAGTACTACTGTATAGCAATAGAGATCTCTAGAAATGAGCATCGTCGTCGCTGTCGATTTCGGCACCACGTACTCTGGTGGTGTTGCGTGGGCTCAAACGAAACGTGTAAATTCTTCCTCCAACTCATGTTTCTCTGCAACTACTAGTATTCTATACAGCCGGAGGTCCACTATGTGATCAATCAATGGCCGCAGGACTTCTCTGGTTCCTTTGGGGGAATGACGACTGACAAAGTACCAAGCAAGATTGCGTACGAAGATAGCAAGCCCAATCCGTCATGCCTGTGGGGTTTTCAAATCCCCGACAGCATGCCACGAATGCAGTGGATAAAGCTCGGGCTTGCCCCTACCACGAACGTGGGATAACTTCTCGCTTGTCTTCGACTTACAAAGACCCCCGTCGTGTTCCGCCACCCTATCATGCTACTGAGGAGGATGTAGTTACCGATTATCTTCGGTCTTTACGCGAGCATACGGTCAGCATCTTGGAATCGAAAATCGGACGAGCTTTCAAGGGGATGACCTTGGACCTTGTCATGACCGTTTCAGCAATGTGGCCAGAGAAGGCCAAAGCTGCAACATTTGCCTGTGCAGAAAGGGCAGGCTTTGGCAGGGCTTCTAAGTTACGAATTGTAGCAGAGCCAGAGGCTGCTGCGATGCACGCTCTACACGCATCGAGTCCCCATGGACTGAAGGTTGGCGATACGATTGTTCTCTGCGGTGTTGGAGGTGGGACAGTCGATCTCATTACCTTCTCGATTCGACAGCTGAAGCCAAACCTGCGCCTGAAAGAAGAAGCCCCCGGGAAAGGCGCGCTCTGTGGAAGCACATTTTTGAACAGGCAATTTGAGGAGTTCCTAGAGAATCGGTTGTCTGCTTTGCCCAGCTGGGGCCACGATACGATGGAAGAAGCACTCCACCGCTTTGAAACTGTTACAAAGAGAACATTCAGTAGAAGGGTTGACGACAAATTCCACTTTCCTGTCCCAGGATTAGCAGACAGTGAGAAAGCTGGTGTTCGCCGCGGTCGACTTCGGGTGACAGGGGAGGAAATGAAAGATATCTTCTACCCAGTTATTCAGGCGGTGCATGAACTAGTCGAGGATCTGGTCGAAACATGCTCGAAGAACATCAAAGCAATCTTCCTAGTCGGTGGCTTTGGTCAAAGCCCCTATCTTCGCAGATATCTGCATAATTATTACACTCCCGACATAGAAGTACTAGCACCAGTCGACGGTTGGACCGCTGTCGTGAGGGGTGTTTTGATGAAGACTGTCGGAGAGATCAGTTCTTCTGCTACCAAAGCTTCATTTGAGTCTCTAGCTGCTAGAAAGCACTATGGGCTCGCGGTTTATACAAATTATATTTAAGGAGTGCATGAGAAGGGGAGAAGGTAAGTGCTACGCTAACATTCAAGTGATCATTCAATCTAACCATAGCAGATTGTGGGACCACTTTCACGGAAGATGGCGAATTGCGACTATAAACTGGCTTGTTCAAAAGGTAAGAAACTGCGCATTCTAGGCCTGTTGATATTCGCCATGTCATGCTAACGAGGCCAGGGCGATGTTCTTAAATAGGGACAACCCATAGGGTCTCCATTAATACAAGCACGTGACCAAGGGCACATACACGAGCATAGCGACGACAATCTATGAGTTGGATACCCCGATAGGAGAAAAGCCGCCTATGTACCAAGACCAGAGTAAGCCAAAAATGGATCTGAACGGGAAGAATGCACTTGTTAATGAGTTTCCAGATCCAAATATAAGAGAGCTCGCACTTCTAGAGACGCCCTTGGACAACATTGAGAAGGCTACCGTCCCAATTGTCCGTGGTGCGGATAACGACCGTTACTTCAGAATTGACTATGACATTCATGAAAAGTACTTCTCTGCTCATAGTGAGTACAGTCTTTGGTATAACGGCAAAGACCATGGTAGTGTGAAGGTCAACTATGCTTGAACTTCACTAAACCTGTTGGATTTATGAGAAGTGGTAATTGCTTGATTTGCTTTTCTTGGTTATTTTCGATGAGATTAAAAGTTTTACTATATAGCAGGGTTGGAGGAGTTTGTTTGAGATACTCGTGACGGACTGTTCCCCCATGGTGTCCAGCGTCGTGCTATATACTATGACTATATATCCTATATACTTTCTTGAATGAACTTTTTTAAAGAATAAAAATAATAAGAGTAAAAATCTCACGTCAAGAGGAAATCTGTTCGAAGATACAGTTCGGGCACGGCGATTCACGTGACTCACTAGCCACAGCGCCGCCACAGTTCGCGGCGGGCGAAATCCACAACGGGATTTGCCTTTCGAAAGAAATTCAAGCAACAAACAGGCACAGAACAACAACGACAACACAATGTCTCGACCTGCAAAGTGAGCATATTCTTGCGAAAACTATTAATATATCCCGGGTTTTATTCTGACTGAAAATTTAGCCGTGCTGACTGGGCTGACGACGAGGAGTTCGACGACCCCTCGGCGCTCCCACCGCAGCAAGTGACAACGAACAAAGACGGCACAAAGACGGTGGTGTCGTACCGGTTCAACGATGACAACAAGAAAGTGAAAGTGACGCGACGCATCAAAACGACCGTTGTCCGCGAGCAAGTCAACCCTCAAGTCGCAGAGCGCCGATCGTGGTCCAAGTTCGGTCTGGAAAAGGGCCACGCGACGGGACCCTCGTTTGAAACAACCTCCGTGGGCGAGAACATTGTTTTCCGGCCGAGCGTGAACTGGAAGGTGCAGGCCGCGGAGGAGGAGAAGACCGGTGGCGAGAAGGGCAGCATGAAGGACCAGCTCAAGGACAAGAAGGTCAAGTGTCGGATTTGCAGCGGCGAGCATTTTACGGCAAGATGTCCGTTCAAGGATACCATGGCGCCTATCGAAGAGCCCGGTGCTGGTGGAGAGGGCGGGGCCGAGGAGCCTGCGGCGGGTGGACTTGGTGCTACTGGGGGCAGCTATGTGCCTCCTCATCTGCGGAAGGGGGCTGCTGCTGGCGGCGAGAAGATGGCTGGCAAGTACGAGAAGGACGATTTGGCCACGCTGCGGGTTACAAACGTATGTGTCTTCCCTTCTTTACTACGACGGATGATATTGACTGTGTACAGGTCAGCGAGTTGGCCGAAGAGCAGGAATTGCGGGATCTGTTCGAGCGTTTCGGTCGCGTGACGAGAGTATTCCTGGCGCGGGACCGCGAGACACAGCGGGCCAAGGGCTTTGCTTTCATCAGTTTCGCAGACCGGGACGATGCGGCGCGTGCGTGCGAGAAGATGGATGGCTGTAGGTTTTCCCATGTTACTGTGAATACTATGGCAGGAGCTAACTGGAACAGTCGGTTATCGCCACTTGATTCTCCGCGTGGAATTCGCCAAGCGTACTTAGAGTCTTTTTTGTTTGGGTTGACGACGATCGGGAGGAAAAATGGACAGGGTGAAACGGTTTCTCTTCGTGTGTATGCATTGTTGATAATGATTGATCCCGTGTCAATGTTACCGGTTCGAATGATAAAAGCATTGTTTTGCTACAATGAATATTCTCTTTCAAACTGCCCCAGGTCATCGGGCCACTCTTTGTTGGCAGAGTCAGACATTCCGGGGATTTCTCGTGAGCTGACGGTAACGCATGGAAACGGTCCGGTACAATGTACGAGGCGCCGGAAAGCTTCTTGGGCGGCGATTGCAACCTATTCTCGTTTCAGCTGATTCCACACGCCCTCTCATAGCTGGTCAACTCGCGACGGTATCCAACGGTCCATCGGCAATGCACAACCGACGGGGATAGGGGACGCATGGCCAAGGTTACATTGCCGCTTTGCTGTAAGTACTGTATTGTATGGAATCAAATCACAAAGTACGAACAGTAAGGACTGTATACGAGACTAAACCCAAAGAAGCATCTTTAGGTTCTGAGACAGTAAGTCCCGATTCCAAAGGATGGTCACACCCGGACAGCCAGCCAGTCATATTATGCAAATTCACATGGGACAAGTAATAAATTATGTATGACAAAGATCAAAATGAGTCTGCCTGCGCGCGCGCGCCGGTGCGGATCATTTTGTTCCTAGATTTCGGGCAGGAGCTTTCCCACTGGTCAGGATTGGAATCCTATTTATTCATTGCAAAATGCATTTTGCATTTTGCATGGCTGGTGAGGCCGACGGCCGAATGCAGATTTTTATGAGGGACAGGGAGTAGACACGTGAATCATGAGGACACTACTCTACAGACACTACTCTACTCTGTAGAGTAGTGTCTGAGAATGAGTAGAGAATAATCCTGAAAAGGCAATCGCAGAGTGGAGCTTCTTTATTCTGCAAAGTTTATTGTATAAAGACTGTTCCGGACTATTAACACTCTGGGGCATACTAGTATAGCATTAGAGCAGAATGCAGATTCTAATCTAAGGTGCATACACACCACCACTGCAACCACTATTCCGTACACATACACATACACATACACACTACACTAATAGTAACTGAGGCTGCTGCGATGCACGTGCCCTGTATCCACCCGAATTAACTTCTTCGATCCCTGTTCGGCCGATCCGCAACTGACAACAACGTCTCCCTACTACTGTCTGGCCCAAGGTTACTTCTTTCGCTGACAGGATTTGCAATGCACGACATCTAATCCCGGGCACCCAGAAGGAGGGGGAGGGAGGGGGAGTGGAGGGATCACCAATCAGCAGAGTCAGACCGAGCATTGAATCTGCATCTGGCCCAACTAGTACGCAGTCATGTCTGTACGGACAATCTGGCTGCGCTCGGCCGATCCCTTTTGCTTGTTTTTTTTTTTTTTTTCTCTCTTCCATTCACCTATTCTTTTCTGGAAGCTGTAAGATACTGTGTAGAAAAGGCTGCGGTGAGTATATCCAGCCATGTACGTATTGTATTAAATACAGCAGAATGAACCGGATCGCCTGCCTTAGCGCCCTCGTGTCCTGCACTCGCCCGTCGAGTTTCCAGAGCTGATCTTGCCGAAGGGGTAAATTGACAGGACTTGGACTGTTTAAGGAGGAGTACCGAGCAAGAAAGAGACCAGACAAAGAGACAATACGAGGGGGGTGGATGTCATGATTGGCGCAAGCTACTACTGCTACCACCCTTTCCAACTGGTCATCTTTGGTTGGCTTTGGAATCATACCAGCAGAGACAGAGAGGGAGAGAGACAGAGGCAGAGAGAAGGAGGGAAGAGTCATGATAGAACTCCGGTCCCGATGCGGCAACTGGAGATGATGATGAGCCATAGAGATCGGCTGCAGAAAAGAGCATGGATTTGTTGCTGGGATTCTTTTTTTTATTGTATCCTATTTTATTTTTATTTTTGTTTCCGAATTTCCATTTTCCATGGGATGAATTTTTTTTTTTTTTTATGTTTTTTTTATTTTTGTTTTTTGTTTTTTGCATTAAGGGATTTCCTTCTATTTTATAAGGATGAAGATAACTATCACTCGTGTCTTCGTCTTCTTCTTCTCCATCATTGACTGGTGTCTTATAAAAGGGTTCGAAAGGCCATTGAGAAAGACACCGATTCCCCAGTCCAGCTTGCAGGAAAGCATCTCCCCCACTGCTGCACTGCAAGATCCGCTGTCCATTCCAGCAACAAGCGCTGGGTCTGAGTGTAAGTGATGCTGTCCTTTCTCTCGTCTTCCATCCCCTTTTTTCTTGTTTCCTTTGTCCCAGGTGGACAATTCGTGCATGTTTCGAAGATTCCGACGCATGACAACTCGCTCCGGCGTGATATCAGACCTCGCGCACTCTCTGGCCATACTTAACCCTTAGACCGTCACTTGCTCGTTTTCTGGAATACTGTCATGTCCTTTATCTTCTTCTCTTTTCACTTCTCTTGTCAGGCCTTGGTCTTTATTCCATATTTGGCTCCTCTCTTGCTCTGACCCTAACTGACCCTTCCCTCAGTCAATCCAGTATTCGTGCTTGCTTCCACCTATCGTCGCTCGAGCCGTTGAATCCATCGATTATTCAAGCCAATAATCTCGAATAACCAATATATCGGTTGAACAAAGAATTGTCGTGGTGTCTCCGGCCTGTCGCGAAAGTACCTGCCCGGAGTGTATCAGAGTCAGCACCCCATCCGAACCCTTTCCCGATAAGAAAAAGAAAAGAAGTCAATACCTGCAATGAATCATTGTAAGTTGACCGTTATTCTGTCGCTCCTTGCATTTCTGCCTTGTTGTGTGTTGTCATTGAACACCGACAACTGATCTCGGATTCTGAATCTGACGTCGGCCCTTCATTTCTTTTTCTTTTCTTCTTTTTTCTCTTTTTCTTTTTCTTTTTTTTTTTTTCTTTTTTCTCAATGTTTGCCTTACCTTTCGGCGTTCCGGTCATTCCACTATGCAGCGTTGATTGGATTCGGACAGGGATGTTGGCCTGGAGAGAGTCCTTTTGTTTGTTTGCTCTTTCAAGCCTCGTCCCCATGTCCTTGTTTTCATTCGCACCGCTTCAAAGAAAAATAACGTCAAATGCTAACCAATCTCTTGCTGATTCTAGCAACTCTCTTACAGCCGAATCCCTTCTCGTTGGACTACCCCGTCACCACCGATAGTGACTATTCGTCCCACCGGTCCTTCGCCGGCTCGTCCGGGTTTTCTATGGAGGAGGACGACCATAATCGCAGGGTCAACACGTTGGGTCATCCCCTGGCTCAGCCCGTCTCCATCCCGGTCTCTAATGGCTTGCGATACAGCGCACAAGCTACTGCTTCCATGCAAGATGTCTCGTAAGTCTCTCCCCTTTTGATTTAGGCTGCCCTAGTGTCTTTGTTCCCATGCGATCCGACGGCGCTGGTGTCAGATCTCGAAATCACTAGTGCATGTGTTGTTGTTTACATGAAGCTACAACTCTGAAAAGAAAAAAAGAAAAAAGAAAAAGAAGCTGGACCGCCCATACCGCGTTTAGTTGCCTTTCAGCTGTGAGTCGCTGACAAGATGGGACAGGTTTGCAAACTCTCCTTCCATGCTGATGAGCCCTGGCGATACCTGCTCAGGTATGTGGTCTCGTTTTTGCTTTGATCGCCGCTTATGCTAACGGTTTGCAGAAACTTTCTCTTCAACATCCTACTCCCCAACTCCCAACTCCATCTACTCCCCGTCTCCAGCTTTATCATACGATAGAATGTCAAATTTTGGTGCCCACCGGATGCCTTCTCTGTAAGACTCTTGATTCTGGCTTTGGATAACTTACCACTGACCATTGAAATTAAATCTTAGTCAACCTCCAGCCGCTCAGCACGTCCCCGGGAATTGGAGAACGGATAACTTCCCCGGGCCCTACCTCCAGCGCGGCCAACTCCCTTCACTACCAGGGTTTACCAGCTCTCCGCGAGGCTACGAGAATGTGATCATGGGCCAGTCAAACCTATACTTAGACTCAATGCACCGATACAGAGACACCGAATCGCCTCCGTGGATCAACGAAACCAACGTTCTCCATCATGTATGGGTCGGTAACATGAAGAGTGGGCAGCCGATCAAGCCGGAAATCAGGGCGAACATCCCCAGCAAAAAGTTTTTCCTTGACGGGGAGAAATGGACATGCTATCGCCGCAACTATCTGGCCGTTACGTGCTCGTTTTCGTTACACCCGTGCAACTCGGGTCCCTTCTGGGTGAAAACCGGGAATCATGGCGTCCAACAGATCCGCAGCTTTGCCATGTCGCTCTCGGCCACCGTTGACTCGAAACCCGACGAGCCTCGCGAGCTAGTGCAGCACAGTCCGAAACGAGACAAGCAGTCGGAGCGACCCCCTGGAATACTACCAGTCCAGCCTTGCCCCCCGCCGTTGACTTACGGTCATAGTCCTGCTGGTGCGAATGGCAGTCAACATGGCTACGGGATGGCATCGCAATCAACAGGGCTGTATGACTATGGTTCGTCGTCCTACGTCAGTGGTTCACACTCAGGAAATCCCCCGACGCAGTGCACGTTTGAACGGATCCAGTTCGCAAAAGCCACGGCCAATAACGGCAAACGCCGGGCAACCCAGCAGTTCTACAACTTGGCCGTGGACCTCTATGCCGAAATCGACCGCCCAATTGGTGGCAAGCCCGGCGACGAGTTGATCAAAATCGCCCGGCGGCTGTCCCACCCGATGGTGGTCCGCGGCCGGTCCCCTGGCCACTATAGGGAACACCGGAGGGATAGCCAGAGCAGCATGGATCCGGACGGGAGTGTTGGGGGCTCGGGCGAGAATGGCGGCATGCTGCCTCCTGGCTTCCCGGGCCGTTTCCAAATGATGGGGTACGAACCTGCCTCATCAGGACGTTATGGTCGGACCGATTACCATCAGCATATCAAACCTGAGCAGTCCCCTCTAAGTGACCATAGCCCACACGCCTCATCGTCCTCATCGACATGCACCCTCGATGTGGGAATCCTCAACGACACCTTGGACCCCATGGACATTAAAGCCACCTCGAGCATGGACTCCTACGACAACTCCTTTGTCATGGTTGACTTGCCGCAGGAGCGAAAATCTACCATGGGCATCCACGGCACCGAGGGAGGAGACAATGAAACAACGCTCGCCTTCCGCAACCAACTACCATCCTTCGAATACGACACGCTCACTAAGGACGACGTCGGCGTAACAAGTCCCGGCAGCTTCCCGGATAACGTTGCGTCGATGGTCGCGATGATGCCGAATGAGACGGCCGAGGGTTCGTTTATTCGCAATCCACCACGGGTTCCCTCGCAGCCGGCTAGTAATGGTGGTGGGTTCAATGCGTTTGCTGATAATTCGTTTGGACGGTTTGATTCGGTGCAGGGGTCGCAAGAGCTGTGCACTTAGCGTAGCGTTTCTTGCACTTTAATGTCTATCTTTCTTTTTTCCTCATTTCGTTCGGCGGCATCTTGTCTTTTCGTTTATTTTTTATTTTTTATTTTTTTTATTCCCCCCATATGTCATGAAAATTCCCCTGGGTTATGTTTTTTAGTGATTGTATAGTATTATTTTTATTTGCATTGAGTCCAGAATGGATATGATTGTTTAATGTTTACAATTCTCTCTACCTCGTAGTATAACTGGATCGATAGCTTTCTATACTATTCTCTGCCCCCCCATCCTCCACCTCACTTCCATCCTACCTTCCATCCCATCTCATCCAGATGGTATTCCTTTCAATTACCATGTCCACTCCGAAATGAACTGTTTGATATCATACGATGATTTCATTATAATTTCTCTCCTATCCGTCAGAATCAATTCATATCAGCAACCTCTCTAAAATATGAAACAATTCGACAGACGAATATCCTAGACCAAACAAGATAATGTGATTTTGACAGACACACTTTCCTTTCTAAATCATCCCAGATGGCAGAGAAATTGAAAACGAAGAAAGCCAAACGGTCGACCTTCGGAACGATTAATGGGTTTATTTATAATTTTGAATTGAATGCAAGATACGGGAGTTCACACAAACGGCCAAAAAAACTTAACTTTACGCAATAACAGGAGACACGCCTTGTCCCGCTTAAATCGGCACAGACGCAGGCCAGCCGTCTGCTACTCTTGCTTAAACTAGCCCGGTCGTTGCCAGGCCGGAAATGACTTGGCATACGGAGGGCAGTTCTTTACCGATACGGTACTGGTTGAACGCCAGAATCTATAACCACATGGGATAGAGACTGGATTTGAGAATCTGTACGGAGTTAGCTTCGAGCTGCAGTCATTTCGTGTACATGGCTGTTAGCGTAACATGAATATTCAGGGCAAGATTAATTCCGCAACTGGACCCGTCTCGTCATAACCACCGAAGTCATCAATGGCTTAAAACTACTGGATAAAGTCCATAAGCAGGTCGTGCGAATAAAGCACTGTCCGCTTACTTGCAAATCATTACGATCAGCATAAGGAGAGAATCACAGGAATACCGGACCCGTCAAGAGATCTCCAACAGTTTTTCGAGGAATGTGTGCGCAAATGGGCTCAACGCAACCAGGGAGTCGAGTACCTTCACTGCCGTTCTGGAAACAAGGTGCTTGTTTAGCCACAAGCTACCGAACCAGACAATCGGTGGAATACACCAACTTAGGGGTGTTTCTTGCAATGTACTTTAGGTCATCCAACAGGTATGTTGGTAATAATTAAGAGGTACTCGGAGGGTCTAGGTTGTGTATGGGGCCTTTGCTACAGTTATAGGACTGACTACGAATTGTTTAAGGCAATGTGAGTATGACTTGGAGAATCCGCAGTTTCTCCAGATTTTCGAGGAGCATACTACTATTAAATACCCAAGCACAAATGCTAATACGTAATGTCTAGACTGACCAATTACTCATGAGAACTTGGCTGTGAAATTGCCGCATCCTCCCCACATGGGCTTTATCCGAGTTAATCGATATGGCACAACCGATGTGCATTACTCAAGTCATCATCCCAACATGAATAAACATCAGTGAGCTCTCAGGAACTACCTGTGCTCAGGGCACTGACCTTCCCTTTACAACATATACTGATTCATTCCCCAAATATATCCCTACTCCAGCGCGCCCGCACTCCCGCACCCATCAGAGGGTCTTTGAGACACAGAGCCAGCCGTTTCCTCAACCGGTTTGAGGGGTGTGAGCAGGAGAACGGCCGGCCTGTCAGTAAAGTATCAGTTGTTGAGGATATGCGAGATCCGGTGAAACAAGCTGCTTTATTTACAGACTGGTTGGTAAGCCTCTACAGTGTCGAACTTTGCATCGACGCAGTCAGATGCCAGTTAGTACGACATTTCTGTCGCTCGACCACCCCAGTCACCCCGTACTGTACGTCCCTACAGTCATGAAGAAAACGCTATCTGGAAAGCCCATCGTTTACGTCGATAGTATCGAGGACGCTTTCCCTTTCTCCATTCTCGAAGCAATCGAATAATCAGCAGAACTCCGAGTTAGTAAAAAACGAGTGGCTCAAATGGATACAAGGGGAGATAATCGTCCACAGTACTCATTTTCTAGAAATTTGCTCATGGCTACATGCCACAGGCTAACGTTCCATCCTCTTGGTTGAGGGACATTTGCCGGTTCCAAATCGCAATCGCATCGACCGCAATATGATTGCCCATGACGTCTTATTAGTTATCAGGTCACGACACCGCAAAGCATGGTACAAGAGGGATGCTCAGGGTTTTGAAATATAGGGACTAAACATCATGGCTTCATTACGAACTACCACGTAATACGCCCGCAAGCAAAGCTGATGAGTCTGTTATAAGATTGACTGGTCTCCTCGCAGTCTATTTAGAATCGACTGCGAGATTATACACTTCGCACCAAGGGCCTGACAAGCAACCGCAAATAATGAAGATGTCCTACAAGATTTGAAGTCATTGGCGGAGGCGCCCCCACGCCTGCTTGCGAGCTGAAAACATTGTGTAATGCGATATCACAGTTCTTTGTCCTGGCAATCAATTAAAAGCCAAAAGTTGCGTCCGATCTGAGATGGCCATCAGGTCTCTCGATGCCATACTTCGAATTGAACCAGATCTTCGACAAAGGGAAGGAATATCGACGTAAAATGATATGCTCGTTGCTTATATGTTGACAGGTTTCTTGATACTAGCTCATACGAAGAATGGATAACTGAAATCCTCAGATCAGAATATCATGCAAAGCGTGCATGACAAATACGACCCTCAATCGCGATCAACAGAGCCGTCAAGCGTGTCTTTCTACAGAAGACCAGAGAAGGTCAAGTCCCAGAGGCGAGTCATTCATTCCAAGAAACAGATTTTACGTAGGTCAGACTATGCAATTAATTGATCTACATGGAGCACACTCGGCTATACAGTCTAGGTCGAAGCTGCTTGCTTCTTTCGCTATGTCGAGCAATAGCTGGAAAGTGAGAAGCCGCTATTCAACGGCAGCTCGCTAAGAATAGAGAACGGTTAGATGCTCACACACGCTCAGTCTATCTTTTGATAGTACGTATTCGGAGACGAAGTTCGCATGTATAGACACATTCCGTCAATCGAAGATGATTGGTCTTGATCCGACTATCATTAGAAGCAACAAACGGAGAGAAGCTTGCTTTTTTAACCCGTCCTGAAATAACACTTGTTTCCATTCATACCCTGCACTATGTAGATTGCAACATGCCCATTAGGATCGATACCAAAATACTTAATCTTATCCTACCCGATCCCTGCCCCTGCCCCTGTCCCTGTCCCTGTCCCTGTCCCTGTCCCTGTCCAAATCCCAGCCACGCAGCCGGTACGGTACAGTCACACATGACCTAACTAAATCCAGAATCGAAGTCGGAATCTAGATCTGGAACCCGGGATCTGGATATGACGATGCCAACGTTGCACAGCAGAAAAACAGGCCACTCGTATTATGTGCATATGTAGCTGGTAACTGCATGATGTATTATGTGTTATGTATTGTACATCATAGCATTTTTGGGCCATTCAGTCACAGCCCAGACCTCGGCCTCGGGTTTAGGATAGGTTGAGGGTGCGTCGGGGTTTGTTATGGTCCATTTTGAATGTTTTTATCTATACTACTATTAGCGATAGTTCAGACTTTATCAGATAGTGTGCTTATATTGCTTGATCTTTGATATAATTATTTGTTAGATCCGTACTCTGCACGGACTGTGTATCTACCAAATCAACAATCAGCACCATAAAAAGAAAATATCAATCCAATTAGCCCCCCAATCCTCTCCACCATCTATAGTCACGAACACAATAACTTGCTGTTCAACAGCTACAGACATTGCAAGCGCAAGTGCATTCTCGGATGATAGTTACCAACCGCATTGATCTTCCAAGACCCTCAGAGTTCTGTTCCTATCTCTATTGCCTCGTCACGTCTGCTTGGTGGTAAACGTCTCGCGCAGTTTATCATCTCTTCATAATTTCGCGCACGTTCTAAACCATCGCCTGGGTCAATGGTAGCGACATGGTAAAGGCCGGCCGGAGAGAATAGACACCACGATGATTGACATCTAAGCATCGCTTGTCCAAATTGGCATTCTGTGGTCATCTATCAGCCACAGCCAGATCAAGGTAACACGTACCAAATCATCTTCCAGGAATTTTGTGTTCGTATCATTCATCTAGGCATTGTGATGATCTCAATTTGATATGCCTTGTAGAATTGCCTGAGCGATCTCATTGAAGAACGCATATCAAAAAAAAAAAAAAAAAAAAAAAGCGACCATTTGGATTCCAGTAGCACGCCCGGGAATCCAGCTTTATGTTATCGATATACTGGATCGGATTCCTGAGAATCGGTTCTCTTCAGTAGCTGAATGGTGATTCTAGCGTTGCATATCCCACGTTCACAACCCTGTTTCATACGTCGTATAGTTTCTAAAAGCCGTTATCTATGTTAATCATATAGTCTGTGGTAGCGGTACTTCAAATAGGGAATCAGGGACGAATTATTCCGTTTGATCAAAGTGGCCTCTAATGGGCATGCCGACAACTTGAAAAATCGACTTGGTATATCATCGAGGAACGGCGGGAGCAACACCACCACCACCACCGCCGCCGCCGCCGCCGACCCCACAACGATCTTCTGCATCTCCTCTTTCAGGTTGTCGCCGAGCAGAACGACAATCATATCTCTAAGCTTGTCATTGCGCAGCACCTTGTCAATCCTCCTTCTCTCGTCATCAAGCCCAGCAGAAAATGGCATTCTGGTGCAATTGATCTTGAACAACTTTCTCTCATATTGTTCGACGTTTGCGGTGAAAATCTTTGAGCCGCCATCTATGCAGATGGGATGAAAAATGAAACAGGAGAAGAGGCCCAGGAATGATGAGGAGCATTGAGGGATCCTTTTGCAGGAAGGTGCCGACCTAATGGTTGCTTTCCAAGAAAGACCGACTGCGCTTGATAGAAGCACCGACACACTGACGGAGTCAGTGTCTGTAAGCTCCTCCTGCTAAAGTATATGGTAGGCTGGGGCATTTTAGTTTGTTTCGGGACCGGTATTTGATCCATTATTGTTGTTGCTCGCGAGGGCCAGGATATCAATGTGCGTGCTCGCCATATGTGCGCGGGAGGACGTAGCCGTCGAATTTGGGGAGAGAGAAAGAGAAAGGAGGAGAAAACTTGGAATATGAGAACTACTAGTAGAAGTAAAAGCTCAGTGAAAGGAAAATAACCTAGCAGTAGAGAAAAGGTATCCAGGAGAAGAGTGAATGATGCTAGGGCTGGGCGATGCAAGCTACATGATACACTTGGAGCCACTTCGGCATGGTGAGCCTGCTTGCAAAGTCCATAAGCAACTCACCTCCACAATGGCATTAAAACCATCTACGAAACTAAGGATGGCGAATATTCTTATCCTCGAGAATGATGGACGATTCCACGAAAAAAAAAAAAAAAAAAACCCCTATCTCACATGTGTAGCCCGAAACATCGCTTGCTTCCTGGATAAAGGTGTGATATCAGACCAAAGACGAGGTTTATTTTGTAGACCTTGGATCTATGCTACCGTTAGCAACAGTCGACTCGTTATTAGGTGGAGTTTAAAGTGCTTGATCTTACTTCGTTATCATTATTTATCTGATCCAAATAGAGTAGAGTACATACTCTGCACGGACTGTGTATCTACAACCCAGTCCAATACAATCAGCACCATAAAAAGAAAAAATTAATCAATCCAATTAACCACTTACAATACCCCTCCATCCTGCTTATCCCATCAGTATATCCCTCTGTGCCTGGGTATCACATATCCCTCTCGCCCGTCCACTCCCAAATCACCAGTCCTCCATGCCAATACTACCCCCTCTCAACCCTCTCCACCCTCACCGCCATCTTCCTCTCCAACTCCTCCTTCTCTTTCTCGCTAGCCGTCATCCCCAGCGCCCCCTCGACCTGCGGTGTTGTCCATAGTCCCACCGAGGCCCAGGCGACCAGGCCTATCCCGAAGAGCGCGCGTGTGCGGGGGGTTAGGGAGCGGTATGATCTGTTTTTCGGGGATTATTAGTTGTTGATTCGGGGGGTAATGGGTGAGTGAAGGAGGGAAGGACGTACTGCCAAAGGGACATATTGGTATTTTCTAGAGGGAAGTTCGGAGGAGGCGGAGATGGAGATTTGGAGATGGATGCGATGCGATAAGATGGGCTTGGCGGGTTTTACTAATTGGGTTAGTGCGTTTACTTTTGAGTATAGGTACGGTCAAGTCGTCCATCAAAACTGCATGACTAACTGGTATACTAACAGGGTACTAACTAACAAACAAAAGCAAGCAGATAAGCGTAAGCGTAAGCATAAGCGTAAGCATCTAACTACTCATTATTTCTTGCCGTATGCCTTGTTGACGTCATCCTGGTGTCTGTTGAGGATCTTCTTGCGCTGCAACTTCTGGGCAGCAGTCATATAGCCCTACGGACGTCAGTTAGCATTCCATCAACAACGGACGGGAATAGTAGAATGGGGGGGCTTACGTTCTGAGAAGTCCACTCCTCATCCGACAACACAACACCACTGATAATCTCAATACCCTTAAGACCAAGGGTCCGACCGGTGTTCTGCAACTGCTTCAACACAGCAGACTTGAGGTCCTCGTTCTGAACAAGCGATTCCACAGTCTCACCACCGCTGACCTTGCTCTCCGCAGCCACCTTCTTCAAGGCGGCTTCGACCGGCACGATGATGGCGATCGGCTGCGCCTGGTCCTCGGCAGCGTAGACGCAGATGTTACCGACGATGGGCGACGAGCGGTACACGGACTCGAGCTTCTCGAGGGCAATGTATTCACCGTTCAGAGTCTTGACCAGGTTCTTCTTTCGGTCGATGATCCGCAGGTGGCCGTACTTGTCGAACTCGCCGATGTCGCCGGTCATGAACCAGTCGCCTTCAGCGAATGCGGACTTGGTTTCTTCTTCGTTCTCCCAGTAGTGCGATGTCACACTGCCTCCGCGGATGAAGATCTCTCCTTGCGGCGGGTTGTTCTTGGTCAGGTATCCGGCGTCAGGGAAGTCGACCAGCTTAACCTCCACCGACGCGGGGATTTCACCGAGAGCGTTGGGGTTCCAGGCCATCGGGTCGTTGAGAGCACCCATGGCAGACGTTTCCGTCAGACCGTATCCGCTAATCATCGGCGCAATAGCCATGGACAGGAACTGCAGAGTGTCCTTCGAGATCGGACCACCACCATTCATGACGATCCGCAGACGACCACCAGTAGCTTCCTTGAGTTTCTTGAAGATCATGTTGTCCAAAAACCATGTTCCAAAACCGGAACCAGGGAGGCCAGTCGACAGCAAAAAGTTCTTGGCGGACATGGCACCCCAGAAAAGACTCTTGACCAAAAAGCTGTTCTTGTTCAACTGGCCCAACACACCCTTCTTCACCGTTTCCCAGACAGCAGGAACACCGACAAGAATCGTCGGCTTGAGCTCCTCGATGTCGCCCTTGCAGTTGCGCATCGAGCCTTGGGACAGCGTACGCGGGTTACCGTATCCCATGGTACCACCCCAGAACAGACACAGGTTCTCGAACATGAACTCGAGGATGTGGGCTTGCGGGAGGTACGTGAGCAAGGTGTCGGATGGGCCGATGTAATCGCCGACAATCTCGTTGACACCGGCGGCTATCATGGTTAGCATTCTTTAGTGCAATCAGGATAAAGGATAGGAACTTACTGGCAGCAATGACGTTGGCGTGCGTCAAAGGAACACCTTTTGGCGGACCGGTCGATCCAGAGGTGTACATGATACAGCAAAGGTCCTCCGGCGCCGGCGGGACAGGGTCAACCGGGTTCTCCTCGCCAGATTTCCGCAAGTCTTCGATGCTCATGATGTTGAGATAGTCGAAATCGGACTTGAGCTTGTCCAGATCCTCCTGCTTGGGCTCCTGGTCGGTGTTGTAAATAACGTGCTTGATCGACTTGACATCGCTGAAAACGTTGTGAAGCGAGGGGATCAGAACAGGGTCGAGGAAAATGGCGGTACTGGAGGTTTGCTTGAGCGAATGCTTCAATCCTGCTTCACCCAGGGTATCATAAGCGGTGACAATAGTAACCGACTGCGACGCAGCACCGTGAGACACGGCCAACCAGTTTGCACTATTCAATTAGCTCCTCTCTTTACATCCTGGGCGCGGGAAATGAACTCACCTGGTAGCACCATAAAGATGAATCTTACCATCCTTCTCCAACCCCAACTTCCGTAACCCAGCACCCAACTGCAGCGCCAACTGCTCATACTCCACAAAACTCTTGTACTGGTACCCGCTCATCTCGAAATACGTCCACTTCTTATCCACCTCCTGCTCAGCCCCGTCAATCACCTTCTTTACCTTCTTGTTCTCGACGTGCGTCTTGATCAGCTTCCGGGTACCAACGGCCTTTGCGTTTCCGAACAGCCGCGCGGACCGTCTGAAGACATCGTAGGTGGTGCCGACATCTGGGGCAGGACGAAGGATCAGACCGTCTTTGGAGCGGAGGTGACGGCGGGGCTTGGTCTCGCCTTGGACGGGTTCGGCGCCGGGGACTTCGACGGAGAACGGAGGCTTTTTGGCCATCTTGGGTTGGAGGTTGATGTCTGTTTTGGACATTGTGGCGGTTTATGGGATGATTAGGGGGGTATCTTAGGAAACTGAAGAAGCAGAAAGATGGTCAGCAAAAATCAAGTAAATAGCCAGTGGTGCCAGCGCAGAATAGCCGGCTATGTATGAAGTCAGTCGTCGTCGTACCTTAGATCACGGTCCAGCAAAATAACAAAAACGGACCGCTGTGGTATAATTCTTTCCGGGAAACAGAAAGAGAAAAAAAAAAAAAAGAGAGAACGGCGGAGCAATATAAAGAAAAGGAATAGAGTTGGAAGATCAAGAGGGGAGAAGACACTGGCTGAGCGATGCGCCGCCGAAAGCTGGACTGTCAGCGCAATGAGGTCAGTGCCGGTGGCTGGGCTGCCGTAGAGAATTAACCACTGACGCAATTTGCCGCGGCAGCTTTAATTTTAAGACAACTGGAGCTCGATTTTTGTATGTACGGATACCGCAATTGATACTTATTCTAAATAGAGTGCCTTTCAAATAACTACTCTATGTACAGTTTCTTTCCACTCACCCCTATTCCTACGCGCAGTTAGATAATACAAGTACAAGCTGCACCAGACAAAGAACTCAGCTCAGGCATAGAACGCATGCGGTAACCTCGGCGGCTATCTGAACTAACGTTTTTGTTGGGATTTTCGCCCAACAACCCTATCCCTACTTGCTTTAACTCTACAGCGCAGTCGCATAGCAGATTAGATACATTAAATGGGATATAGATAGAGTCAAGATGCATTCTGATAGCTCATTTCACTCTGTTCTGCATTGTTTCAGTCCGTTTGAGTCAAAATATATGTATTGGGTCACGTGTCCTAATGTGATCCATTATATCCAACCAATCACAGCGTCTGTAGTCTATCAATTTTCACTCCCATGGAAAGTAACACACTTGGGCAGCATAACACAACTACCCAATACAACCCTAAACCATAAAGAACACTGCTATGAACGAATTCCTCTCATCCCTCGGCCACCCGGTCGAGGACACCGAAGAGGGTACGTACATCACCCGTAAATAGCGTATGCAGACAAACAAAAACAACACACCACAACGCCTAGCTTTCCAATGGATGCAAGTCTGATGAATGAGAAAAAACAAATCCAATAGAATCCTTTCTCCTGTTCGCCCAAGAAATCCCAACCACCAATCTAGGCTTCGTCGACTCCCGCGCGCACTCCCTCGAGGTGACCATCCACGGGAAGGAGTATACTATCCAGCAGTCGCCTTCGTTACTTTCTTCGTCGAGGGCTGGTGGGACGACTGGTGCGGTGCTGTGGAAGATAACGCCACTTTTTGCGGAATGGATTTCGGGGCTTACGTCGAATCCGCTGTGGACGCATCCTGATTCACCGTTGCAGCCGGCTTCGGGGAAGACGGTTGTTGAGCTTGGGTGTGGGATAGCGGGGCTCGTGGCGCTTTCTTTGGGGCCTGCGGTGCAGCATTATGTTGCTACGGATCAGGAGTATGTGCATCGGTTATTGAGGGAGAATCTTGATGAGAATAAGGGTATTGCGTATAAACTGAAGTCCGGGGTCTCGAAGGGGAAGGGTGGGAAGAAGAAGGGGGCGTCGAAGCAGGTACAGTCTGAGGAGTCGAACATCTTCTTTACCTCGCTTGATTGGGAGCTGGATGCGCCGGACTTGTTGAAGAGGAGTGTTGGGATAGCCCCTGAGAACGATGAGGAAGACAACGGCTTTGACTTGCTTCTGTCCTGTGATTGCGTCTACAATGAAGCCCTCGTCGCGCCGTTTGTTCGGACTTGTGTAGATATCTGTCGTTTACGGCCTGCATATCACCCTGACAAGGCCACTGACGAGAAGGGGAAGAATCCTACGATCTGCATAATCGCCCAAAAACAGCGCACTCCGGATGTATTCGAGGCGTGGTTGGAAGAAACGCTCAAGACATTTTGGGTCTGGAGGTTGAGTGATGAGATTCTCGGGGAGGGATTGAAGGGCGGAACGGGTTACACGCTTCATTTACTGGTTCTGAGGGATGATGCATAGTTCTGTTATCTAGATAAATCGATTCATAGATATTTTAAGCTGAATGTGCAAGTAGATGACAAAAATATGCAAAACAAAACAGACTGCCTCCGTCTATCAACAAGCTCATTGAGACATTACTATTAAACATACAAATATCCACCCAAATGTACAAAACCGGGTATTATAAATCTGCAATGCGACATATAGTTATCCAAGAGAAGAGATTATTATTTTGCCTCGGTTTTTACCTCGGCTTCTTTGGTTTCACTCGGTTCTCGGTCTGAAGAAGGCTCGGTCGGTTCGATCTTCTCCTTGACTGGTGTGGTCTGCTCCTGGGAAGCAGATGCTGGCGTCTCGCTAGATGGCGGCGGTGCCGTCGATTCAGGATTATCAATAATAGACGAAATCGACTGCTTGATCGACCCGTTCGTATTAGATGGTGCCGCGGCGGGCAATGCGGGGATAGACTGTTCTATCCGTGTCTGCTGCTCCGGATTATCTGCGGCTTCTGTTTTAACCGCATACATGTCTTGATCCTCTTCCTCATCAGAGCCTGTCGAATATTCCATTTCCTGCGGGTATCCGTCGCCGTCTGCCTGGTTGGATTCCAACCTGCTTTCTTCTGTAGAGGCCCGCTGCACCATCCGGACGGGGGGCAGGGGGGCATTCGGATCATAGACTACACCACAAACTTCCAAGGCTCGTGACTGGCTTCCCAGAGTACGGTCTTTGTGCTTCTTGGTCAGGTGACACATGAAGCCATGCAGTGTAACAAAGTCCGCTTTCCCGCACCCGGGGATAGGGCACGTCAGGTAGACCAGGTTTCCATCCGAGGGACGTTTCCACAGTGCACGGCCGGAGGGGTCATGAGCTGCGGGACGTCCGTGACGTTCGCCCCAGGCTTCGACGTTTTTTATCGTATACTTCTGCTTTTTACGGATGGAGCCACTTGATGGATCAAAGGGGGCCGGATGATGAGGCTGAGGCGGTAAAGGTGCAGCCTGTGGAGCAGCAGGATGGACTTGAACATGGTGTGGATGAGCATGCGGATGCGGATGTGCGTGAGGGTGAGGGTGAGGATGAGGTTGCGGCTGGTGCTGGTGCTGATGCTGATGCGGGTGTGCTGGGTGTGCATGAGGATGAGGATGAGCGTGAGGGTGCGACGGAGCTTGAGACGGAGGAGTAGGAAGTGGACGAGGATCCGGAGGGGTCTGCTGCTTGAAAAACGCCAGTGTCGTCGCAGCATTCGTTTCGGACAATCGACGCGGAGGTGTTGGCCGCAGAGGCGGCGAGTCCATTGATCCATTTACCCCAATACCCATAGATTCTCTCTTGAGTCGTTTCCGTTGTCTCCGGAGGTCCTACGTCTGTCAGTCTTCTTACTTTTGCAATCTAATTTGTCGAAAGTGAATACCTCTTCTTCAGCCTCTGCATTCTCCGTCATCCGACGAAATTCCTCATCCTCCCGCTTACGAATAGCAAGCAGTTGACTCCTCGTAGCCATACGCACCGCCTCTTCGTTTTCCAATTGCCTCAACCGGGCTTCAATGTGCTCTATATGAGACGGATGCAGGCCCGGCTCCTGCGCCGAATGAGGGAGATGAGGATGTTGCTGCGGCGGCGGGGGAGGAGGATACGGACGGAAGTGATGTTGCATGGCGGGATCGGGGGGCATATGCTGATTGGGATTCATGGCGATAGGATGGAAGCGAGGCAGCGTCATGGGATTGACGGGGCCGTGAGCATGGACGGGACCATTCTCATGCAGAGTGGTGGAAGGGACTGGAGGTGCAGCAACCGTCATAATGACTGTAGATACAGTCTGGATTGGATTCAGAGATGGTTGAAGTTGCAATCATAGACTGCAGACAGAGGATGTCAGATCAAAGAAAAGAACAAAAAGAGGGATAGAATAGTAGAGAGTGAAGAGGGGGGGGGGTTAGATCCTAAACTGGACTTACCTGCACTTGGACAGTTTTGGAGGGGGGGGACTAGATTCGAGTAGCCACCAGTCAGGAATTAAAGAAAAGAAAGAAGAAATGTGGGTAGTATAATAATAACAATAATAATGAACTAAAATTAAAAATACAACTGCAAAGCGTCTGCACCTCGCCCGTTTTTGGGGGAGAGTCAAATGTCGACAAATCTCCGGCAGAAATTTAGAGAGAGCGAAAGAGCAAGGGATCAACAGCAAATCGAAACGAACGAAAGACAGACACGGGATTCTTTTTCTGTTCCTTGTTGAACTAGTGTCAACAATAATCGCCCGACTAATAAAAAAAAAGTGGAGGGACAACAAACCAGACCATGGAACTAGTGCCTTCATATTAATAGTTCTCACCAGTATTATTTATTGATTATTACTGTGTAGTAGCACTACTGTGTACTTGTCAGTGGTAGTACTTCTCCTTGTACATACTCTGTAGTAGTATTATTGTGCAAGAGTCTACTACTAGTGCTACTTGATAGATGATAGATGTTATTGTGTACTTCCAAGTACCATGGTGTATGTGTATTCACAACTATGACTGACTCCTGATCCAAATAAATCAAGCTTGATTATTTATACACAGCCAATCAGCGTCTGCCGTGTGCGATCATGTGATATGTCCCCAGAGATTGGCTGTGGAAGATCATAGAAGACTGTAATACTACTCCGTACTAAGTACTTCGTACAGCGAAGATGCAAGCATGAATCGATAGATTACTATGAAACACATCCAGTCAATCATGTAAATTAAGGGGATCCCACAAAGAGAATCGGTTCAGGTACAGAGTTCTCCGTACTGTACTCCGTAAAAAAAAAAAAAATAAAAATAAAAATAAAAACCAACTCTGGAACCCAAAATTGCATCCAGAAAATCCCCTCCAATCACTAGTGGAGAATCTCAATCAATAATCTCTGCATTCCTTGGAAAAACTCAGGGAGGCAATCCCATTGGTTCTGCCAGGGGAGAGACAACAATCTCTTCACATCTACATATGTACTCCGTACTCCGTACTAAAAAGCTATCGTTCTGCACAGACTGCACAGATCCGGTTTTGCTCCAAGCTGCCCACTCAAGCAAAAGCCCCGACGGATGTCGTTGTGTACCCATCTGATTTGTCCTTTTAGGGAGAGTGGAGGCGAAAGAAGCCCACCAGAAACATTCCTAAACTTTGACTGCATATCTGTGACAAAAGGACGAGTTAGTTGGGGTTCTTTTTGCTAGACACCTCCGATCCATTTTCATGACTCTGCAGTTGGTCTCTATCATATCCCGGAGTATTAAATAAAAACAGAACAACGCAAGGCTTATCCTTAGTCTACCCCGTATTCCGTACTTTACCTGTACATAGGAATAGTAGAGTGCTCTGCTCTGCACTACGCAAAAGAACCATTTGAATCGAGAGGAGACTTTTCTGATTCTATCATCCCATGCTCCGTAAAACCCACCACTTTTCCTTTCGCCTTTTTGGGGCCCGTCCCCTGCCGTAAACTCATTAAGTTACAAGTGTCTTTCCAACGGATATCCGCTCAGAACAACACGAAAAGAGAAAAAAAAAAGAAAAAAAAAAGTAGTTCAACGTTATGCTGAATCAGATCCCGACATCATAGAAAAAAAAAAGCAAGCGGAGAGTAAACCATTGCACAAAAAAAAAAAGAAAAAAAAAAAAAAAAACACCGATACACCATGGCAACAAAATCAAAATCAACTATGTGTACATATCGTGATAGTAGGAGCGAGTTCAAGGGGAGAAAGTGAGAAGGCTGTATAGGAGACATAATGCAAACATCACGAAGAGAAGAGATTATACAAGATTTTTGGGTAAGGGAAAAAAAAGAAGTACAGGTTCATCAATGTTGGTACATTTAAGCCTTGTTCTCACCCTCACCACCCTGAGGCGGCTGCTGCTGCTGCTGCTGCTCAGACTGGGCCTTGTGCATCTTATCGAAGAGGGTCAAGCTGGCGGTCTGGAGCTCGTCGGTCTTCTGCTTGAGCTCCTCGGCGGTGGCAGTACCCTCACCAGACTGGTTCTTGGCGACGAACTCGCGGAGAGTGCCAATCTTCTCACGGATCTGCTCAGCCTCAGTCTTGTCGAGGCGGTCCTCGAACTCCTTGAGAGCCTTCTCAGTGTCATTCAGGACACTGTCAGCACGGTTGGCAGCCTCAATGGCAGCCTTGCGCTCCTGGTCCGCAGCACCATACTTCTCGGCATCCTGAACCATCGACTGGATCTCAGCATCAGAGAGACCAGAGCCAGAGGCAATGGTGATGGACTGGTCCTTGTTGGTGGACTTGTCTTTGGCGTGGACGTGGACGATGGAGTCGGCATCAATGTCGAAGGCGACCTCGACCTGAGGAACACCACGGTGGGCAGGAGGAATTCCGACGAGCTGGAAGTTACCGAGCAACTTGTTGTCCTTGACAAGCTCACGCTCACCCTGGAAGACCTTGATCTCGACAGCCGTCTGGAAGTCAGCGGCGGTGGAGAAGGTCTGAGACTTCTTGGTGGGGATGGTGGTGTTGCGGCTGATCAGACGGGTGAAGACACCACCGAGGGTCTCGATACCGAGAGAGAGAGGGGTGACGTCGAGCAGGAGAATGTCGGTAACCTCACCAGACAGGACAGCACCCTGGACAGCAGCACCAATGGCGACAGCCTCGTCAGGGTTGACCGACTTGGCGGGCTCACGGCCGAACATCGACTTGACAGAGTCGGTGACCTTGGGCATACGGGTCATACCACCAACGAGGATGATGTCCTGGATCTCGCTGGACTGGAGGTTGGCGTCCTTAAGGGCCTTGCGGACGGGGTCGATGGTGCGGCTGATCAAAGGATCAACAAGAGCCTCAAGCTGGCTACGGGTCATCTTCTGGTTGATGTGCTTGGCACCGCTGGCGTCGGCAGTGATGAAAGGAAGGTTGATCTCAGTTTGGAGAGAAGAGGACAACTCAATCTTGGCCTTCTCAGCAGCCTCACGGATACGCTGGATAGCCATGCGGTCACCGGCGAGGTCGAGACCAGAGTCCTTCTTGAAAGACTGCACAATGTGGCGAACAAGGTGAATATCGAAGTCCTCACCACCAAGGTGGGTGTCACCGTTGGTGGACTTGACCTCGAACACACCGTTCTGGATCTCCAGAACGGAGATATCGAAGGTACCACCACCAAGATCGTAGACGGCGACGACACGGTCAGCCTCCTTCTCCAAACCGTAGGCAAGAGCGGCGGCAGTAGGCTCGTTAACAACACGGAGGACGTTGAGACCGGCAATCTGACCGGCGTCCTTGGTGGCCTGGCGCTGAGAGTCGTTGAAGTAGGCGGGAACGGTAACGACAGCGTTCTTGACAGGCTTGCTGAGGTAGTTCTCGGCAGTCTCCTTCATCTTCTGGAGGGTGAAACCACCAATCTGCGAGGGCGAGTATTTCTGGCCACGAGCCTCAACCCAGGCGTCACCGTTGGTGTGCTGAACAATCTTGTAGGGAACCTCCTTCAGGTCACGCTGGACCTCACCGTCGGTGAACTTGCGACCGATGAGACGCTTGGTGGCGAAAAGAGTGTTTTCGGGGTTGACAACGGCCTGGCGCTTAGCAGCGATACCGACCAGACGCTCGCCATCCTGAGCGAAAGCGACAACCGATGGTGTTGTTCTGGCACCCTCAGTGTTCTCGATGATCTTGGGGGCCTTGCCCTCCATCACAGCAACAGCGGAGTTAGTGGTACCTGTGAACAATTGAGTTAGCTAATCTCCTCGACTGAGACCCCGCGGGATGCAATACATACCAAGGTCAATGCCAATGACCTGGCCCTTAACCTTCTCCTCACCACCCTCTGTCGAGTTCCATCTCCGGGGAATAGCACCGGGGACTCTGAAGGCGGGAGCACGGGCGAAAGAGGTAGCGCGGGGGAGCTATCATCGAGCACGTTAGTCTTTCTGTCTGGTTTGCCTTTGCCCACAGATGAAGCATCGAACTTACCGCGCGGCAGAAGCGGGAAGAGAGCATCGTCATTAAACGTAATTAACACAAGGGGGGAGAGAAAGAAAAGATATAGGTACTCCAGTCGATTCAATCGAGGGGAGCAAATAGTATGATATAAGAGGAGGAGAGGGAGGTAGGTGGAGGGTGGAAGAGGAAGACGATGAAATTTTTCAAGAGAGAGGAAAAAAGAATGGGAGAACGGACCAGGTGCAGCGTAGAAATTGCCCGGAGAGCGTCGGCCCGGGCTGTCGAACTTGGTAGAAGAGCGGCGAACGGGCCAATCATAGCCGAGACCGCCTTTGGAGGTAGCCGAGTAACTGCGTCATCCAATCATCCGAGATTCGTCCGGAGCTGCATTCGGGTGGGAGGGTTACTACAGAGTATAAGGAAATGGTATAGCAGTAATGCTTCGAAGAAAAGTATACAGTATGGTATCATGGAATGTACTCCGTAGTTTGACATGCTTATACTATTTATTTTATGGGCATGGTGCCTCTTGCCATCCGTGGCAACCTATTCCGAACCACCAGCACCGATTTCGCAGTTATAGCAGAATTTGACTATGTTGGTTTTCAATGGACATACGGAGATACTGAGAGCAAAGAAGATAATGGATTTGGACTTAGATTGCTATTGAATGCTTGGTCCTGAGATATAGCTGGTTATAGCTTAACATCTAGGCCATAAGAGTAGAGTAGTGTATCCATGTATGCACAGAATATCTTTTCATGTTTACGGGCATACTCTGTAAGCAGAACAGCAACAGAGAGAACACAACACCCAGCCCATCGATTGATCTAGAAGATTCCGCACTAGATCCTGTGGAACTGTCGGACCCATCAACGGCTCAGTCTAAGCAGTTTCAGTTTCTTTCCTTTTCGGGCGAACTAATAGGATCTACGAGGCATAGGGCTCTTCTATTTGATGTGCCACACTACCAGGGGTATGTACTCCGTAGACTTCGACGATATATTTGATCCACTGGCAGCAATACCAGAGCATACTACGTTGGATACATGTCTGGTTGGCATAAAGTTCATCTCTATACAAAGACAACACAGCACAATCAATGAAGAAAATGGCAAACACCGAAAAAAAAAAAAAAAAGTCAGCCAAGTAATCAGAAATTGTTTGCTGTACTAACAGAGCAGTAGCCCTACTGGCCATTGATCTGCTAGATAGACACGTTTAAGACCGGCATACTCGGATATACATTGACCAACCCGTTTTCTAGAGTAAGACAGGAAACATCTTCCAGACTGGATCCAAATATTGACAGCAGTTACGGCGTATTTATCGACAGGTTTGCACACCAACCGGCTGCATTCCCCGGATTGACCGTTTGTGTCAAGTATTACATCATCCGTCGCCCCGGCTTTGGGTCTCCGAATGCCGCAACCACTCTCAAGTCCAAGTCCAGAGAAACATAGCAATACTACGTTACTAGCATACAGTCACCAGCGAGGGAAAAATTGAATACATTATCCATATCATACACTTCGCTCTGCTTCATTGTCCTGGCTGCTGGTGTCGTCAACACAGCCGAGGATACGCTCACCGCGTGTTTTCCGTATCTGGACATTTGTCAAGCGACACACCTTCAACCGTGCACTGTCTTATCTCTCACCACCTAACAATGTCACGACGGCCTTGAGCGCTCACCATGACTTCGGATAATGCGCTTCTGTTAGTCACTTACCCTATTCTATGTGGTTCGATTCTGACCTGAACCGCGCGTTTACTATAGAGAACGCCCGACCGAGTCTTTGATCCTTCCTACCAAGCGGCGATTCTTCCCTTTTAAAATACCTAATTTGTCCGTATACCAGATCCCACTACCCGGATCAAGCTGAACGAAAACGCTAACGGCTACGTGTAGCCATCAGCAACTTCGCAACTATATCAGTACTGCCGACCCCGACAGGATTTACGTCGTCGTTGACAAAGTTATATATGCGATTCACATTGAGTCCCGCAAGCGAGAGAGTATAGCCGTCATACCGTTCGAGCCAAAATGTCTCGTTGCTGGCTACGGATGGATTGGCGTGGGAGGTTCGGATAATGGAGAATGCGCTTTCATTCGAATCGCTGATCAGAGAGTGCGTGTTCAGGATGATGATGTGCCGGCTTCACATCCTTCAGAAGTGGATAGCGCGCTGCCCATTGATCTCGACCCCCCAAGCAGGGTCTCGTCTCCCTGGCCCAATGGTGAGGAAACAGGATCGGCTCGTCGTTCAAACTCAAGGCTACTTCCGGATGTGCACCTCCACAAGTTTGGAGGTAGCATAGTCAATTCCGTCGCCCTCCACCGCTTACCTGGTGATGGGAAGGGCTTAGCAGACGAAGATGTGATAATTTTCAGGTACGATCCATTGATGTGAAGGTCGCATTTTCACCACACCATTCTGACATGTTCTTCCAGCAATAACGATAAGACCGTGACCGTTTACTCCTTGACCCGTGGGAAGGTCCTCAAGGTCCTTCATCATCAGTCATGCATGAACTATGCGATTATGTCACCGGATTCGTCCTTGCTCACTGCCGTCGGTGATGAAAGTCGCGCGTATTTCTACGAAGTGTCTCGCGTCCTGGATACTGCCGTGCTCACGGAGAATGGCGAAAAGCTCACTGGATGGGAATGGAACCTCATTCGTCACGTGGACATGGATATCGGCACTCGGTTCGATGCTGGCTGTTGTTTCACCATCGCTTTTTCTCCGTCTAGTCACCTGTGCGCCATAGGATCACAATCGGGGGTGATTACAATATTCAATGTTCAGGTGGTTTGGGAAAGCCCACTTGGCCTTTACGACAAGAGCTCGATAATATGCCATTTCCACTCTTCTCGGTCTCACTTTGATGGCGGGGCTGTGCGGTCCATGATATTTTCACCAACGCCATGGGATCTCCTGGTGTGGATCGAAGACAACGGTCGGGCAGGAATTGCAGATGTCCGCCATGCCTTTACACGCCGACAGATACTTGATTTGGACGCGAAGGATTCGAGCCTGCAGGAAGTCCGTACAGAACCTATTCTAGATGAGTCAGAGGGATTAGGGTTTGCCTTCAATCAGGCATTTCCCGAGTCGCGCGATGAGATGGATGCGGCCCAGCGTGCGATGCTGGATTCGATCGAAAGTTCCTCGAATGAACGAGGAGACGGACTTGAACGTTCATCAATGCGAGAGAGTTCGATGCATGACCTCACGGAAAGAGAGAGACTGATAGTCGAATTTCTGAACACAGCGCGGTGGACTTCGAGATTGGAAGAGGGCCTGACGGACCGAGGAGGAAGACCGAGCCTACACCCACATTCTTCTCGTTCCAGACTCACAGGTGCCATGGATGTCGGTATCCGTCCGTCTCGTCCTACTTCGCCTCTTCGTCCTAATGATCCTCTTCACGACCTATTGCGAGATAGTTATGTGGGCCATAATACTGATCATCGTCATTCAAGCACGAGGCGTCAGGGTTCCATTATTTCACCGCACAATAATCCAGAGAATACGGAAACGCAACCCAGTATCACAGTTAGCTGGACTGCTTCACCTGCAGAAATCCAGCCAGCAACATTAGACAACTCGACGCGCACGTCCGACTCGAGTACAGGCGACCCTAGTGGAATCCAGCGTTCAACCTCAGCTCCGAGGCGCGCTGAGCGGCAGGAAACGACTTCTGAGAGTCGTCACGAACCACCACGTCTGTTGAACTCCGAACTGCGGACTAACGTGGCGGCGGAGCGTCTTCGACGGCAACGTCAATTAATCAACGAGGCGCATAACCGAAACAGCCTACGAGATCAGCGACATCGCCCGCATCTCTTGGGGTTTGAGCGCTCTCCTAGGTGGATTCGGAATATCTTGAATGAGCTCCCCGACAGAAACTACCATGTGCATAGGGACCAAGACTCCGGCGGTACAGCTGGACTTGGGTGGGGAGCAGATGGAAGGACACTGTAAGTTTTTGTCTTCTTTTTTGTCCCCTGAAGTAGAGCTGACCAGGTATAGATACGTCGCCACTGTGGATGGTATATTCGAATTTCACCTCAATGTCCATGATCGAAAAACATTCCCTATCGTCTCCTTCCGATAAGGGACATCAGAACCACACAGTTCTTCTTCTCCTTTCTTCTTTTTTTCTTTTTTAGCATTCTTGCTGCTTTATTTTACTTTGCCTCAACTCCCTTCTAAATGGGTTTCCAGGATTTTACTTCGGCGGTTTGGATACAATTGGGGGATTCGGGTTTGGTGATACCACTTATTTTCCTGTAGGGGTTTGGCCCTATCATGCCATAATGATTTCAATTTCCTTTGTGCTTTTCAGTTGTTTTGCATAATATGTCTTTTCAATCTTTGCATGATGCCCTGCTGCATCTTCGTTATGGTGTTCTGGTGATTGCATTAGGATAGCTTCTATTTCTTGCTTCTTTTATGATTACGGCGGAGGACACGGATCAAAAGTATATAACTTCTTCTATGCAATAAAAGTAATGATAAAGGGGACTAGCTGCATGCCCAGTTATGCTATCTTTTGACAAATTACCGAGTTATCAAATAGACAATTGTTGTATAGGTGCTCCGTACCTTGTAGTATGTATGTACCTATACGTACCTGTTTTTCTAGAGCGACTGTGGCTTTCCTTTTCTGGACGCCGCCGCTTTAATGAGGATACTCAGGGACTTGCTCAGTGAGTATTTCACATCACGGATGACCGCTCAATGAGCAGTCACGTGGCCTCCGAGCTACTCACCCCCCCCCCCCCCTTTATATTGCGTGGGTAGTTTGGCGGCCATATCTGATGAACAGCCCTCAAAATTGCCGAGGTCATTCACCCTACCATATGAGATGACACAAATAGAAAGTTGATGGAGACTAGCTGAATCCTGAGTGGCGAACTCTAAGTGAAGCATACACTCAGGGCAACTGTAAATTAATATGAAGATGGGTTCCCAACAAAGCCATAAATGCAGGTATTTCTCTCTCTTCAAAATAATCAATTCTATGGAAGCAAGATCCCATCGGCCATTACTCCTTTCATTTACTCTTCTTATATTACATCTTTCAATTGTCTTATTCCCATTAATCTTCCGCACTTGTTCCTTTCCCAGTTCGCTGATGATGACAATGGGTAAAAGAAATTTCTTCTGAGATGAAGAGGTAAAAATAAAGCGCTGTGAGTGCCAGGCAGAAAATGGCTATGTTTCAAAAGCCCATCAAGAGGAAGACACTGTACAAAAAAGACATGATCAGACCAATGAAATGAGAGCAACAGCAAGAATATGTGATGCATTATTTGGGGTGATTTGTCATACAGATAATCTTACTCTTTAGGCTTGCTAGCCTCACTGCGCCAGATTTGTGACAGAAGAAGGTTATGAGCCAGTTGGATACCAGACCAAGCCTGGCTGCCCAGCTCCAGACATTGTCATAATCAAAGATTTTATTTGCTTGTATGTCCATACTGTCAGGGACATGGGGTGTCTCAGTCAAAAAATAACTGGTCACCTGTGACGGCTATGGCTACGGCTACGGCTACGATGACAGCTATTTGGCGGTTCGACGCCACATCAACAGCTCAACGCTGCGTCGAAGACTGACATAGACAAACGACATCAATATGCCAGACGAGACATTAGCAACGTCAAACAAACGCCTATAAAGCCTCTCTTTTTCCCTGGATAGATTTCCTCTTCTCTTTTTGAAGAGATGACATCCAACTCTTTCAGCAACCATGATGTTGATGGTGTGCATCTGCTTAGACTGTTTGGGTGATAGGATGAGTCGTCACAGCATGCACAAACCCCGGGCAATTTTGGTCGTACCCCTGCCTTGTCATCTAGTCTTAGCCCTACCAGTGCTGACCCGTCTGCTGTTGGCTACCCAGCTTCTCAACCGAACGCCACAAATAAATAAACTTCCGTTGCTAAAATTTGGTGATTGGGACGAAGGCTGGGCATATGATGAAGACCCACCAACCTGTATTCACTACTCGATTGATTGGAATTAGCACGGCTGTTCGACTGAAATATAGGACAAAATTTAGTTCGCACGCACATCCTAGATGGCCCCTCAACGTCCACATTGAATACGTTGAAAACCACCAACCAGCTACATTTCATAACGGGAAAGCAATGGGTCAACTTCGTACGCGTATGTACTCATATGGATGTACCAAGAATTAACTATGACACGGGTATATAAGTCTTGCTCTTTGGGTTGTCGAGCAGTATCGGCTGACAAGCGTCCTTAGTCTCTCTTTGAGTTGTAGGAGCCCTGTGATTGATGTGGGCAACGCTGGTTGTTGACTCATCTATCAGGGTTCTACATGATATGCTTTTATTTCCCCAGTCTCCCTGAAATTACTCATTTTATGATACTTGCTCTCGTGCTTGCATATGGAAGTTAGGGCTTGAGTATCGCCATGTCAGTCAATTGTCTGCCGACAGGGTACAAGAATATTTTCTTATTTTCCATTTTCTTTGCACATCGGAACTGCGTCATTCATTCGTAAGTCTGTCCCCAGAAATTCCCTTTGCCAAACCGGCAACTTCATCTCCTTGGGTTCAGCAACCATATTAAAGTAGTAGTAGTAGTAGTTACATAACTGTTATTATTATTATTATTATTATTATTATTATT